CCCCGTTCGAAAATAAGCGCTTTCTTGGCAGGCTGCGTTATTGTTCACATACTTGTTAATTTTGAGTTTGACGGAAAAAGAGACAGCCGCTGTATTGAAGATGGTATGAAAGACCTGTAAACCAGAGACAGAGTCTCCATGGTGAGTGTGTCTCACTGTTTTTTCACCTCCACCTACTGGTTACTCGTATATTGCAGCGTTCGGACGCGTCACATTATTTCAGAGGATTTGCACAAACGATTCAAATCAACGCACGTAACGTGTGGTAGCGGTTTTAAACACATGCTTGCATCATCAAACAGCAAGTATATCAAGGCCTTAGGCTTCTTCTAGCCGTGCACCACTGTAGTCTCACCAATGGTAGACCTCTTATGTCTTGCCAATCACAGAGCTTTGGGTGGGGTGGGGTTAGCACCAGTGCTTTTACAGATCAAATAAACAAGGATGATGGTGGCTCATTAAAAGGCTGTGGCATCAGCTTTGGACTATTTAGACTTGTGCTTTTCTTTGACTTTAGAGCAGCATTTAGAAAAAAAGATGTATTTGCTTCTTCTTCGACAGTATATGGCGCGCTGCCCCATTAACTGACATCTGTAGCAGCAAGTACATCATGTTGTTCATTTTTCTGATTGGTTCCAACCTTGTTCAATAGCATGCTGAGACAGTTTGAAAGACAACAGTAGATTTCGCCCCACGACTGCTATCTCTCTATGGGTCATGGCCAGACTACATATACTGTATGTAGGATGGCTTGCGAGGCTAGTACCGCTCAGTTGAGGCAGAAATCTGAAAATTCAAAATGATTTAATATTTGGTCACAAAAATGCTTTAACTGCTCACACACACCAGAATCTGAATGAATAATTAATTGCTGTGAACCACAGAAAACAACGGAGTGGAAGTTTCCAGTAGGAAGCTGCCAGCTGTGCGAGAGCCAAAGCTAAAATATTTAACGGTGCGTGCTAACATAATCACGGCACATATTAGTTTTTCATCTGTGATCTGTCTGACACACAGGATCTCCTGGAGGGTCGGAGTTTCTCCATTTTACTAAAATACACAAATGTGCTTTCATTTAACCCGGCAACTAAACGTGTTTCTGTGAGAAGACTTTATTGAGTTGGGCAACTTTTCATAAGGTAATTTAACAGGAAGAGGTGAACACAGGAGAAGAAAGATCAGTTTTAGATTACCATGATTTGACTCGGGCAGCCGGGGCAGTGTGTGTGATAAAGCGAAGTGTATTTTAGGCTGCAGAGACGGAGGGGTGGCCAGCTCCTCACACAGCTAAAACTGTGGGGATGTGGGGATAAAGGGAGGGGAAAACCGAGAGCTGGAGTTCAGACGTGGAAGTTGCACTCGGTACAGAATTTCTCACAATGGGGTTTTTGAAGAATTGGCTTCTGTTTTTATTAGAAATCATGAAAAATTAGAGAATAAAAGCTGAGCTGTCATCTTGGCTCAACCTGACAAATGATTTTCCATGATGACATCACTGAAAGAGGCACTGAATAGTCGTTTAATTTGTTATTTGACACAGGCTCCAACTACTGGGTGTGTATTTTTGGCAGCAACGTTGTTAATCATAGACTATCGGCAGCTCTAGCTTGTTGTCAGACTTTAATTGGACTCTTACTTAATTTTTTTAAAAGACTTCTCTGATAAGTTGCTTTAATATCATGTGAATGTGGTGCTTTCACAAGGAAACTTTACACATGACAGCCTCTCAGATTAACTAAAAATCCCCTTCCAGTAACCTGCTAGGACTTCCTGTTACTCCGGTGCTGCGTCTGATCCGTTCAAACGTCTTTTCCAAAAGCAGAAACAGGAATTCACATGGCAGTGGGGGCACTCAATCAAGAAAAGTGGGTTTGAAGGGCTGTTGGAGAGAAGCCAGAGGAAGTCATTTATAACCTCCAAAAGGAGGGGCTGTCCACTGTGTGACTGCCCGCTAAGGCATGGGAGCTATCTGTCTTCAAAAGCCCCAGTGAATTGAAGCACTGCTGCATGACCCTGAACGTAACACTGTGTGTGACCCTCAGCGGGGAATCTGTGCTCTCGACTTCCAGAGCAAAATATATTCCCAGCGATACTGAGAGCAGGAGGGTTGTGTTTCAGAGGGTCTGTTCAAGGCTGGGGCTCTTCAGATCTTAGGCTGCACGGAGTCTTGTTTATTGATGTTCACGGTTAGATAAATCTGAAATATCATTAAAAGGGCTTCTATGTTTCCAATTGTCATTCATTCACATGTTAGTTTATTTGGCCAATCAGATGCATCATCATTGCCTCTGATACACACTACACATAAAAAAAACTGTTGTGTCATTATTTTATCGTCTTTAAGTTTCCTGTTTCAATACTAATGCTTATTTTTAACCCTTTCATTTAGAGATACACAATTCTGGTTTTGAAGGCCGATTTCTGATTCTTGTGCAGCTCTAGCCTGCTGACACAGACTCCAGACAATTCTGATTTATTGAAAATATCTAAAATTAATAGGCTTTGAAAAGTTGTGATCCCTTAATAATTATGATTCTGGAAATAAAACCGTCTGAATCGTTGTATCTTGTGGTATCTAGAGCTTAGTGATGATGAGTTCACACCAGGAAACATTGCTGATATTTCTGTTTTTGCTTGGTGATGATGTGTTCATAGACTGACAAGCAAAAATGCTGCTTTAAGAAAAAAATTATTCTTATTTAAACAGCCCTCTTTTTTTGTAGACATGAAAAAAAAATTTACTGAATTTTTTAAGCATGTAAATTTGGGATGCACAATATATCTGCATCAATATCTGTATCGACCGATATTGGTCATTTTTTAACAAATCGGTATGATAAAATCTGGGCCGATTCCCAATACTTTTTCCATCTAGTTTCCATTTCTTTATCTGTTTCAGAGGGTGAGGGGGGTGATGTGTATTTGTTTAGTCATGTGACAGTGATTGTAATCATCTCAGAAGCGTAAATGTGTGGACATCAGCAGTGGCCATCTTGGCTAGTTTAAGCTAATCGTTAGCATTAACAACTTCACTTTACTACAGAAGCTCCTCCAGGATTGTGTTATTTATTTGTGGAGATAAAACTAGGGATGCACTGAAAACTCTTGGCCGAAACTAAAAACTGAAAATGATGTGTTTTTAGTTGGGGAAACCAAGGCCAAAAACCCAAAACACTGAAAAAAATGATTCTGTCAATAATTAGAACCATAGCGTTTATGGGTACAATGTGTACTAACCTCAGTAAAATCAAGGCATTGCAATAAATCAGTTACAAAACCATGAACAGATTTATGTAGCACGGACATAACAATGCACAATATGAAGTAAAACTGACAATAAAATATTTCACTTGACCCCACTTGTGTACGTTTAATAATAATAAATTAAAAGCGAGAAGAAACAAAACAGGGTTCAGCAGAAGGTCTGTTTCGACCACCAGTTTTGGTGATTTAGGTGTTGTGGTCAAAAACCGAAAATGCACTTTGGGGTAATTTTCGGCCGAAAATTTTTGATGGCTGAATTTTTTGTGCATCCCTAGTGTTACACCCCAGGTCGTCTAGGAAACCTGGGGCAACAAAAGAGTATATTGTCTGAACATGTCAACAAATGTTTTATTTAACAGAACAAAGCCCAAAACACAAAGAACACTGACAACAATGTGATAGGAGGCAACAAAACGTGGTAGCAACTACTTAACCTCTAATTAGCCAAAGTAAAACACAACTAAAAGATCATCCCATCAGGGACTCCTTCCCCCAGTGACGAGTCTTATGTACTAAGGAATCAAGTGCAGGGTTGTCCCTGCACAGAAAGGCAAAGTGGCTAAACAGAGATTTACGAGTGCTGAGCGTCCCCACCACAGAATTACACAAAGTTGCTACTTCAAATGTGACTTTAAGTGTGTCAAAGCACACCGAGGAGACAACAGATCAGAGACAACGTCTCTGGTCTGCTGCTCCCTGTAGATGTGAGCCATGAGGTTTTTATGCCTCCAGTCCTCAATCAGTGGTGATTATCATATTCAACAGCTTGGTGCTTCAGGGTGGAGCAGGGCAGAGTGGAGGGAACCAGGTACTGCAAATCAGCTCCTCAGGTAAAATACAAGGACGAGAAGTAAAAACATAAAAGCCAAGCAGCACTTAACGTAAGCCAAGCAGCAACGTAACACCTAGATAAAACATCCATGTTGCAAGTCAGTGGTAGAGTCACATTGCTGTTATCCAATCTTGGTCGAGATGTCCAAATATCAGCAAATGAGACATGTTAGAAGGCTGTGATGTCACAGACTTGGCCCTGCTGAGCCAGGGTTTGTGAGCTTTTTTGTTCCCTGAGTAGGCCAGCTGCCTGCAAGGCTTTAATTCCTACTAGAGACCACTGTAAATGCATGCTGTAAAACATTATTTTTTAACAAAAATGTATTTTTATTGACTAGTTTGGAATAACCAGTTCTTGGTAAATTAGTGAGTTTAACTTTTGTTAGATATGTGATTTTAATACTGACATGTGCACAAAATTAAGATTTAACAGTTGGTCAAATTCAATATTGTAAAACTAATTCAGCTTCAGACATGTTATGCATCAACTAATTTTTATAATTGACATTTTAGCTTGAAACCAAAATAGAAAACATCTCATCATTCATGATAATCAGCAGCACACACCGGCCATTGACTGACCATGACCTCCACATATCACAGATCACGCAGCGACTAATGACTTTTCGACCCCCCTCAATTACTTTTTTCCCAAAAACAAACCATTTCCGAGGACCCTTTGCTACTCTCTGTAGAACTTTCTTGTAGATATTCCCTGCAAATTAACAACAAATGAACCATTTGCGCTACGAACCGTTCTTCCCGGAGTAAGAAAATAGAATGAAAATCTGCACATGTGATTGTGGATTGTGAAATTTTACTTAGGGGTGGAATATCCCTTTAAGAATATCTGCCTCACTATTGCTGGGTTTGTAAGTCGGTGTCATGTTGTGTGTGTGTTGCAGTTTGCCTGGGCACAGACATGAAATTGGCCTTGCCATCAAGCCTGGAGAACCATTATGAAACCCTGAAGCTGCTCTACACTGGCTGCCAAGTTGTCCATGGCAACCTGGAGATCACACACCTCAGTGGAAACCCTGACCTTTCCTTCTTGCAGGTACAGTCTGAGTGGAGAGCATTACAAAAACAGACCTCCATTATTCTGATGATGAACTTTTTCTGTCCTCACCAGGGGATTGTGGAGGTGCAGGGTTACGTACTCGTTGCACACGTCTCAGTGACTTTGGTGCCTCTGGACAACCTTCGGATCATCAGAGGAAGCCAGCTGTACAACTCCAGCTATGCACTGGCTGTGCTGGATAACACTCTGAACAATCGGGGTCTGAGGACCCTGCGCCTTCGCAGCCTGACAGGTCAGTTCAGAGATCAGCAGCGTTTTTGCTGAGATGCACCACAGACTAACTGAAAAGACTCGCCTGTGCTCATGTTCACTGTAAAGTATTTCAGCCTCACAGGTGTGACGTTTTGTCTTTCCTGTAGAGATCCTGTTGGGCAGGGTGTATATTTGGGGGAACCCCCAGCTGTGCTTCCCGGATCCACAAAGCATAATCTGGAATGACACGCTGGACGAGCAGAACAGCCACTCCAGGCTGCACCAGCTGCAGTCCAGAGCCCCTAATTGTGAGTAACCGATAGATGGGGACATGAATGTGCATTAAAATAAAATTGACTTGTATAAATGGGCAAAAGTTCTTAGACATTTTACCATGCTCTTGTTAATTCATTCACAGAATCATGAAACGAGACTAAACACCAAGAATTCTTTGAGGCATGATTTAATAAATTAAAATGAGTGTTTTTCATTAATCACTGATTTTTTTTAGCAGCTAACAGAGGAAATATGTTAATGTTTTTCAAGACTCTAATGCTACTCTAAGATGAAAAAGAGAATTAAATAAAGAACTTAACCGGTGCAAAGACCCGTGATGCCTGAATTAACTTAGAAAAGGTCATAAATTGCTCAAACACTAGCTTTTATCTGGAGCCGTACGCTGCAGCATGAGTTCTATTATAGAACAATAATAAACTATATTTATAAGCTGCTGGTAATTCAAGATGAGATTCAACTGTTGGAGAGTCTTATTGTGAAGGATTAAAGGAAGTTATTTTTAGTTACTCTGTAGGACTTAAAACTTCTTCTCGACATGTCTTTGTTTCTGCTGAGCGGCACTCATGTGCCTATAGGTACCAGATGTGCTTGGCATGCCAGATCTGCTCTGGGTTATAGTTCTTTTTCGTGGGAAACATTTATGACTCTCCTAATAGGTTTGTTTCTATTGCGTGAACTTCATGGTAAATTCTTGTAGGGGAAAACTGTCCTTTCAGGAAGTTGCACAGACGTCAGGACATCGCTACTGCTTCGGCAGTGAATGATGTCACTGATCAGCGCCAAAAAGCGCCCACAATAACATTAATAACATTGAAAGCATTGATTCTGTTGGAGTATATCATAATTTAATTTATTCAGGGGGCGAGAGCAGCTGGGTAATTTAAAATGTGGCTTTCAATGACCAGAAGAAGGTCAGTTTTTTACAGTGCTCTGTGAGACAACAAATCCCTGTGAATTAAAGTTAGAATATGGAAAAATGCTAGTGAAGGTTCTCAGTCATCCAGGTCATGGTAATCCAAAAGGGTTCAAATGAAGGCAACTGGACTTTTTTGGTTTCTTGAAGACGTTTTGCTTCTCATCGGAGGAGCTCAAATGAAGGCAAGAATTGACAAAGCTCCTCGGATAAGAAGCGAAACGTCTTCAAGAAACCAAAGAAGTCCAGTTGCCTTCATTTGAACCCTTTTGGAATATGGAACATTTTAATAAAAAGCTATATTTAAAAAAAATAATTCTTCCGCGAGGCATTTAGAGGTGTGCAGAATGGATGTCCTTTAAAAGCTATATTTAAAAAGGTAAATAACCAGATTTTATTCTGTCGGGCACAACGCAGTGTTTATGTTTACATCTACCAGCCACTAGAGGGCAGCGTAGCACAAAAAAGTCTGTGTTGATTTTACTTGTTGAAATAATAATAATAATGCATTGAACTTATACAGCGCTTTTCTAGACACCCAAAGACGTTTTCACACACTCACATTCACACACTGCTAGTGATGGTAAGCTACTTGTAGCCACAGCTGCCCTGGGGAGGTCTGACAGAGGCGAGGCTGCCATTTGGCGCCGTCGGCCCCTCTGACCACCACTAACACAGGCAAGTTGGGTGAAGTGTCTTGCCCAAGGACACAACAGCAGGATACCCCTGGCGGGAGCAGGAGTCACACCCATGACCCTCCGATCATGAGGCAACCCGCTCTACCACCTGAGCTACTGCTAGTAGTTATTTTAAAACTTTTATTTGCATAAAGTTTCGTTTAGATGCAGACGCATGCACATGTGAATGCCTGCAGAGGGATTTTCTTCATAATTGGCCATCAGTTGCATCAGCTGTTCTATTTGTATAGGTGTGTTTTATAAATATTCAACTGAACAGTTGAGCTGTTAAATAATTTGTGATTTATCTCATATTCTTTGTTTCTGTATAAAACAATCGAATGGCAGGACAGTCAGAGAGGAGCTGTGTCATAGTAACAGAGTCTGAGTCTGCTTTTTCTCTGCTTATGTTCCTTCTCACATTTCCTTATTTTTCCTGCAGGTCCAAAATGTTCTCCGGTTTGTGCAAAAAGCTGCTGGGGAGAAACAGCGCAGGACTGCCAGACACGTGAGCTGAAATCTGACCATGATGCAGAATAGTTTGGATTCTTATGATGAAAACCAGAGTTTCTGAAAGTGTTTATTTCCTTTTGATTTAAGTAACTCGAATCAACTGTGTGAGTGGGTGCCAGCGATGTAAAGGCCCTTTTCCTAACGACTGCTGTCACAGGCAGTGTGCTGCTGGCTGCACCGGGCCGAAAGACTCTGACTGTCTGGTAAACGACACACACACACACATGCATGCTAACATACATACACATATGGTTTCATGCACACACACACACTTCTTTATGCTGTCCAACACACTTCCTCCTCCATCAATTCAGGCATGTCGCCACTTCAACGACAACGGTGTGTGTAAAGAGAACTGCCCTCTGCCTGCCATCTACGACTCGCTCACCTACCAGACCAAACCCAACCCAAACAAAAAATTCAACTTTGGAGCCACCTGCGTTAAGACTTGCCCCTGTAAGCACTTGGCTAAAACAAACAAACAGAACATTTATCCGGTCAAGTTGTGTAATTCCAGCTTTCCACTGCATTAGCGCTCCGCTAACCTTTGAACTCCGTCTCCCTCTCTGCAGATAACTACCTGGCTATGGAGGTGGCCTGTACTTTAAACTGTCCCCGAGCCAACAAGGAGGTCATCATCCTGCAGCCCGACGGGACCGAGACGCAGAAATGTGAAAAGTGTGATGGGGACTGCACCAAAGGTGGGCATATTTCACTCAATGAAAGTTTTCTTCACCTGTTGCATTGATCAAGCAGCACTGTGGTCCCTAGTCACCACGTGTAATTACCTGCTGGTTATTTATAGCAAACATCCAAAGTATGCTTTTATGTTTGTGGTCCACAGCAGCAGAGATGGCAAGTGTTAAAGCAACATCCTCAAACAAAATGAACACGTTCACTACGATGAATGACTGAATGGTTGCCATGTGGCAACAACTAATACGTGAATCATAAACAGCCTCGAGCCATTTTTACTCTGGAAGCAATGACTCATGGGAGATTTAAACAAGAGGTCCCGTAACTCTGCATTCAATCAATCAATCAATCAATCAAACTTTATTTCAGACAAGGGATATGTCCATAACAAGAATAAAATAAAAAATAAATAAATAAATAAAAATAAAAATACACATTCTAATTACAAACCGTTTAGGCAGTTGTTCCAATGTTTAAAAAGGACTGAGGAGTACCTCGTGTCACTGTAAGATAAAGATGGCAGTGCTCTAACAACAGCGTTAGCTGACAAACTCAGTCGGCGGATGAATTTGTACATGAAGAGCCTCAAAAGCGCATGAAAAGTAGGGATGTTACTCACAACAAACATATGACTTGCAGAGGTCCATCTAGGGAGCTTCATGAGGATTCTAAAAGCATCCTGATAAGCCACTTGAAGCTTCTTCATTACTACCTTACTATAGTTGCACCACAAGTTGGCTGTATAGAGAGGAGTACAAAAGGAACGAAAGAGGGACACTTTAACAGAATCTGAGCACATGCCAGTTACGTGCCACTGTGTTAGCCTGCATGTACAATTTACCGCATTGCCTCTTAATGTCCTCGTCATCACAGAGGTCACTTCTTAAAATGTGCCCCAAATATTTTACTTTGCTTACCACTTCGAGGACCTGATTTGTTAAGTTAAAAGATGGAAAATTAAGCTTCAGGTCCCCTTTAGTAGCAGCAATCACAACCACACTCTTTTTAGGGTTAAACAGGATGTCAAATTGCTCACCATACTTAGCACATGCCCTGAGCAGCTGCTGCAGGCCTGCACTATAGGGAGACATGAGAACTAGGTCATCTGCATATATTAAATGATTTACAAGTCGGTCACCCACCAAGCATCCAGTCTTACTATCATTCAAAGGACTGGTACCGGTGTGTTGATCTTGTGGTCTCGAGCCTTACAGGAAGAATTAAAACTTTAAATGATTCAGTATGTTTTTTTATACATACACTAGTTTACAAGGTAATAGCTGAACAAACTGCATTTACTGATTGAAAATGCACAGACGGAGCGTGGATGAAAACAAACGATCAGAAAGAAAGGTCAAACGTTTATGTACAAACTGGAACATTTTCTCAAAGAACTTTTTTTTTTTTACTCCTACTTATGTAAATATTTGTGTCACTACGTTTTACAAACCGCCCACCTCTGGTCAAAAGTTTTTTTCATCCACCTTTGGATGGACATGCTGTTTGGTTGAGATGTTCAGCTGCGATCCTTTGTTTACACCGGGTTACTCCACATCTGTAAGCGCTGTATCGGCTCATCATTCTCGGACCTAGAAACTTTCCCACCGGTAAAAAGGATGAAACAAATCCACTCTTCTAAGTAAATACTGCCACTACTTTGCTTTAACTGTCCTTAGCTTGGCCCATTCCCTTTCCAGGTGTGTCCTATTGCTTTGGAAAAGGGATGTCTCCTCCGACATCAGATCCGATTAGCACCTTCCCCAACAGCGGTGCTTTGTTCTTTACCGTTGGAACATCTTTAGGAGACGAAACTACAACTTAGAGACAAGTGAAGAAACTCAGATCCATAGTCACTCATGTAAAACGCAGTCTTGTTTGTCTAGGGATACTTCCCAGAGTGCTTTGCAACATTACTTCACAATCTATTTTTAGCTACTGTATTACTTATGCCAGTCTAAGTGTGTATTTATTATTAAAATGTGCACTTAATTATGTGTGTGATTAGCCTCTTTCCAACTGATCTGTGATGTAAAATAAAGAATGGGACGGTGGTGTTCCAAGTCCTCTGGTTAGTCTGCTGTTTGGAGTTGTATATTTGTAATTCTCCATCCTCCCTACAATTAATGTGAAAGCATGAATTGTTGCTCCAGCTGTGGTTGTGCTCTCATAGAAGTTTAGTTTTGGGTTGAGTTTAAGTCTCTGATATGTCTGTCTTTTCTAGAGTGTTACGGTTTGGGAATGGGTAACTTCGGTGTTGTGGACAATCACAGCGTTACCATGGTAACATCAGCCAACGTGGAGCAGTTCACCAAGTGCTCGCAGATTTTTGGAAGCCTCGCCTTCCGTGCTCAGAGCTTTGAAAGGTAAGACAACATCAAAACCAAGGGTGCTAGATCCTCCTCTGACCTGACCCTGTGGAGCAGCTTGCTCCTGGATGTAAAGCCAGCTGATACGCGCATTTGTATTCTCAGACATCTCAGAAATAATTAGGTGGCTGCAGGCTTATCCTACATACTTACTGTCATTGTTTACATTTTTACCTGTGATTTTTCTTTATTGCTTTATTATTGCTTTATGATTTTAAGCTATGTATTCTGTTTCAGTTGCCTCTGGTTTTAATATTTTCTAATGCTTTTAAGTTCCTTCTATTTGTTTTTATTACCATTACTGTTGTGTAGTACTTTGGGGTGACGGTGCTGCCGTTTAAATGTGCTGCATGAATAAAGGTTGACTTAACTTGAAAAAATGTTAATAATAGATTTTGTTATGAAATTCATAAACAGACCTGGGCTGATGTTTCATATTAAAGACGTTTTAGTGAGCCGACACGTTTCTTTAACTAAATATGTTTTATAATGAGTAAAAATGCCCCAATGAGGTGGTCACCATATTACCAATCACACGTAGTATTTTAAATATTTGACTTGGATGCAACATTTGCAGAATTTGTTGAGAGCAAAAACCTTCAAACTTGATGGATGGATTAATTAGAACTGTTCTTCACAAAATCTTTGTGTAAACACAGAACAAACCACTGATGAAAAAAATTATAAGTTTATTCATATTGTGCATCAAGTGTTTGTGCTATCTGCAGAGCTTTATGAAAAAAAGGTTAGTTGTCTTTTTAGAACTCAAACAGCTGTTTTTGTGTTGTGAAAAGAACAAGTGAAGCGGCTTGCTTCATCTTGCTGGAGTTGTTCCGGGTGAGAGGCGAAGGGCTGGGGTTGGCTTTTTGTTAGCCCAAGACTCTCTGCCTGTGTGTTGGGGTTTACCCCGGGGGACGAGAGCGTAGCTTCCCTGCACCTTCGGGTCGGGGAACAGGTCCTGACTGTTGTTTGTGCTTATGGGCTAAATATAAGTTCAGAGTACCCACCCTTTTTGGAGTCCCTGGGACGAGTTCTAGATAGTGCTCCATCAGGGGACTCAATTGTCCTGCTGGGGGACTTCAGTGCTCACGTGGGCAATGACAGCTTGACCTGGAGGGGTGTGATTGGGAGGAACGGCCCGCCTGATCTGAACTCGAGTGGTGTTTCGTTATTGGACTTCTGTGCAAGCCGCAGTTTGGCCATAACGAACACCATGTTCGAACATAAGGATGCCCATCGGTACACTTGGTACCAGGGCAGCCTAGGTCACAGGTCGATGATAGACTTTGTAGTCGTATCATCTGACCTGCGGCCGTATGTTTTGGACACCCGAGTGAAGAGAGGAGTGGAGCTGTCTACTGGTGAGTTGGATCAGATGGCAGGGGAAGATGCCGTGTAAACCTGGCAGTCCCAAATGCATAGTGAGGGTCTGCTGGGAACGCCTGGCAGAAGAACCTGTCAAGACGGTCTTCAACTCCCACCTCCGGCAGAGCTTTGACCGCGTCCCGAGAGCAGTGGGGGACATTGACTCCGAGTGGGCCTTGTTCCACTCTGCGATTGTGGAGGCGGCTGTTGCTAGCTGTGGTCGCAAGGTGGCAGGTGCCAGTCGTGGTGCTAACCCCCGTACCCGCTGGTGGACATCAGAGGTCCGGGAAGCCATCAGGCTGAAGATGGAGGGCTACATGGCGTGGCTGGTCTGTGGGTCTCCGGAGGCAGCAGACAGGTACCAGATAGCCAAGCGGGGTGCAGCAGTGGCAGTTGCCGAGGCAAAATCTCGGGTATGGGAGGAGTTTGGTGAGGCCATGGAGAAAGACTATCGATCGGCTCCAAAGAGGTTCTGGCAAACTGTCCGGCGCCTCAGGAGATGGAGGCAGCAACTCGCTCACACTGTTTACAGTGGTGATAGGGAGCTGCTGACGTCAACTGGGGCTATAGTTGGACGGTGGAAGGAATACTTTGAGGAGCTCCTCATTCCCACCTACGCACATTCTGAGGAGGAACCAGAGCCGGGAGACCTGGGGAGGGACTGTCCAATCTTGGGGGCAGAAGTTGCTGAGGGAGTCAAACAACTACACAGCGGCGGAGCCCCGGGGGCGGATGAGATTCGTCCTGGGTATCTCAAGGCTATGGATGTTGTAGGGCTGTCATGGTTGACACATCTCTGAAACATTGCGTGGTCATCGGGGGCAGTTCCTGTGGAGTGGCAGACCGGGGTGGTGGTCCCCATCTTTAAGAAGGGTGACCTAAGGGTGTGTTCCAACTATAGGGGGATCACACTCCTCAGCTCAGCCTCACTGGAAAGGTCTACTCCAAGTTACTGGAGAGGATAGCTGAATCTCAGATTGAGGAGGAGCAATGTGGTTTTCGTCCTGGCCGTGGAACTGTGGACCAGCTCTATACCCTTGCAAGGGTGATGGAGGGAGCATGGGAGTTTGCCCAACCAATCCACATGTGTTTTGTGGATTTGGAGAAGGCTTATGACCGTGTCCCCAGGGGCACCCTGTGGGGGATGCTGCAGGAGTATGGGGTGGGCGGCTTTCTGTTAAGGGCCATTCAGTCCCTTTACCAGAGGAGCGTGAGTTTGGTCCGCATAGACGGTAGTAAGTCGGACCTGTTCCCAGTGAGGGTTGGACTCTGCCAGGGCTGCCCTTTGTCACCGGTTCTGTTCATTACCTTTATGGACAGAATTTCTAGGCGCAGCCGTGGTGTGGAGTGTGTCGAGTTTGGTGGCAGGAGAATCTCGTCTCTGCTTTTTGTGGATGATGTGGTCCTCCTGGCTTCATCCAGCTCTGACCTTCAGCTCTTGCTGGGTAGGTTTGCGGCCGAGTGTGAAGCAGCTGGGATGAGGATCAGCACCTCCAAATCTGAGACCATGGATCTCAACCGGAAAAGGGTGGCTTGCCAACTCCGGATCGGGAGAGAGGTCCTACCTCAAGTGGAGGAGTTTAAGTATCTCGGGGTCTTGTTCACGAGTGAGGGTAGGAGGGATCAGGAGATCGACAGGCGGATTGGTTCAATATCTGCAGTGATGCAGACGCTGAGCCGATCTGTCGTGGTGAAGAGGGAGCTGAGCCAGAAAGCCAGGCTCTCAATTTACTGGTCGATCTACGTCCCAATCCTCACCTATGGTCATGAGCTTTGGGTAATGACCGAAAGAACGAGATCGCGGATACAAGCGGCCGAAATGAGTTTCCTCCGTAGGGTGGCCGGGCTCAGCCTTAGAGATAGGGTGAGGAGCTCGGACATTCGGGAGGGACTCGGAGTAGAACCGCTGCTCCTCCGGATCGAAAAGAGCCAGTTGAGGTGGTTAGGGCATCTGGTCAGAATGCCTCCTGGACGCCTCCCCGGGGAGGTGTTTCGGGCATGTCCTGCCAGCAGGAGGCCCCCGGGTCGACCCAGGACACGTTGGAGAGGTTACATCTCCAATCTGGTCCGGGAACGTCTTGGGGTCCTGCCGGAGGAGCTGGTGGAGAAGGCCGGGGAGAGGACGGTCTGGAGCTCCCTAGTTGGGATGCTGCCCCCGCGACCCGGACCCGGATAAGCGGAGGAAGACGACGACGATTTTGTATTTAGAAAATAAATTCATTTTTTCCTCTATTTTCCTTTTCAGAGATCCTGTGACCAACACTTCTGGCCTGACTCTGGAGCAGATGTGCGCCTTCAAGAAACTGAAAGAGATAACAGGTATCAAACTTACTCCCAGGTTGTGTGAGATCGAGATACAGCGTTTTATTGTGCAAAACAGGATGTTCCACATGTGAGCAAATTCGCTAGAACATCTCAAAGCTTTATATGAAAGGCCTCTGATTGGCTAAGAGCAACACGGCTGTGTTTGCTCTGCAACGTTGATGTTTTATCTCCACAAATAACACAAGCCTGATCCTTGGTCTTTAAATAAGTTTTGCCTAGGTATTTCTGTCTGAGATTTGTGTGTTTTGGCTGCAGGTTACTTGTACATCGATGCCTGGCCAGAGGAGTGGGCCAACCTCTCCGTGTTTGAGAATCTAGAGGTGATCAGAGGCAGGATGCTCCACATGTAAGTCTGTTAAGCTGCTGGTTTAATGGCATCTCTGCACATTAATTCTCCTTCAAACACAACCACTACACTGTTTTGTGATGTTTTTTGTCTATTATATATATATATATATATATATATATATATATATTTTACATTTTCATAAAACATAAATTCTTTATCACATTTAGCACAAAATGACATATTGAATACTTTCTCCAGAATAGAGAAAATAGTAAAAATGTTTATTTAAAAAAACTCTAAAACCACTTTCCAAATATGGGATTCTTCTCTTTCTGTGTTTTGCGTCATTGCATGCCTGAGTGTTGATGTCCGTCCACTCACACTGGGTCTTTGTTTGCACTCTCTTTTTCTCTGCCTGTTGCACTAGTCTGCTCACTTTAACAGCAATAAATGCTAATTATTAGCCAGCCTGTTGCTCTGACGTGCAGCACGTTCCAGCCAGAGTCTCTGACCTGAACTTTAGTTCTGCAGCCAAGAGCTGTGCCAGTTTGTTTTAAAATGACTGGTTCAGATAGCGTTTATGGTTCTTTACCAAGTGTCTTGTTTTACTTTGACCCTTGTGACACAGGGATGACCAATCCTGGTCCTGGAGGGCCGCTGTCCAGCTTGTTGTAGTTGTTTCTTTGCTTAAACACACCTGATTTTATTCAGCAGGTGATTAAAGGTGTGGCGGAGAATGTTTCTGAATTTCAGGAAAGAACCGCCCTCTCCACGTTTAGAAAAAATGCGCATGAGAGAGAACGCCCAGTTATCCTCGTGCATGCTGTGTTTACAAGTAGCTGCCGGCCTTGCAGCCCACACTCACTCAAGAAAAGAAAATGTGGGGTTTTTTTCAACAATGTCAGATTTATATTTATTTGTGTGCATTTCCTTTTTTATTCCAATGGTTTGCATTTTATTTTACTTATTTCTTCTTCCACCCGTATTGAACTACTGCTGTCTGTCTACTTCTGCACCTTATTCCCTTTTCTGATTAGTTTATGCTTCCATAGCATATGATTTCCCCCGCAGGACCAATAAAGTATTTTCATTGGGATTAACTTCTCTGCCAATAACCACTAGGTTTATTCTCCGATCAGAATTAAACAATTCTCTGCTGAAACGACTTCTCCAAATAGCAGGCTGAACTTTAGCTCACCTGTCGAGCAGAAAACCATCAACAGTCGTCTGTGGGGAGCCCAACCATCTTCTAAAGAACCTGATGAGAACAGCGAGGAATGATGGTGTAATGCGCATGCGCAGAGGAAGTGACAACTAACCCAGGAACGAGCACATACGACGACGGCCTTGCGTGAAAGCTTCACCAGAATGATTGACAGTTATAGGGACCAATGGTTCCAATGATCCACCCGGAAAAACAAGATCTTCCGCTATACCTTTAACAGGCTTCTGTAGGTAACTCAACCATTGAATAAATTGTGTTGGAGCAGAAAAACAACTAAAACCCTGTACATATGCAGCCTGGTCTCCCACCAAACGAAGATGTTTTTCTACTTTGGCCTGTCATTCCCACCAAAGTGACTGCAGACGGCGCCGAAATCAATTCTTTCAAAAACTGACCAAAGTGCAGGTTAGGGATGCACCGAAAATTTCCACCGAAAATGACCCAAAAGTGCTTTTTCGGTTTTAGGCTGAAACAACTCGGACAAAACAGGCTGTCAGGTGAACCCCGTTTTTGTTTCATATCGCTCCGCCCTCATGTAGCAACTTGATCTTTATAACAACGGTACATTTGTACTGATTTGAAAAGTGAAGTTGTTCCCCTTTTAGTAATGCTGTTTCATTACAATCGCTGGAAGATTCCACCGCAGTTGCCTGGCTTTATGTTTTTTTTTACTTTTTACATTCCCGCTATGCCTGTCACTGTTAGCAGTGTTTTTACCATCCTTTCAACACTCTCATTGATCATGTGTGTGAAGCGTGTTTGTTCTCATGAAGCACTCAGACTTTCTGTTGCTGCGTGTGGCCACAGCGTCATATTCTGCCTCACTAGACGAGTGAATATCTTCATCAGAGGGTGAATATTACTCTTCAGAATCTGAGTCGGCCATTACCAGACAAATAGCTTTGTTAGCAATTAACAGACCTGCCAGCATTGTCCGTTTTTCTTATCCGCCCTCTGTTTGCTTCGCTCTCCTCCTCCGTCGGGAAGCTACCTACTGGGGGAATTTTTTTAACTCGAAACATTTCAATAGAAACTCCCTAAAGTGTTGCTCAGATTGAAGTTCGACATCAATTTGCATATATAAAGTAAATTTTAATACTGAAATCCAAATATGAATGTGGCTTTAAACTGAATATCTTGATAAAATTCATAGTGCCTCAAAATGTGAGTATATTACCAAAATAAAAGCAGATAAAAGCAAAGTGATCCCCTATTAAGAGTCTCAGAGTCTGCATTTTGGTAAGATTATTGTTACTGGTCAGTGTTCTTGTTCTCCCTGCTGATTGATAAGTGACCCATAGTTAAATGAACTCGAGGCCATACCATAAAAAGGACCCTGAGACGTTAGATAGGGGTTCTCATCACTCTGCTTTCATTGTGATAGACTACGTCAGTTTTCCAGCAGATTGAGTTAGCATTAAGTCTTAATGTAGTTAGCTGAATATTTAGATTTTTATTTAGTTTTCATCATTTAGAAATATTTTTATATTTAAATTTGACTGTAAATATTTAAATGTAGCTTCGTGTATATTTTAGATTTAAGTGTAAACATTTATTTTTACCATTGTTTCAATCTAAATGTCTTAGATTTAGAATGTAAAACCTTAAACAGCTCTCCATACATTCATGCTTTTTTTCCTTGTGCAGTTTATTTTTAATTATTGATCATTTAAAACTCCACCAGTCTCCAGGTGTTTTCATGTTTGTAAAACACAAAACAATGAACTATTCAGGAATATACTTGCTTACACACAGTTTCTTGTTTCTGTTCAGGGGGGTGTTTTCTCTCGCCATCCAGAACCTACACATCCAGTCTCTTGGGCTGCGTTCACTGCGCAGCGTCAGTGGAGGTTTGGTTTTGATATACAACAACTCACAGTTGTGCTACACCAACTCTCTGCCCTGGGAGAGTCTAATCCATCCCACCCAGGGGCCCCATCGCATTGTCAGCCACAACCAGGACCCTCAAGTCTGCGGTAGGTGATGAATGCAGATGTTTGGAAGGTCCTGTTTTAGCAGTTGTGTCATCATGGTTTCTCAATTTTGTTTGTGTTTTCACAGAGAGTGAGGGGTATATTTGCCACTCTCTGTGTAAGGGGGGCTGCTGGGGTCCTGGCCCAGGCCAGTGTGTGTCCTGTAAGACGTTCCAGCGTGGCACCGAGTGTGTGGAGCAGTGTAACCTCCATGATGGGTAAGAGGGCCTCAGTAGTGGTGAATTATACTGTGTGTGATGACCCCACAACATTAAAGCTACAATAAATAAGAAATTTACATTGAAATAATCAGTTTAAGGTCTCAATCGTCATCATCATACTGAAACCGATTTCCTTCTATACTGGCTGGAGGGTTGTCACTTTTTCTCTATCTGCGAGAATGCGGGATTTACGAGTACTTTACCGCTGCAGCGCCTGCTTCGTAATTCCACATCAGCTAGCAAAAAGCAGCAGTGTTGTGGACAATAAGTTAGCCAGTAGCAGGAGCGACCTAGAAGTTATTTTTTGTACCCCTAAGAAGCCACGACAACCTTTTGTTTTACTCGAATATCAGGTGAAGCAGGCTAGAGGCTAACATTCAGCTAACATAACTAATGGTGAATCAGCAACAAATAGCTCTAAAAATATCTCAAGCTACTTTTTCAGTTAACAATAACTCAATATTACAGTGAAATGTATTTATCTAATTATCTTACTGTGTGACTCGTCTTTGCTGGTTATCTAGAATCTTCTGCCGCTGAGCCGCAGCCATCAAACTCAGAGTGAAAGAGTCAGTTTTGTTTTGAAAATGGACTGCAGTACCCAAATTTGACCATGGGATGTCATTCTTACTTAATTCTTACATCTGTTACATTTAAAAAATAAAAGATTCAACTCAAGAAAGATGCTTCACTCACATGTCTGACAGATGTTGTCTGATGTGACAATAACACATGTAGTGCTTGTGTTGTAGGTCGAGGCGTGAATACGTAGATGGATTTTTGTGCACAGCCTGTCATGCAGAGTGTCAGCCCTTCAACGGTTCTGTCTCCTGCCATGGCAAGGTAAGGATCTGAGCATTTTATGCAAAAATGTGATGAGGAAACCTCTCAGATACTTCCTCAGATGTCCAGATTTTACTTTATGAAAATCACTTTTACACATTTTATCTTAACTTTAAACAAAACTGTGGGATGAGAGAAAGTATTTTCATCTCCAAGGTGTATACTGGAATCAGCTTTCCTCTTTCTCAACCCCAGACTAGTCCCAGCTGTGTATGTAATCTGGAGCAGGTTTGATGTGATTAAGCTTCAGCCAAGCTCAGCTGAGACATGTCGCTCACTCAGCATTACATATTTGGTTTTGTTACTTTTATTTCTGTACGTCTCTGGAAACATTTAGGGTTTGGGCCCAACTAATGTAGTTATGGATTTATACATTGCAGATAATTCTTGACTGTTAAGGTCCCATTGTGCTCTTCTCTTGTATAAAGATCAGCATAAAACAAGTGTAAGTTACGTGCATTTGTTCTCCTTTCATCAACATAAACTCCTCGGCAACACAATGCTGTTTAAAAAAATTAAACCTCTGTGTAAGTTCATTAATTGTACGCTGTGTGAAAAGAGGCAGTGCAGAGCTGTCCCACAATACAGAGGTTCAAGGAGTGTTCAGCATCCCTCATTTCCATGACAAAAGGACTTGGTGCATGTTCTGAAGCAGGAAGCAGAGCTCTGTTTGATGCATTGAGGTGGCTACCCAGTTGTCAAGGCAACAACGACTTTAATAATCATCCTCTGCTTTAAACTACAATGTAGGTCAATCTTATCCTGGGTTTCTTTAGGAGATCTGTCTTAAATAACCAAAGCTTGAAGATTGCACACTTACAGCGGGGCAAAAAGTGTTTAGTCAGCCACCAATTGTGCAAGTTCTCCACTAGAAAAGATGAGAGGCCTGTAATTTTCATCATAGGTATACATCAACTATGAGAGACAAAATGAGAAAGAAAAAAAAATCCAGAAATCCATTTTCTGATTTTTAAAGAATTAATTTGCAAATTATGGTGGAAAATCAGTATTTGGTTTCCTACAAACTAACAATATTTCTGGCTCTCAGACCGGTAACTTCCACTGTAAGAGGCTCCTCTGTCCTCCACTCGTTATCTGTAATGGCACCTGTCTGAACTCGTTATCAGTATAAAAAGACACCTGTCCACAACCCCAAACATTCACACACCAAACTCTACTATGGCCAAGACCAAAGACCTGTCAAAGGACACTAGAAACAAAATTATAGACCTGCACCAGGCTGGGAAGACTGAATCTGTAATGGGTTAGCAGCTTGGTGTGAAGAAATCAGTGGTGGGAGCAATTATTAGTAAGTGAAAGACGTATAAGACCACTGATAATCTTCCTCGATCAGGGGCTCCACGCAAGATCTCACCCCATTGGGTCTAAATGATCACAAGAACAGTGAGCAAAAATCCCAGAACTACACGGGGGACCTTGTGAATGACCTGCAGATAGCTGGGACCACATTTACAAAGTCTACCATCAGCTACACCACCAGGGACTCAAATCCTGCAGTATCAGACATGCCCCCCTGCTTGAGCCAGTACATGTGCAGGTTTATTTGCTAGAGAGCCTTTGGATGATCCTGAAGAGGATTGGGGGAATGTCACATAGTCAGATGAAACCAAAATCGAATTTTTGGTAAAATCTCTACTTGTCATGTTTGAAGGAGAAAGAATGCTGTGTTGCATCCAAAGAACACCTACTGTAAAGCATGGGGGTGGAAACATCATGCTTGGGGCTGTTTTTCTGCAACTTGTTTGTTTCTCCTCTACTTTGACAGCCAGTGTCTTGATTGTGCTGTCGTTGAAGTTTTTCTTTTTTTCCCATGAAGACTGTAGGGAATTCCCTTATCAGCCAAGGACGTAGTGTGACCAAATTTGTTTAATTGAGGGTGTTTCTGTATGTAAATCATGGTGAACTGACATGAACACCTGGGTTCATTTATCTGATCAGACGATTGCAGAGGAACATGCGTGCAAGTGGCCACCACCTATTTCAGAAATCAGGATTTTGAGTGTACGAACATTCTAAATTTTAATCATAGGAAAGAATTTAGGAACATTTCTATGACTGTTTGATGAATGAGACCCCAGGAGTGGCCTAGCCAGTCTCCAGTTCTCAACCCCATAAAAAATCTTTGGAGGAAGTTTAAAGTTGCCCAAAACATCTCTGCTCTAGAGGAGATCTGCATGGAGGAATGGGCCAAAATACCCGCAACAGTGTGAAAATCTTGTGAAGACTAACAGAAAATGTTTGACTGCTGTCATTGCCAGTGTGTGATTTGTGAAAAAAGCAGGGGCAGGATCACTCTTTAGTAATAAAAACTACAACAGGCTTGTTTGCCGGTTGCACGCACAACACAATATGGCCTGCTGTCAATTCGCGACATAGACTTTTAAGAGCTTTTACAGACAAAATCCCAGATATATAAACACTTTGCAGTCCAAAGACAGGAGTTGGTTGAAGCAAGGACTGGGCGACATGGCCTAAAATCAATACCACGATATATTGAGGATTTCACCTCGATAACGATAAATGGACGATAACTACAGGTATGCGCAGAAACAAAAGTTGTCCACTAGATGGGGCGTGTATTAGTTGAGTCACATTTTTACATGACTCAATGTGATACAGCTTCCTAAAGGTCATGAACATTGCCAACCTACACACATCTTTTCATGTTTTTAATTATCAAATTTATTGACATGGGAAAAATTATCTCATTTAAAGTCAGAAATTTCGATAATGATAAATTTTCGATCTATTGCCCAGCCCTAGTGGAAGCCTGGAGCACACAGTAGACAGATACGCCACGTCACGCCCGCCCTGTCATTTTAAAGAAAAGCCATTATCGTTACTGAGAGTGACTACACGGGGAGCACAACGCCATAAATGGCGTACTTACCCATTTTTTATTAATTAGAGTCTCGCATAACACGACGGCAAGTCTGACCGCGAATAAACAAGAGTCACTTTCTGCATCCTGTTCTCAAGTCCTGCATGATGTTGTGACTATTGCGTGATTTTTTCCAAGAAGCGTTCAGCGGCGTAGCGAGTCCTGTGTGACCATTTGACTTCCCAAAACTGCGGCGCTTCTGTGGCGCAGCGCATCTATTGTGTCCCAGGCTTAAGGGAGAAGTTTAAAATCTGCCCTGAAGACAATATTAAAGTTATAAAAGCTAAATAAGCTCTGGAATGATGGAAAACGTTGGTCCGATTCGCCGGTGTGTTCTTCACAAATCTGCTGGGAAGACATTTATTCTTACTTAACAGAAAGCCCTGGACCCTTCACATATGAAAATGAAAGACTTTCAAATGTTTGGAGGCCTACAGTTGTTTTGTTTCAAGGAACGTTGGACACATCTTTTCTGAAAACCGAAAGCCGTGGTAGTGCGAATAGCAGCAGTTGGCCCTGACGAGCAGAGCCACAGTGTTGACTGTGGGTGATGGCCAAAGACAACGGATAAATCATCAGTGCAACTGTAAAGTCGAGGTAGTCTTCATTAATCAGTGTCCTTGTGAATCTATTTATTTACAATTATAACTGTCGCAGGTTGAGACACCTGAATCAATACAATGTGACCGTGGGTTTAAAACACATGAATATGACTTGAATATGATTTTAAAGACATCTTCGCTAATTAACAAATGCTTAGTAACAAGGACTTACCATGAAGTAAACGAGCCTCACAAACTGTTTGTTGCTGCAGGAATCCTCTTGCAGGAGTCCAGGCTTTTTTTTTTTTTTTGAGGGTTTGGGTCGCCCACAATCGTCTCTTCCATATTTTGCGGTCGTTCACGGAGGAAATTCCAATAAAACTTTTTATCAAGCCTCCCACGGGCCACGAAATCAAGTACACAGCAAGAATGATCCATTTGCTTCAATTATCCTCCAAACAAGTAAAACAGTTGAATTATAGGCAAAATAAGTTGTTTCTTGCTATTTGTGAAATAATTTTCAGCCATGCAGCTGAAATAATGTTGGTTTTTATTAACTTGTGGTTCTAATCAGACATTTTATAAGGTTGCTTTGGTTGCAATATAAAAACAGGCAGTTTATTCAGTCTTTTAAAATCGGCTCCAGGGAATCTTTAATAACTCAGAGTTTTTATTTCTGATCCAAAAAGCAGTTAGTAAAGCAAACTTTGAGCTGGTCAGCTTCTGTTTCAGGAGCCATGTTGATTGGAAACTTCCACGATTTTCACTCCAGATGGTTTGTTTCTTATTTTTCAGGGCCTGCACCTAACCTGCTCCATAGCAGGTTTTTAAGTCTGCATTGAATTTGCGTTTAGATTTTAATCCAGTGGGGATCAAATGTTTTTGATCATTTTTTGTTTGTTTGGACTTAAGCTGTGCAGGCAGCTGCTTCACCCTTTTCCTTTTTTCCCCACTAATCCTTAAAGCAACATTCCCGAGATTCCCCCTTTCAGGTGTTCTGTATGTTCTCTGCAAAAGTGATGACCTGAGTGCTGCTCAGCATTAGCCAATGGCATTAGACATCTGCTTATATACAGATGTCTATCACAAAGCATGCACTGGCGTTTGAGGAAGTACCGAGAGGCAATGCTTCCAGTCGTATTCGCAGAAATAGTGGGAGGGGACTTGAGGTGCAATAAAATTGTCTGCCTCTAGATGGAGTTTTTTGCTTTAAAGAGACGGGAGCTGAGCCTGAACGCCACAGACAGGTGGCAACAAGTGACTTTAATGAAATATTAGGAGTTTCTTTAAGAAACACAAGAAGATGACCTTTGAATTTCCCTCCGTTTTTAGGGTGCGGAACACTGCACCAAGTGTCGACACTTTCAGGACGGAGAGTTTTGCGTGGACAGCTGTCCCAGTGGTGTGAAGGAAGATCAGCACACCGTGTGGAAATACAGCAATGCAACAGGACACTGTGTGCTCTGCAACACGAACTGCTCCCTGTCGTAAGTCAACACACATCCAGACCCAACAACAGGTAACGCACTGAGTCCTTTACACAGAATACTTTTTCCTTTCAGCTGCACTGATAAGGACGAGCGAGGCTGCCCCATCGACACCAGGACAGGGTCAGCAGCTCAGAATTCTGATGCTTATTTATATGTTTTTATATCACAGCGACGAAGTTTAACCGTTTTTCTGTATTTTCAGACCGGGCACGACCATCGCTGCTGCTGTGGGTGGAGTAGTGCTCTTCTTCATCCTGCTGGCTTTGCTGGTCTTCTATCTGAAAAGGCAGACGAAGCTGAGGAGGAAGGAGACGGTGAGGAGGTACCTGCAGGAGCAGGAGGTAAGCATCATGAAGGATAAGCTCATGCCTCAGTCTTTGTCCAAAGTCTTGTCTCAGATAGCATAAATCCTTCTCGTTCCTTTCTTCGTGCCTTCAGCTGGTGGAGCCTTTAACTCCGAGTGGCGCGTCTCCCAATCAAGCCCAGATGAGAATCCTGAAGGAGACGGAGCTAAAGAAGGACAGGATTCTGGGTGCAGGAGCCTTTGGGACAGTGTACAAGGTGTGAGAGTTTTGATACATGGACTGCAGTACCCAGAATTGACCACAAGTTGTCATTCTTACTTAATGCACCTTTAAGATTCCGGTTTACGTTTTAGGGGGTGTGGGCTCCTGAAGGAGAAACCGTGAAAATTCCCGTGGCCATTAAGGTGTTGAGAGAGAACACCTCACCAAAGGCGAATAAAGAGATTCTCGATGTAAGTTTGAATCCAGATAGTTACAGCGAACCAAAATAATGTCTTCAGCTCACCAGCGTGTTTGCTGCGTTTCCACCCAGGAGGCCTACGTGATGGCGGGGGTCACCAGCCCCTATGTGTGTCGTCTCCTGGGTATCTGTCTGACCTCCACAGTGCAGCTTGTCACTCAGCTGATGCCGTATGGCTGCCTGCTCGACTACGTCCGGGAGAACAAGGACCGCATTGGTTCTCAGTTCCTCCTCAACTGGTGTGTCCAGATTGCTAAGGTACACAAAGCAGAAACAGAGTGAGCATCTGCGTTTGTTCCCTAACAGTGATTGAAAGGGATACGTTTACATTTTTACCACTTTGCAGTGTGTGTGTGTGTGTGTGTGTGTGTGTGTTTTCTTTTTTGCTTTTGTAACACTGTGGACTCATGGATCCGTGTGTGTGTGTGTGTGTGCGTGCGTGCGTGCGTGCGTGCGTGTGTGTGTGTGTGTGTGTGTGTGTGTGTGTGTGTGTGTGTGTGTGTGTGTGCGTGTGTTATAGGGGATGAGCTATCTGGAGGACATCCGCCTGGTTCACAGAGATCTGGCTGCACGTAACGTTCTGGTAAAGAACCCTAACCACGTGAAGATCACAGACTTTGGTCTGGCCCGTCTGTTGGATATAGATGAGACTGAGTACCATGCTGATGGAGGGAAGGTGAGACGTGTGTGTGTGTGTGTGTGTGTGTGTGTGTGTGTGTGTGTGTGTGTGTGTGCGTGCGTGCGTGCGTGCGTGCGTGCGTGCGTGTGTGTGTGTGCGTTTTAGCTCTAATACGTACACTGTGCGTTTTACCCACCGTTTCTGTATTTCCAGGTGCCGATTAAATGGATGGCTTTAGAGTCGATTCTGCACAGAAGATTCACCCATCAGAGTGATGTCTGGAGTTATGGTGCGGGTCTATGCTGCATAACGACTCACCGGGTGGAGTCAAAGCTCACAGCTGTGATAATTGTCTGATTCTCAGGTGTGACGGTGTGGGAGCTGATGACTTTTGGTTCCAAGCCCTACGACACAATCCCAGCAAGAGATATCCCAAATGTGTTAGAGGGTGGAGAGCGCCTTCCGCAGCCCCCCATCTGCACCATCGAAGTCTACATGATCATGGTCAAATGTCAGTACTTTGTTCCAAGTTTGAACCAAGTCACTCATTTTGGAAAGTTTGGATTTGGCGATTTTCAGACGTTGTTTATTTTTTGTTTCTGTTGCAGGTTGGATGATTGATCCAGAGAGCCGACCCAAGTTCAGAAGTCTGGTTCAAGACTTTAGCAGCATGGCCAGAGATCCGTCCCGATACTTAGTCATTATGGTATTAGTAAATGTATATTCATTTGGATCCATGGTACAGATGTTGATTACTGTCTGTGACCAGACTTTAAAGGTATAATCTCTACATTTACAGACAATAAATCTCTGCCTCTGTGTTTGTGTTTTCCTGTTTCTCTTTTCTCCAGAACGATGAGCAGATGAGTTCTTGCAGCCCGGTGGACAGCCGGTTTTACCGAATGCTTCTGGAAGAAGGGGACAATATGAGAGAGATGATGGATGCTGAGGAATATCTGGTGCCTCTCACAGACGGAGAGGAATCTCAGCCCAACGGGCCATCCAGACACCAGTCATACAGGGTCAGGAAGGAGGAACTTTGTTTTAGTTTTGGCTCCTTAACTCTGTTTCATCTATTTACTCTGCCTTGTCCCTTTTTTGTGTGCCAACAGAGCAGAGATCAGGGTTTAGATGTTGAGCCCGTCACTGTCGCTGTTCCACGGAGCGTGTATTCCTCTCAGGGTACTCTTGGCCATGGTCAGTTTCCCATTTTTCCGCTGGGAGCGACCATGGCTAACGGTGTGTGGCCTCCAATGTTAGCTCGCAGCACGTCAGCAGGAGGCCAGTCTGACTCAGTCTTCCTGGACGCTGTTCCCGATGGCCATGCATTGCCCCCAATCAGCCCTGGACGCTACTGCAAAGACCCCACTTACCCCATCGAGAGCCAGGAAGAGCTGGGGACCGATGAGCCAGACCGCTTCCCTGCTCCTCCTCACCTTCATCACTCACTGCCCAGACGGAGTCATGGCTACGTTCACAACCAGGCCTCGCCAGGTGAGTGGGTATATATATTTACACATAAGTAAGTCCTTGGAGTGTTTCCTGACTTTATACCTGGTTACAACATTTCTTAGAGTACGTCAACCAGGAGATGCAATATCTCAGGCCGGCGATCCCTGACAGGCCCACTACGCTTCCACGTAAAGGCTCTAAAGTAGACCGACGGCTCCCCAATGGGCTCAGCTCCGGTCACAGCGTGGAAAACCCGGGATACCTGGTCCCGGTGAGCTCCACCTCCTCTGCCTTTGACAACCCGTACTACTTGGACCTTGTAGCCAAAGCCAATGCTGCACCTGGGACAACGGTGGTGGACGGCCCCACAGTTCTGGAGAGTAATGGGGGTGTCAGCAGGCACGCCAATGGGTTTGTGACTCCTACCGCCGAAAATCCAGAGTATCTCGGACTAGCGGACACATGGACGGGACATACTTGAGGAAAAGGAAGTGAAGATCGTTTTCTTCTGTGGAAAATGTTGTAAAGGGAATATTTGTGTGTTTGAAACAGAAACCGTTGGGAGGTGCCATCCACGAGTCCACGGTGACTCGACAAAGTGTAGCATTTATATGGCGTCTTTGAATTCCTGTTTTCCTGTCACTCCTAAGCTATTCTGGACTGTTTAATGCCAAAGTCACTCTCAACTTTAGGAATCGCTTGATACTGAAAGAAATGAGTAATTAATCCACAATGGTACCGTACAGGTTTTTCTTTCATCTCTAAGTTTCGTCCACAAATGAAGCAGTTCTTGTTTCCTTTAGATGGAAGAAAAAACCTTGTGTACCATGATATGCATTGAAGATGCTGTTTAGTATTCTGGTCACTTTCTCCCAGGCTTGATGAGGGTCTTTGGTTGTCTCAAAGGCATTTTGTTTCAAACAGAAAAAGCCCTGCAACCCATCTGGCCTGTGGGCATGCTCCCTGGAAGAAAGACACCCTGTATGCAGAGACGGCAGCATTGTGTCTCTGATTCATGTGGCCGTTAGTGCTGCAACAAATCACTCATGAGGTACTTGCAGACACGTTAAGCAACTTGAAATGCATTTAGGCTGTTAAGAAGTAGGTAATAAAATGGTTGAACTTTTTTTTTAACATGATGGGGATGACTCCTGTGGAAATCAGGTGGAATGCACTGCAGATGCCTCCTAAGCTTGTGTTGTCACTGTGAAGTTTGACGGATTCTTTATTGAGCAATATTTTATTTACCATGTTTGTGAATAAACTTGCAGCAGTGTGCAGCTGAATGTGATCCAGAGGAGACAAAAGTCTTGCTGCTCCACTCCTGCTGGATAATCGATGCATGATTCAAATTCCACTCGCTTCCCTCCCAGTTAATAATCAACAGCACTTTTTCTGAAAGGCTGTTTTATGTTGTTTTCATGCTAACTGGTGTGTGGCCGGGGAAGTCAAAGCCCTTTCAATGCAGTCTTTGTCTGACCCCTCTTGTCCTCTATGTCCTCACACGTCCCCAAAGCTGACAGTTTCACAGGTTTGAGTAGAAATCTGCCGTCTGCAGAGATCCGAGGCTTGCCGGGGCCCGGACATCCCAAAACTCAAAACAAATTTTAACCATTCAGATCCATCTAAATTGTTCACACATAATTTTTTTATTTCAGATAAAGATTTTTTTTTTTTACCAAGAAAACCCCCCCCAAAAACATCATGTTTTATTCTGATATGTTTGTTTGTCACTTACTGAATTCCAAGTGATCAGATCCATCTAACGTGTTTTTATTTTTATAATGTGTATCCATTGAACTTCAGAGTAAATTACTAATACAGTTTCAGTCAGGTGAAAACCTAATTTCCCTCAAAACATGAATGCAATTGACTCCATGCTGGGAAAATTTTCCTTTGTTTCCTTTATTTACTTGAATGGATTGATGTAATGACCGTTGTTATAGAGGTTGAATGTTGACTAAAATGAATCGCGCATGCGAGAGGCCCCCCACCCCCCACTGGCTCATGCTTCTCGCAGATCGCAGGCGGTAGGCGTAATTTCAGTCAGCCAATCAATCCGTAGTGTCGCCTCGGTCCCAGTCTGCCCGCTGGGGAGAAGGTCTGAAAAAAAAGTCACCTCGGAACCGAAAACGCAATTCGGACTTGTGTGTGAAATCAAACTCCAGTCCCGTAAGGGACCGAACCGACGCAAATTTGTAAGCACCATAACTGGATGTCTGAGGAACCATCAACCAGGAGAGTCATGTGGCCATCTTTCAACATGTTTGATTATCTACAAAAGTGGCTTAAATATTTCTATCTGTGCAAATACTCTACAGCTTACAGGTTTATCAGTGAGAAACAAAAGAGCAGCTAATAAAAGCGTGCTGAAGGTTTTGTAACATTACAGTCTTTTGAAGAAAATGCTTGTTTCGTACTTTCACGGTGAATGTACTTTATTGGGCCGGAAAGACTCATCTTGTAAATGTTTAACGTGTACGAATAAAGTCAATCAGTATGGTAGATGATGTAATTGAGTTCATTGGTAACTTTGGTGAGAAATGATAAACAGAAATATCTCAGCCAGAAAGGTATGTTTTAATCTGTATACATATTTAAATATATAAATAAAACTCATTCTAAAAAGTAGGATTTTTTAAGTTAAATCTAATTTATTATAACCAGTTGAAAGTCATTTTGACTGGTTTTGTCCCAAATATTGTGATAGAATTTATGAATCTAGTTGTTTTTATATTAATATTGTGAATGTTTGTGTTTAACAGTAAAGTGTTACTGCCACACAGTGGTGGCGAGAGAAACTACAGGGGTAATATTTTTGTTGGGTTGAGGGTTTCATCTGCCATATTGGATTTATTTTTGAATTACAGTCCCATGTCAGAAAGTGGGAATATCGTGAGAAAGTTCAATATTTTTTGTCACTCGTCTCAGAAAAATTGATTCAATACACATATTTTATTAATTTATTATTTCATTCAGGTTTTTAAACGTTGCACAGCACTGAGACGGCACTGATGGAGGTTTTGAATTACATTTTCTTATCAATGGTCCTGTTGGATCTCACAGCAACTTTTGATACTGTGAACCATGAAGTGCTGCTCCATCATCTTGAGCACTATGTAGGGATTTCTGGTCTGGCCTTGAGCTGGTTTAGACCATATCTCCATGACAGTATGGTTTGTGTTTCTGCGGTCACTCTTGGCGTGCAGACTGACTATGCTTCCTGCTTTGATGCTCACGTTAGTGCTGTGGTGTCTTCTTTTATCATTTGAGACACTTAGCTAAAGTGAAGCCATTTCTGTCTTGAAGGGATCTTGAGACTGTTATTCATGCCTTCATTACCTCGCGCCTAGACTACAGCAACTCTGTCTTTTTTGGTGCAAGTCAGTGTACTGTAGCTCGCCTGCAGCTTGTTCAGAATACTGCAGCAAGATTCTTGGAAAGCAAGAGAAAAAATGAGCATGTGAAAGCAATTCTGGCTGCTCTGCATTGGCTCAATGGCGGTTTTACCATTAGGCATAGGTCAGCGGCCGCCTGGGGCCCTGACTGCTGGCACCCCTCTGTTAATGCCGCAATGGACTATTCCTTTAAGATGCCGATGCAAAAACAGGAAGTGATTAGTAGTTATTCCACTCCAATCCAGTTGGTGGCAGTAATGCACCAAATTCACAAATCCAGTTAAAGATGAGATTGTCAAACATTTTGTGTGTATGTGTGTGTGTGTGTGTGGAGGGGGGGGGGGGGTCTGTGTTCGCCTTGGGCCCCCAAATTACTAAATCCACCACTGCATTGGCCACCCGTCACTTCTTTTAATGGTGTTTAAGATGCGGAATGGGTTGGCTCCAGCCTATTTGACTGAATTGTTGCAGCCCTATGCTCATGCTCGGACGATCTGCTTTAAGAACCAGCTGCTGCTTTTGGCTCCCAGAGCTCGGCTGATGACGAGAGAGGCAGGGCATTCTCGGTAGCGAGACCAAAACTATGGAATGCACTTCCCTGAGCTCTCTTCATCAGTGGCGGTTTTTAAAATGAAGCTGAAGACCACCTTTTATGATCTGACTTTTCACTCTGTGGGTTAGCTGTTGCTTTTATATGATCTTACTCTGTAATTTTTACTTTGTTGGTTTTAATTGTCTCTGTTAGTTTATCTGTTTTATTTTATTACTATAAAGCACTTTGGTGGCATGCTTCATACATGCTATGCATGCATTCATACAGAGTGACATATGTTAGACTTAACTATTTCTTGGGATTTAGATGATTTTGGTTTACAATTTTTAAACAAGTTATTTTCTCTTGCAAACTAGATAGTATCTTTCGCACATGGCATAGTTTCTCATAAGTACCAGTTAGTCTTCACCAGATAGTACCTCGTAAGTGCATGACCCACATTAGCGAAATGTACTGTGTCATGGATGCAATTACATTATGAAATTAGCTTTTCATTACATATTTTTTCTGGGCAAGACAAAATGTTTCTGGAAACATTGTATATGACACAATACGGTCCACCACTAGACAGATTGCAAATTATTTTACATAAATTTTTAATATATTTAAAAGGACCTTTGTGACATTTGAGTCTATCTCAAACCCTTAAAGATGCATTATGTAAGAAAAAAGTATAAGTACAACATTCTGTGGTCTAATTTGTTTACTGCAGTCCTTTTTTCTAAACAAAAAGTTACTCTTTTACTCCCATTCCATGAGTTTCATGCCTGTTGCCAGTTATGGATCAGAGCCAGAAGATTCTAGATAAGTGAAGACGAGTCATACACAGTAAGTTGATGAGTTGATAAATACATTGTTGTATCTGATGCAAGTGCGTCTCCGGCATTTGAGGAAGTGCGGTGTACCATCTTGCTGTTAGCTTGCAGTTATAATTCTAACAACTCATTAAAGGAAGTAAAACACCTTTTAACTGTAATGTCAAGTTTCTGCAGAGCCTACTCCTGCAACTGAGGGCCTGAGGTCCTTGCTAAAGGTCTTAAATTACATTTTTGTCACCAATGATATGCTGCTACTCTTGTTTTAGTGACCAGCTGGAGCAAGGCCCTCAGGCTCTGATGCAGAGGAAGGCTCTGCAGAAAAATTTAAACAATGGGGGCTGTAAGTCCATCTTGATAGCTCAGATAGAAAAATGGATCTGAAGTTCATCAGAAAAACTGAAAATGCATGCTGAGTTTTAAGAAAATTGATCTCAATGAAATCAAATTTGTGCCCATGATGAAGCCTCGAGGAACCCCACAATCCTACTCCTGCTTAACAGAGAACCTTCTATTTAAAAGGTGTGAATGGGACCTTTTAAAGGGGACATACTGTAACATAACAGTAGTGATTTAACATGTTTATCCAAGTAAGACAATTAAGGTAAATAATTCATGCCAAGATGAAGCCACTTTTGTGCTTTCAATCTGTGGCAGAAGCATAATGAAATCCAAACACACCATAAGCTAGAGTCAAGAAGAAACACAAGTCTGTACTCATCCTGTAGGCTGAGATATGAACCACATCACCCAATCACAAAGTCACTCATAACTAGTTCACCCAATCACAAAATCATGCGACAATAGTTGCTAGGTGCAGGCAGGGAAGACTTTCTGCTTCAGGGAGTGTGTTCGTTGCTGCTTCCAGGTGGACAAAATCAGGAAAGACACCCACTGGATTTGAAAAGCCTCTGATGTTCCCCTGTGTGTTACTTTGTGCCTTGGCACACATAAACTGTGGCTTCTGGTCATGACATATTCTTTATAAATATATGTATATGATGTAAATGTAAATATATGTACATAATTTTGTGGCTTGCTATCCCTGTTGGACATTTTTGGAAGTAGCAGAGGTAGACCAAAAGTATGGAACTCCATTTTCAGCATAACGGCTGAAAGTAAGTAAATTTTATTTATACACCACACATCACAGACATAGAAACACAAAGTGCTTCACATAGATCAAAACAAAATGAAGTCATAAAATATCTGAAAACAAAAATAGATTAACATCAAAAAACTAAAGTCATCAAATTAAAACAAATGAAAGATGATTACAAATTTCAGTTAAAAATAAGAAAACAAAAGATTTATGTAAAAGCAGCTTTAAATACAAGGGTCTTCAGCTGTTTTTTAAAAGAGACTATCAATACTATGTAATTATAAAGGAAAATCGTTCCAAAGTTGGGGTGCAACACTCTGGAAGGACTGATCACTTTGACTTTTATATCTGGTCTTTGGAACTTCTAGAAGGTTCTGGTGGGTGGATCTGAGGGCTCAGGTTGGAGCATAAGGCTTTAACAGTTCAGTAATGTAGGGAGGAGCTTGACCATGTAGAGCACTGAAAGTTATAGTCAGGATTCTAAAATGAACTCTAAAGTTAACGGGTAACCAGTGCAGAGACATTAGAATAGGAGTGATGTGTGCTCTTCTGTTTGCTCCAGTTAGGAGCCTTGCTGCAGAGTTCTGGACCAACTGAAGGCGGTCAAGGGCTTTTTTGTTAAAACGTGTGAAGTGTGTGTTACAGTAATCTAGACGGGAGGAGATAAAGGTATGAATAACTATTTCAAGTTCGTATTTTGACACCAACCTTCGCAATATGGATATCTTTCTTAAGTGATAAAAAGAGTCTCTTGCCAGGGTTTTTGAGTTGCCTTCAAGAGACGTTGATGGGTCAAAAACATCACCCAAATTCCTTAAGTTTGTCTTGATGGCAGAAGATAAATGACCAAGTTTTGACTAAAAAAGAGAACCATGCTCTCAGGGGCAATGACCAGACATTCTAGAACTTTTTTGTGACAGTTAGCAAAGACATGTTTCTACAGTTTACTTAAAGCTACAATGACAAGTGTGGAAAACAAAATAGCATAAAACATTGTTTTCATGCCTCTTAACAATGTTCTAACATCATAGCTATAAATATATTGTGGAAATTGAAAAAAAGGGGGGAGGGGGGGGGTTCATTCGCATTTGTCTAAAAACCTTGTTTCAGACTAAAAGCAAGTATTGGATATCCGATTGTCGTCTCTCCGAACCACTGCACTTCCCTGGGTCCTCCACTCATCATGCACTTACGTATTTAACAACAGAACACCACTGGTGTGAGAGGTTCATCGCTCAATAATATCAGAGGAGGAGAAACAGTCGGCTGCTACCACTTCAACTTTAGGACAAACTACCAGAGTTCCTTAAAAAAAACACTATTTAAAATAATGGAAGACAAAAGATAATTGGATGTAGAAAACAATGTTTAGCACTCTCTCGTTTCCTCTGGCAATATGGATTTCCTGTTCCGGCAGAAGCATCTCAAGGAAGATACCGGAAAGACGTGACCGTGTTTGTGTTAGAATCCTAGTGTGTTCTTTAAATTCGCTAAAGCAGCTTTAACTTGATTTCCACAGATTACATCATTAATCTTTTGTCTATAAAGGTAAAACAAAATAGTAATCACCTAGATGAAAACTGATGAAAAACTCAGAACTTTCCATAATTTTTATTTTTCAAATATTAGAATTGAGTTTAAATAATTTGTACTTCTCTGAAAAAGTTCTAAACTAAATTATTGTAAAAAAAAAAAAAAAAAAAAAAGAACAGAGAGAGATGCAAACGATCAGTCACCGTTAAGGTTGGGCACGCTCGAATTTGAACGATTCAGATTCCAGTTCCTTGTTTTTAATTCTGGTTTCTAGCAACTCTCAATCACGATTCATTTGAAAAACTTTACATGTTTTAAATGAGCCAGCTAACCTAAAGTTTATTTGATAAAATTGTTTGAACTTCTCCATAGGTTTTAAATCTTTGAACTTTCTAAACCAAAGCCACACTTTAAGCCTGATTTATACTTCTCCGTCTGCGTCGATGTGGAGACACTCATCGCCATTATATATCTGTGCAAGGGCTTTCTGACAACTCACAGAGAGTGACAGAGAAATGTCCAACTCTTAAAATATCTGTCAAAAGGAGACTGCAAGCTTGTGATTGGTCAGGACGCCGCTTCCTGTAAATTTGTCAAGCGCATCACCATTGCCCTGTTAAAAAGTAAAAAGATATTTAGACACGGAACAGATTGAAGAACACATCATGGAAAAGGTCAGAAAATATGAACGCTTATTCATCCGTGGCTAAATGAGAACAAAAAATATGGAGCAATCGTTTCATACGTGGACGGAGATTACGAGAAACATGGGTTTAGAGGTGGTGACAGCATAAAGAGGAAAATAAAGGACAAATTTGTCCCCTCCCTGTTATAAAGTCGCTGAAGTACATAAACACAATAGTAACTATCACGGACCAGATACATGAGTGTAATGGTGGAAGGATACCACAGAAAAGCGCTACACCCTCTGTTGTCCTGGAGGGGAATTGCTTTGCAACACTCCCCAATTGACAGACAAGTACGAGAGCAAAACGACTCTGTCAATGAGTGTGCATCTCTCCCTTGCAGGGCTGACGGAGAAGTATAAATTAGGCTTTACAATGCCTCTGCACATTTTCCATGTTTGTATGAGTGCAAACACTCCCGGCGGATCATTTTTCATTGGTATTTGGCAGCTTCTTCTTCTGGTCAATGGACTGATAGGATTCCGAATTTAAAATTTTGAATCATTCTGGGTGTAACGTGCCCAAAGGCCAGTATTTACATCACAAATGACCAGAAATTAACTTTTAATTTGCAGACACAAACATCCCATCTGTCTGAACAGGCACAAGGCCTTGTTCCCTGATAAAGGAGACATAATAAAACTAGCTACCTTATCTTGGCTGGAACAAAAGTCATGCAGAAGACGAAACTTTCTGCACTTTCACTCTGAATAAAGTTAATCTTTCTTGGGGTTAGGGTTACGAAGGAATTTTTTGACACTTCACTGTTGGCATCAAGTCTGGATCCATGGGGTTCCCCCTTGTGCTCAATCCTAATCAGTGTCTTTAGGATCTAATTTTGGCCCAGTTCAGCTTCCCAGCATTATATAAGTAAAGCACAGGCATCACAGTGGAGCCTATGGTGGCAGTGATGGTGATGGGAAGAGCAATGGTGCAGACGAACAGCTCAAACGTACCAGTGAGAGGCATCCCGATAGAATACAGGATCACTGGAGGTAGGTAGGAAAGGGTGGTCGTGGCCAGGCTGTAAACCAGAGTCTGAATGGCCCTTTGCTTCTGAGGGTGGATGTTTCTCCTCCCAGGGCCAGACTTGACTAAACTGTAAATGATTACACCGTCACACAATCCGATTATTACAAGTGAAATCACAAAGGTTGCAACAGGAAAAAAGCTGAAGTACAGCCTGTAAAAGAGAAAGTATATGATCCCATTAGCAGCTGTCAGGCTCCAAATGATGGCTGCAGACACAACCCTGGGAGTCAGACTTTTCCTCTTGTGATAAAAGATGGGATGAACCACAGCCAGGTAGCAGTCAAAACACATACAAGCCATTAGGAAGGGTCTCCCACATGTGTTCAAGGCATAAACACTATTCCAAAGCGCTTCAAATGGCCAAGTATGGATGAAGTAATGATTTAATAATCCTGGTGGAATGAAGGCCAGGAAGATTGCATCCATAATGGAGAGATTCAGGATAAAAAAATCATTTGGTGAGAAAGGAGCTCCTCTTCTGTGGGTCTGAAACATTGCCCAGAGGATCAGCAGAGAGGCAGGAAACCCCACAGCAAAGCACAGCAATGACAAGCAAGCCCATGTGGATCTGCCCCTTTCAAAATGTGTGCAAGTGCCAAAATCAAACTTCTCCCAGACAAATCCATATGTGGAGGAATTTCTGACCAGGCTGTAGCGAAGATACAACTCAAGCAACATTGTTGAGGATGCCTGGTGATTAAAGTCCTAGAAGACAAACAGACATTCACTGAACAATGCACATAAACCTGCTGGCAAAAGTAGACCCACAGCTTTTTAGAAAGTGAGGCAATGTTTTCATGACTTGTTGCACTTTTTTATTCTAAAAGTTCTGGTAAATAAACTGGTTAATAAATGTTAAACATACCTTTAAAAAGTTTATTTGAGGTTGTGTGCATGGTAGTCCCACTTGTGCCTTGGCAGGAATGACATCTAGCATCTAAAGGTATTCCTGCAAATGATGCAGAAGCAGTTTTGCAAGTCATATTTATGGAAAAGAGCAGACCCACACTATCCATCTAGCTTATTTTTTTAATCATGTGTCACCTGTTGGTAGATACATTCTATTACTCAACATTTCACTTTAACCAGAAATACACTGAAAATGTACAATTATAGTAAAGTTATTATGAAAGCCTCAAACAATTTGTAGAAACAAATGCAGCTCTGTTCATCTTTTTCAACAGGTGTGGCATCCCTTTATCTGCAATGCTGCCTTCAAGGGCAGCTCATATTCAACTAATGGGGAGTACAAATGAGCAATATATTTATAGTAAATTATAACATTTCACAAATACCATAGCAGACATTCAATTTATATATTTAAAGCTTCATTTTTTCGCTACCATAAAAAATTGAAGGTGTTTTCACTTATTTCATCCAAAAGAGCAGCTGAGTAAATTGTGTTTGGGACAAACAACATAAATAATTAAATTGATTGATTGCTTGATTTGTTTCTTCAGCATATATGTACAAACGTGTGTTATTAACTCTGTTCTTAATAAAACTTTACATGTATCGGGTTTTGTTTCAGGCATAAGTCTTGGTATCTCCCATGTCCTTGACGGATCAAGAATGCAACACCTGGCCATGACGCGCACTATCCTATTTTTGTCCTGTGGTAGCTGCCATAGCTGCCATATTTTGAACACCGTCCAGCAGCTGATTTCTTTGAATTTGTAAACCTTTATCATTTATATCCACACAAGTTTTGACTCTTATTGTGAAGAAACGTTGCAGAAAAGACCGAGCCAGCAGTTAGCTCGCTCTTGTAAAAACTATTAGCGGCTACTTTTGGAAGTTTGGTGAATGAAGTAGGCGGTTGTTGCGACGCGTTCAGGGTCCTCAGTAGCTGTCGGTAATTAGAGGGGTATATTGGAGCAGCTGAGATGTCTCTTCACGGGAAACGTAAAGAAATTTACAAATACGAGGCACCGTGGACAGTTTACGCCATGAACTGGACTGTCCGACCGGACAAACGGTTCCGCCTGGCGCTCGGTAGCTTCGTGGAGGAGTACAGCAACAAGGTAACTTCAAAGAACATGATGCGTTTAGATGTTTGTTTATCAGGAAGATCCGACATGACACAACTAAGCATTATCAACATTGTTCTAGTTTAAACAGAATAAAACAATGAAAACGAAATACTCCCTTTTAGTTTTGCAGTTTCTGCAGACTGGTGAACCTCTGGCCGTTCTCTGAGAGATTCATACTACTCTATGATTTAATTTCTTTATGCTGTCATTTTTCCTGTTAACTTAATTGGTAGCAAATGTTCGCTCCAGCTGTTTCCTAATCTTACAGCCTTTTGATGAAACAATCCAAATTTATAAAGACACGTTGCTGTAAACACTCTTCCTTCGTCTCTTCTCTAATATGGTACAGTTTTTTCTTAATGAATGAAAGTGGCAATTGATGTTAATTATTATTATTTTTTTATTTTTATAAAAAGGAACGTACCAACCGGTTTCAATATCATTCAGCCAGCAGCAAAAAAGGGGCGTTTTGGTTTGTAAACGGGAACGCCCCCTTCTTCTTATTCGCTCCTAAATTGTTACTTCACATCCGGTCTCAATCAACATTTCAAAATAAGAGTGATAATTTAGATTCTTTAAAAAAGGAAGTTCAAGATAAAATATTGTTAATTAAGATTATTTTAAACAAAATATTGTACATTTTTTATTTAAAACTATTGTAATAATTGTGAATAGATTAACATTGTTCAAACACCCCTTTTCTGTTGGTGGAAGTCAGCCTGACCAGCCAGCCCCATGCTTCTTTATGGGAAGCATTGGTTTTCTGTGTAGAATTAAACAGGGGATGAGTCAGCAAGCCAGGCTAGGAAATCTCAACTGATAAGGGTGGTTCAGTAGCCTAGTGTGGCAAGGTGGAGAAACGAGGGCCCGGGCGGGATTCAATCCCCAGACTCCCAGGTGAGAGTCACGCACGCTAACCAGTCATCCAAAGGGACATCCACTTGGTCAAGTAGCCAGGGTGCATGATCAATCGGGACACTGTGACAGGACGCTCACACTGTCACATCTTCCCCCCTCTTTCCACAAGCACGTCCTCGTACTCCCGCGCAGGGTGCCACAAATTTCACATCCATGGACCTACTTGACAGTACTACATGGATCCTGTTCGTGATGCCAAATGTGGCAAGGTGGAGAAATGAGGGTGCGGGCAGGATTCGATCCCCAGACTCCCGGGTGAGAGTCATACGCTCTAACCGGGGCTGCATGGTGGCGCAGTGGTTAGCACTGTTGCCTCGCAGCACGAAGGTTGCAGGTTCGAAACTCGGCTCGGCTGCGGCCTTTCTGTGTGGAGTTGCATGTTCTCCCCATGCATGCGTGGGTTCCCTCCGGGTACTCTGGTTTCCCCCACAGATCACAACATGCCCTATAGGTTATAAATTGTAAGTCGCTTTGGATAAAAGCGTCTGCTAAATGAATAAACATAAACATAAACCAGTCAGCCAAAGGGACATCCCCTTGGCCAAGCAGCCAGGGTGTATGATCAATCGAGACACTGTGACAGGACGCTCACACTGCCACATCTTCCCCACTCTTTCCACAAGCACGTCCTCGTGCTCACGCGCAGGGTGCCACAAACTTCACATCTATGGACCTACTTGACAGTACTACATGGATCCTGCCAACAACGCCAAATGTGGCAAGGTGGAGTAACGAGGGCCCGGGCGGGATTCGATCCCCAGACTCCCGGGTGAGAGTCACGCGCGCTAACCAGTCAGCCAAAGGGACATCCCTTTGGCCAAGTAGCCAGGGCGCATGATCAATCAGGACACTGTGACAGGACGCTCACACTGCCACATCTTCCCCCCTCTTTCCACAAGCACGTCCTTGTGCTCCCGTGCAGGGTGCCACAAACTTCACATCCATAGTGGTGATCGACCTTGCACAAAATGGTTACCCCATTTTCGAGAACCCATACCCCCTGACTATCCACGAGTCCCCTGTTACTTGCTGTGAGTACTTTGCCGACTGCCCTGTGGACCTCATACCTGCACTTAGCTCTGTTGGCTCGCAGCAGAAACGATAGGGCTACAGCAAAAAGGAATGGCCGATTAGTGATGGAAACTGGGGTCAAGGCACACAAAGCTACTCAGAGATCATCATCACTGGGCATGCTGATGGAACTGTGAAGTTCTGGGATGCCTCTGCTATAATGCTCCAGGTGCTCTTTAAGCTAAAAACAGCCAGGGTATTTGACAGGAACCGGTCAAAGGAAGACAAGTGCAGCACTGATGTGTCAGACAAAGATCCCTTTGCCATTCAGATTATGACCTGGTGCCCAGAGAGCCGGATGCTCTGTGTGTCCGGCGTGTCAGCCAACGTTATCATCTGCCGCTTCAGTAAGCTGGAAGTAACCACCGAGGTGGTACAGTTACTGGAGGTGCGAATGCAGTACGAGCTGAACGACACAGACTCTCCAGATAGCAGAGGTGGTGGGGGTGAGCAGACATCGGCGCATCCCACCCCCGGTGCCTCCCCCCAGACGAGCGGCCCACCTTGACACCCTTCCACCAGCAGCAACAACTCTGACGGAGGCAACATACCTTGCCTCAAAGTATGAAGTACTCCTTTGAAGCAGTCTCCCGGTTACCAGGTAGATCTGGTGGTCCAGCCAGTGTGGGTGAGTGGAGAGCCTCCTCAGCCGATCACAAGTGTGGTGCTCAATTCCTCCTACGGTCTAGTGGTATTTGGCAACAGCAATGGTCTGGTGGTGGTGGACTACATCCAGAAGACGGTAGTACTCAATTTGGGAACGGTGGAGCTTTACGGATCTAATGACCCCTACCAGAGACAGCCTCGGTCGCCAAGGAAAACACGAAAGCCGTCAGGAGGTCTGTGTGATGTCAACGAAGGCTCAGCCACCTCAGAAGACTGCTGCAAGTCTCCTACTTCAGGTGTGTTGGTGCGGCTGAAGGGGAGTGTCATGCGGATGGCTTTCCTGGACTCCACAGGCATCCTGCCAACGACGCCAAATGTGGCAAGGTGGAGAAACGAGGGCCTGGGTGGGATTTGATCCCCATACTCCAAGGTGAGAGTCACGCACGCTAACCAGTCAGCCAAAGGGACATCCCCTTGGCCAAGTAGCCAGGGTGCACGATCAATCGGGACACTGTGACAGTACGCTCACACTGCCACATCTTCCCCCCTCTTTCCACAAGCACGTCCTCATGCTCCCGCGCAGGGTGCCACAAACTTCACATCCATGGACCTACTTGACAGTACTACATGGATCCTGCCAACAACGCCAAATGTGGCAAGGTGGAGAAACGAGGGCCCGGGCGGGATTTGATCCCCAGACTCCTGGGTGAGATTCACGCACGCTAACCAGTCAGCCAAAGGGACATCCCTTTGGCCAAGTTGCCAGGGCGCATGATCAATTGGGACACTGTGACAGGATGCTCTGACTTTCAAGTAGGTCCATGGATGTGAAGTTTGTGGCACCCTGCGCGGGTGATCCACTAGCCTGACCCTGCTCACCGGTTTAGAGCTGGAGAAAGTTGCCTAAATCTCCTCCCTTTCTGGTCGGCTCATGGGTCCCCGGAAGTACGAAAAAGGGTTAAAAATGCTATTTTCTATTCCGCTTTGCGTTACTCCCTGAATCACAGATATGTTATACATCAATCAAAAGGAATGATGTGCGTTTCATTGACGCCAGTCACTTACTTTGAGATTTATCAGCTTGTAAAATTTGGTATGTCGAATATGTGACATCATCGCACAATCTCCTCTCCTCTAGCATAGCTGCTACTTACCACATGGCCAGATGTTTGGTGGTTCGTTCCTCGTAAAAGAAAGATTAGAAGTTTTCTGAACTTACAGCCATTTTTCCTCTGTTTTTCTCCATGTCTGGTTTGATGACATCACTTTGGTGATGCGCATTTGTAGTCCTGGATTTATTTTCACACAAAACCTAAAATAACGCCCCCCGTCCCCCCCACCCCCCGTTTGAAAATAAATGCTTTTATGGTATCAAAATGCATCTTTAAAATTCACGGACATCATATGTGAAATCCAGGGCACATAAGAAGTAGAAATAGAAAACAAATCTTTTAGCATCATTGACCTGCATTCATGTTTTCATTCTTACGGAGCCATGGTCCAGTTGATGCTGTCCCCCCACCCCCCACCCACAGGTTCAGATTGTTGGTTTGGAGGAGGAGAGCTCCGAGTTTGTGTGTGGGAACACGTTCGACCATCCCTACCCCACTACAAAGATCGTGTGGATTCCTGACACTAAAGGAGTGTACCCAGATCTGCTGGCCACAAGTGGAGACTACCTGAGGATCTGGAGGGTGAGACAGCTGCTTGATCCAGTCCATAACCCACAGCACACAAGACATAAAACCCCGACTGTAGCGTTAAACTGTGTGTTATACACTCCATTTGTAGCTATAACAGGTGTCTCTTCCTGTAGGTGAGTGACACAGAGACCCGTCTGGAGTGTCTCCTGAATAACAACAAGAACTCTGATTTCTGTGCTCCACTAACATCCTTTGACTGGAATGAAGTAGACCCAAACCTGCTTGGTAAAATCTCACCTCAGCTGGTTTTATGCAGCCTAAACGGACAACCCTGCTTTCTGAAATGTTACTTTTGAACATCTGAATGCGTTTTCTGAGCAGGCACTTCCAGTATAGACACCACCTGCACCATCTGGGGCCTGGAGACGGGACAGGTGCTGGGTAGAGTCGGCTTAGTGACCGGGCACGTGAAGACGCAGCTCATTGCTCATGATAAAGAGGTTTGTGTAATTTTCTGTATGACAAATCAAACTTTTAGCACGGGTAAGAACTGAGTACATGTGTGTGCTGCAGGTGTACGACATCGCTTTCAGTCGAGCGGGGGGAGGCAGGGATATGTTTGCCTCTGTAGGAGCGGATGGCTCAGTCCGCATGTTTGACCTCCGTCACCTGGAGCACAGCACAATAATCTACGAAGACCCGCATCGCCACCCTTTGCTCCGCCTCTGCTGGAACAAGCAGGACCCAAACTACCTGGCCACCATGGCAATGAACAGTCTAGAGGTCAACTTGACTCCATGCATGGATCTGTTGTGTTTTTAGTCAGGAATAGCTGTGATCTGCTGTGTTTTTAGGCGGTGATCTTGGATGTGCGTGTTCCTTGCACGCCGGTGGCTAAGCTGAACAACCACCGGGCCAGTGTCAATGGAATTGCCTGGGCACCACACTCCTCCTGTCACATCTGTACAGCGGGTAGGCAGCTTATTGTTTTTAAACTAAAATAAAATGTTTAAACTGCAAAATGGGTTTTTAAAAATGCATTAGAAGCTGCTGTAGAAAGCTATGAGTTCAGACTGGAGCTTAATTGTAGTAGCTTAACAGTGAACAGAAGAGGGAGCACTTCACTGCTAAAAATGAGTCCCTTCCTTTTTAACGTTGTTTTTGTCACATCTTGTAACTTTTAAAAATGATGCCATAGTTTTAACCTTGATATTTATTGCAAACACAATTATCTTCTCAGATGTGATAATAAATCGGTAGTAGTGAAAGCTTCTCTCTGTGTAGCAGACGACCACCAGGCTCTAATCTGGGACATCCAGCAGATGCCGCGGGCCATTGAGGACCCCATACTGGCCTACACCGCTGAGGGAGAGATCAACAACATCCAGTGGGCTTCCACCCAACCTGACTGGATTTCTATTTGCTATAACAACTGTCTGGAAATTCTCCGGGTCTGAGGAACGTTTGACATTGAGTCCAAAACATTTTCAACAGGATAAGCAAGTTTACTTCTTTGAAGAAAATTCTGCTTGTACAGGAAAGAACAATTGCATTCAGCTTCTGTTGGCTTCATATGTGCACTTTTTTGACTTTTGTCAGGATTTACTGCTAAATTTAAGGATGTTTTTTGAAATATGAAAAAAAAAATATTTAGGAAAACAAAAAGCTCTGGGGTCTCATTTATCAAACATTGCGTAGAATCCTTACTAAAACCATACTAAAGCTCAGCAAAAAATGTACTAACGCCAAGTAGGTTTGTAATCTATCAAATATGAAGTACGCACAGCTGCACACTATCTCCGCTTCATAAATCGGAGACTAACAAGAGCGTTTCTCAGCTGCATTTTGGTCACATCCCGCCCTCACCACGCCCACTTTCTGCCATAAATGGTCAATGCAAAGTGCCTTGTGGATCTCATGCATATACATAAACCGGCTGTTGCAGCGCTCCGCCAATGACGATGGCGACCATAGATCAAGGCAGATCAAGGAAGCGCAATTTCACAGAAGCAGAAATTGAGGTACCTGTGGGTGAGGTGGAGAAATGAAAGGAAGTACTTTTGCAAAACATATAAGAGAAAATCCACGGAGTGGCACAGCATTGCTGAAGCCGTCAATGTGAATTCTTCAGAGAGATCTGTGATGGATATAAAAAAAATTATCCGATCAGGATTCGATTCCCAGAGTCCCGGGTAAAAGTCACACTCGCTAACCAGTCAGCCAAACCGAGATCTCCCCTGCATATGTAGCCAGGGTGTATGATCGATTGGGTCACAGTGCTGCTGATATTCTGCATTCCGTATTCTGCGCTTCAGGCTGTGTGTGTGTGTGTGTGTGTGTGTGTGTGTGTGTGTGTGTGTGTGTGTGTGTGTGTGTGTGTGTGTGTGTGTGTACACACACATGCGCGCGTGCGTGTGGGGGGTCTTGTTCTATGTGCATACGAAGCAGTACAAGTGATAATGCTGCAGGATTTCATAATTTTATCCTTCTCAGCAGCAGCACTGCAGGTGCTCTCCATGTCCAACATGTGCGAAAGCCAGGTCCTTAGTCAACTTAAAGCTGCGCACATTTTTTCGCTAAGTTTTCTTTCATAAATTCCAAAGTTTGCTTGGAAAGTTGCTGACGCAGTTTTCCGACCCTGTTTTGTGCATAAGCAAGCTTGATGACTGAGGCCCCTAGACTGGAAGTTGCATGGATCTAATCAAAGAAAAAACACACAAAATAACAGCAAACCAATTTAAAACATCCTGTTACACTATTGGTTGTGAGTTTTAACAGCTGTTAAACTGATGTATGTAGATGCAAAGAACTATTTTTACAAATCTTTTTTTAAGTTAAAACAAAAAGACCGAGCACCCCCCCCCCCCCCCCCCCCCCGCACACACACACACACACACACACACACACACACATACACACACACACACGCAGTGGTCTCTAGGATAAATTAATGCCTGTTGAGCCGATCTTTGGGCAGGAAAAATGCTCTGGCATTCCTGTTTCAGGAATTAGATGTGAGCCAGAGCAGAAGTGTGCTTCAAACAGCAGGATGTGCAGTTTTATCTCCTGATACTCAGACATCTAACCTCTGATTGCCTAACAGCAACACAACTCTACCTCTGACTCCGTTTGCTTTGCAAAGTTGATGTTTTACCTCCACAAATGACACAAGTCTGGAGGAGTTCTCCCATGTTGGAGAACTGGGGTATTTAATTCCAGGCATGGAGGGCCGGTATCCAACATGTTTTAGTTTAACTCTGTTTCAACACACCTGATGTCAATCAACAGGTTATTAACAGGCTTCTGCAGAGCCTGATGAGCTGCTGCACAGGTGATTTAACCACTGAATAATGTGTGTTGGAGCAGAGAAACCACTAAAATGTGTGCTACTCTCGGAGTAGACCCGCGAGAGGCCAGTTGAGGTGGCTCGAGCATCTGGTCAGGATGCCTCCTGGATGCCTCCCTGGTGAGGTTTTCCGGACACGTCCAACTGTAAGGAGACCCAAGGTATACCTTGTATACCCTGGATGGATGGATGGTCTCTCTAAAAATATCTCAAGCTATTTTTTCAATTACCAGCAACTGGATATTATTACAGTGAAATGTGTATGTGAAGTAAATGATAAGTCAGTCATGTGGTTTTATTTTAATGAGTCGTTCAGAACTATAACATCAAGAGGACAAACGACCACATCTCCGCTAAGGCTGCTGGAGAGGGATTACCATAATAATTGTAGTAAGCGTGCCCTGCTGTAAATCTCAATGTTCTCGAACATGTAGGTGCTCCACTTTGGAGGATTTTCTGAGGGCAGGGTGTTGAAAACAACCAGAAGTTGTCGTGACTTATGACTCTTAAGAGGAGTAAGAACGTTGAATGTCTTAATGGCCAGACGTAAAACAAAGAGTCGGGCTATTTTCTTGTCTAAGAGACAAGTGGCCTGTTTGTCTTGGTGTACCAAGTGTTCAGTATTCATTTGTCAAATTCAGCTTAGTTCTAATTTTACCCATTGAAATTCAAATTAATTATGTGGACATAAGTGTTTAAAATATATATTTTAAGTAAAAAAGTTTAATCAACCAAATGTCTGTAAAATGGAAAAGATTTATTAATGCTTGCTTGTGTTGGTGACTTTTTCAGCAGCAATAAATATTTGTTCATGGCTGCATTTATTTAACAGTTTACACAATCATACAGTTTTTTAAATTATTGCTTTATTTTAGAGGAATAATAAAGTTCATAATTACATTGTCTGTGCCAGCTGTACTGGAGTACCTTTCAAAATACCCTGTGGTTGAAACAGGAGGATTGGGAAAGAGAGGGGCCAGAAGTCAAGGGCCACAGCAAACAAGGTGTAAGGAAGAACATGAGTCCTGTGCGAAGAAAAAAGGAAATATCCGTTTAAAAAAATCTGATATCCTTTCAGCATCAATCCATACAGTTAAGTGTAAATAAATGGTTTTAAATGTGACTCCAGAGGCAAACGTCAGATGTTCTGTAATATATACGTAAGCATGTGTCAAATGGAAGTCCTCCGTGTTCGTCTGATTTTAATAATGCAGCCGAAGTTTGTACCGATAGCTGATGGTTGGGGAAAGGGAGATAAGTTAGATGGCTTCTTTTAAAGGTCATAAGTACAGTGCTCAGCATAAAAGTGCAACCCCTTTGAAAAGTAAGACTCTGGGTAATCTATTGAAGCATACTAATTTACAAAATGTTGACAAAACTGACTTATAGAAGATCTTTTCAGTACAGAAATTCAGTTTTAGCCAGATTTATCAATCCTAAAATGTTAACACCCCACATCAAAACCATTAAGCTAGTAGTTTTATTTTAAGGATAGCACTGTGCCTTCCAGGCAGAGGTCGAATACAGGTGAAACTCTAAATTAGATTATGGTGCAAAAGTTCATTTATGTCAGTAATTCATCTTAAAAGGCAAAACTAATATGTGAGATGGAATCATTACAAGCAAAGCCAGATATTTCTGGCCTTAGTTTTTTATAATTGTGCTGATTATAGCGTAAGCCTAATTTATACTTCATCAGCTCTACGAGTGAGAGACACGCACACATGGATGAAAACGTTTTGCCTTCAGACTTCTCCGTCTCCTGGGGTGTGTTGCAAAGCAATTCCCCGCCAGGACAACAGAGGGCGTAGCGCTGTTCTGGGGTATCCTGTCATGCATCCGGTCCAAGATAGTGTGTTTATATTGTGTTTTTTGTATTTAAGATACTTTTTTAACACAGACAAATTTGTCTCTCCTCCTCCACCTCTTCATGTGCTCGCCACCTCTAAACCCACGTTTCCCATGATTTCCGTCCATGAATAAAATGCTTGCTGTGCATCTTTTCACTCCAGTCATGGGGAAATAAAACGTTCATATTTTTAGAGTTTTTCCGTGAGGTATTCTTCAAGCTGCTCTGTGTCTGTCGCTAGATAGCCTCAGCTCTGCTTTAGGGCTCAATGGCGGTGCTGTGTAGGCGACAGCGGCGTCCTGACCAATCACAAGCTTGCGTTCTCTGTCTTGATGGACGGATGTTTAGAAAAGAGAGCTCCAGCAGGCTCGCAGGGACGGATAATGACGTTGCGTGTCTCCGTCCCGACGCAGACGGAGAAGCATTAATTAGGCTTTACAGCGCCCTGCGGTGGACTGGAAACCTGTCCAGGGTGTACCCCGCTTGGATGCCCGGAGACTGCTGGAGATAGGCGCCCTGCGAGGATAAGAGGGTAAAGAAAATGGATGGATGGATGGCTTACAGCTTAAGAAAACCCCACATTGAAAATCTCAATCAGAATATTGTGAAAAGGTTCAATATTCTAGACTCAAAGTGTCACACTAATTAGCTAATGAATACAGAAGAAAGGGTACAAAGGGTTCCTGAGCCTTTAGAGTCCTCAACTAAATTTGTTCAAGGGCCAGAGTTTTTCCCAGCAGACACTGTGCGGGCCAGATGCTCTTCTAAATTAAAGTTAAAGTATTATTGTATCTTAATTTATTAATATTTAAAAAAAGACTTTGTTTTCCATCTTAACTGTTGTGATTGTAGTTTTAGGTGTGTTTGGAGAACGTAAACAATTATTGATATTTGGAACATGAATTTTGCAGCTAAACTTCAAAGTCCTCCAATTGGGGGGGGGGGGGGGGGGGGCTTGCGGCCCAAAGGGTTGGGTGGATGGGTGGAAAGGTCTGGCGGGCCGAATGTGGCCCATGGGCCGCTACTTGAGGTTCACTGCTTTAGATTGTCTCTCAGTCTGAGTTGGATTACTGAAAAAATTGGAGTTTTGCATAGTTTTCATGTTTCACCTGTAGTCTGTGACAGTGCAACATCAACATTTTTCAACAACACCCACATCTGTTAGAGCGATGCTCAGCTTTGTCATTTTAAACATACTTGGCAACTAAATCACCTTGTTCTTCTGCAGAAACGTAACAGTGGTCTAAGACGTGTGTTTTGGATCATTTCTATGTTGGAAAATAGCACAATGAACAAGCATGTGGTGTGACTGTAGCGCCTCTTTCAGCATAGAGTGCTACATCTGTGGATTTATGATGTCGTTGAGAAGCTGCAGCTCCCTGACAGCAACAGCCCCACTTCAGGATTCTGCCACCAATTGGTTTCATTGTAAGCACTTTTGAAGCCAACATCTTTCAATAGGATGCATTTACTTTTGCAACTTGATCTTTAAGGAAATTCAAAAGGAAAAGAAATGGGAGCGCAAATGAGCAAACCTCATTTAAAATCAATGTCATTCTTATTTTGTGGTTTAGTGTCCCAAAGAAAATGTTTCTCTGACATTTATTGGAGTGTACTCCTTCATGCCGAGTGCTGTAGTTTAGAAGTACTTGTTTATACGTCACATTGGCGATCAGGTGATGGGAAACACTGGGTCTGAGATGTGTTTCTGGATCCTAGTCTGTACTGAGGTGAGGTTGAGGTCCACCGGTAATGAGGGACAGCGGAGCTTCTTGCACAGCCTGGAGTCAGCCTTTACAGCTGATTTGACTGACTGCTGGGGCAGCGGTGAAGTGAAACCTGGATGAGTGTCGGTTTTAGGGGTCACAGTCACAAAAATTGTGTCGTCAGACGCTGCTGTCGTGTGGATGCCGCTGTACAGGGACTCCTGGGATGTCTTGGATGATTTAGGATCTGTGTGCTCCAAACACTGACGTAGAGAAAGGAAAGGAAGGAACATTTAAGGGTGGCTGTCACTGATTTCAAAATTTTATGTGTCTTAAACTTTGTTCATACCTGTTTGGGTGTACTGCTGTCCATCTGGATGGGGGGGGTTTGATACATGTTGTGCAGCACTGGAGCCTGAACCACATACAGACCAGCAGATTCAGTAGGAAGGGTGTCAGGAGATACGGTGCTGTAAGCAGGAGGTGTAAAAGCCATTTGCCTTTGGAGAAGCTGCAGAATAACGTTGATGTCGGCTGTCATACGAGTTTCCAGCCTGGAGAAAGTTGAAGATGACATGACTCGTAATGGAGCATTTGACCATCACTCTAGTCATCAAAGAACTGTGGGCTAGCAGTGCCTACACCACAATCCAAACTCTTCCTGTGTGGTTCCACAGTGGTCTGTCTTCAAGAAACTAGGAAACACACTCTTCAGAGATCACCTTCTACCTGTGCACCTACTCTGTATTTCTTTTCCACTACTCTACTAAAGTCTGTTTACTTCCCTCAATGCTTGCACTCTATTTCTGTCACCTTTGACAGAGCCTAACTAGTGTCTTTCCCTCTACGATGCTTTATTGTTAGCGTGAAGAGGAATTGCCTTGCTGCATCCTTATTTGTGAGTCGATTTGAATAAGTCTTGAACAAGCCTAAAGACTTAGACACTTTTTGAATATGTTACTTCAAAGTTAATAAGATTAAAGAGGATGACGCACCTGTTGAGCTGTGAGTGTAGGTCTTCGAGTTGAGACTCAAGCTCACTGGGTCGATCTGTGCTTTTCAAAGGGTGGTCTGAGTTGCAGAAAGAAGAAGATTGCAAGGCGTGACGGGAAAACTGCTGTGGCTGTTGGTCTCGCAAGCATCGACACAATCCTGGTACATTCAAAGATGAGTCTGGTGGAAATGAAGACAAATTGTGTAACACGCCATTTTAAATTTGAAATCATAATGCAGCTTTTCTTTTAGAAAGCACTAAGGGTGCACCAAAGGACAATAATCTAAGCCCAGTGTGGAAATTGTTTGCAGAGAACTCCAGAAACCACAACTAAAAACCTGTAGCAGAAATCCATCACAGCTCATTTTGAATCTCAGGTTCATCATCTCAAACAAGCATCTGTCAAAAGTCGTTCCTACCTTTGTGGCCCTGGTCCAAAACCACATCCCTTCCCACTGAGGCTCCACTCTGAGGCAGCACTGGCACCTGTCTGATTTCCTCTGAAGAGTATAACTCTACTCTGGCACTGTGAGCAAGAGGCTTTGCAAGGCCCTCACTTGACTGACAACAGGAAGACCCACAGCTCCAGAGGTCCTCCCAGTCAGCCTGAGGACGTGAGTGATGGCAGGACTGAAGGGGGTACGTGTCTTCGTGATCGATCCCATCTGTTCACAGATAATCCATTTAGTTACTTAGTACATTATTTGTCTCACAATCCAATTCAGCTTATCGGAGAGCCATCTCTGACAGGTGAAGAAGAAATACCAATAAAAGACAATCACAGTATTGATTATTTTATCATTTGGGAATACTTGGAGACCTTTGTGTTCTGGTCTCTATGGCTGAACTTCACAAAACATTCAGTCTCACCATAATAACAATCTGAGAGTTTAATATAATGGATTTTTGGAAAATCAATTATCCTAAGGATGATGTTTCCTTTTGACGTATAAAGAAATTAACTTTAGTTTAGTTGCAGAGTCTTCCATCAAATGGCTCACCTGGCCGTATCCTGCAGTCAAGGGAGTGAATTCTGTGTTTTGGTTTATGGCGATATTCACAGTCGTCCCCTGAATCATCCGTTGTTATTGGTGGTACTTGATCAGTCTGAGAACCACATATGTATGTGATGTATGAATTATACATCATAAAAATATCAGTAATTAACATAACTTAGCCATCTTACATCTCGCAGGTCAAAAGTGATCTCCAGGTTCCTCCAGAAGTTGTCAGCAAATCTCGGGTAAATATCAAGAACCTCAAGCAGGTCTTCCCTTGGGATTCGGTGCAGGTCACAATAAGTCACTGTGTACACGTCTGAATTGGACCTTCCTGGTTCATCATACAGGTGGATAAGTTCACCAAAGATGTCGTTCTTTTCTGTAAGATGACAAAAGTGTTTTTATTTTAACACTAATAATTTAAAAAATGCTTGAATTTCCTTTGAAAGCCCACAGATAAAGTAACCCAGAATGCAGCTTGACTAAATAGTTGTACCTAGCATGGCTACCACCACATAATCCCTCACAACTTGGATGGATCCACGTGAGATGAAGAAGAGCGAGTCCAGGATGTCTCCATTGTGGATCAAAGTGTCCCCTGGAGGAACATGGACTGTCTTTATCCTCATGGCTAAGGAACGCAGACATGCCTGGTTGCCTCCACGGAACGCCTTGCAGTTTTGTAGCAAAGACCGGTTCAGATGCAAACAGATATCGGCCTGCATTGACTCTGGAAATCCCCTCAGCACCTTAAAGATGGAACGTTAAACCTTCATCACTCCAGTGATCAGACGTGAATGTGGATTACAGAGGTGAATGCTTCTTTACATACAGCATTCATGTCTATGCCGTTTGTGTAGGACCAGGCATGCTGAAAGTATTCCTCCAGTCTTTGGCGAAGGCTGCCTGGAATTTGGTGGAAGCGAATGAACTCTTTGACTCGCAGCATTTGGGTGTGGTACCGGGTTGTACCAGAGTACAGCCGCTGGATGATGGCAGACACATTCCCAAATATACTGGCATACATAAGAGCTGAAATGAGAGGGGAGAGATCGGACAAAAATGACCGACTGTTATTTAGGAAGTAGCATTTCCCAGAAAATGGATTACAGAAGCCACTTGGGATCTTTCTGTTTAGTCGAAGAGATCAGATCATCATGGTTGTGGCAGTGTTAAAAAGAGACCAACAACAAATTGTCAGTTATCAAGAGCTTTTTCAATGATGAAACCAACTAGCATGCAAGACAAAAACAGCTAAATGGTGAAAAGTGATGGATAAAGTCAAAGGGACTTAGCACTTTCAGCATGATTAGCTCCTTTATCTAGCAACTCTCTGGGATACAACTGTTGGTGACAAATGAGCATTAGTGAGGGGGTTTCCAATATGTTGACAAGTATTTGCAAAGGTTTTTAATCCTGCTGTGGTAATCCCAGAATTCCACTCCTCTGTCACTGAAAATTTTGAAAGTATTTGTATTTTAAATGTGAATTTCAAGTATTGGTGCCAGAAATATTCTCTTTAATTAGTCACAGTGTTTTTGCTGGTATCTGGAACCCTTCTAGAACTTTCCTCAAATCGTTTCTTTGAGTGGGAAGTGCAATTAATGTGAAAAATGTCAGAGCAGTTGGTCCAAAAGATTTGGAAGCCCAATTTGTGAATAAAATGAGAGTGCATTGCTAAAAAATGAAGACACTTTTAACCAAAATTGCTACGTAAAGTATTAAAACTATTTGCAATTGCCCCACATTCCTATGGGGTGCCATTTGTAAACTCAAACAATCAGAATTTAACAGCATTTTTTGGGGTTATTTAGCCTATCGTAGAAGAAACAAAAATGGGAGTTAATTTTTCAAAGTCGTATTTTCACCATGTTATTCATACATTTACAAATGTCAAAGTTCCCAACTAAATATTTAGTTAGCAAGCTAAATATTTGATTTAGAGTTGAATATCTATTTTAAATTTAATATTTTATTTGTGAAACAAATATTTAATGTACTAATTACACCCCAGCTAAATATTTATTGCAGAGCTAACCATTAAGGTTGCAAAAACCATGTTTAGGTTTAGCCCTCAAAAAACATTTAGCTTTTGTTAATATTTTGTTTGTAAACTAAATATTTAGCTCCAAATGAAACATTTAGTTATTAAATTAAATATTTATTTTACAAACTAAACATTTGGGTCGGACTTAAATATTTGCCTATATGCACATACATGTACCTTTGTTATTATTTTTCTTCAAACTATTCTCTTAAGTGTTGGTGCTGCTGTAACAAGTGATTTTCTCCAGTGTGGGATCAATAAAGTTTATTCTATTCTATTTAGTTTGTAATCCAAATATTTAGTAAAAAAACATATTTATTTCAAAAACTAAATATTTAGGTCTTATCAAAATATTTAGTTTATAAAATAAATATACAATCTAAATTAACTATTTAGCTTGCTAACTTAAAATTAAGTTGAGGCCAGTTGAGTCGTCTCAAGGCACTTCACAAAGTAAACATTCTAATACAGTTCTGTAAGCAATCAGTAAAATGTTTTTCAGAGGTGTGACATTGTGGCATCATCAAGTCATCTCCATGTAGTGTTTTTGTTCTGCTCAGCAATTAAACCAGGTGATTCCAATCAGCACAGTGAATTAACCTGGTTCAGTTGCTGAGCAGAACAAAAACATGACATGGAGATGACTTGATGATGCCACAATGTCACACCTCTGACGTTTTTTTATACAAGAAACCCAGCTGATTGCAGTAAATCCTCATAAGCAAGCATGTAGCGACACTGGAGAGGAAAACATATCTAAATGTATGTATAACATTGTGAAAATATGAAATTTTAAAAAAGTCCCTTTTTTTCCTTTTATGACAGGCTAACCCCCCCCCCCCCCCCCCCCCCCCCCCCCAAAAAAAAATTGGAACCACTATTGTTCAATTCTGATGATTGGGCATTACCCAACATCTTAGAAAACCACTTGAAGTGTTACATGCATCAGCCCAGTGTGGTTTTAACCCAAAATTTGCTTTTTTCTTGTAGTTTTGTGTCACCAACTTGTCACAGTCCAGCAATAAACTGGCTTAACAAAATTTCACCCATTCATTAATGTCTGTGGTGGTTTTCCCCATTTAGGTTAGTAATGTTACAGTCCTGAATATTCTCATTCAACTTACATCCAATGACCATGACGCAGATGGAGAAGATCTTCTCAGAGTTGGTGTTTGGAGAGACGTTGCCAAACCCCACACTGGTCAAACTGCTCAAAGTGAAGTACAGAGCAGTGCCATATTTGTCTTTGACTGATGGACCAGAGGTGGAGTCACTATCGTTGTACGCTTTCCCCAGCTGTTCAGCAAGGTTGTCCAACCAACCAGTCTCTGTGTATGGTCTCTCCACAAAGCCAATGGCGTACCAAATACAGGCGAGCCAATGGGCGATGAGAACAAACGTACACATGAGCAAGAAGAGGACAGCAGCTCCATACTCAGAATATCGGTCCAGTTTTCTCGCCACACGGACCAGTCTCAACAGCCGAGCTGTTTTAAGAAGGCTTGTCAAGGTTGCCATCTTTGGTTCCCATTAAGATCGAGGGAGAAGATAAGATTGGGTTACACATTCATTAGTCAATTCTATTGTTGTTCTTTAACAATTCCAAATGTTTAAAGACCAAGTTCACTCATGTTTTTCAACACATTTGCAGTGGTCTCTCAGCTTATTGGACTAGACCAAATTCTTGCCTTGCAAAGTTTTGTCTAGGAATGCTCCTTTGGAACCTCTGCAGCCTCTAGCAGCACTCTGGCTGGCCAATCACAGCTCTCTATAGGGGGGTTTAAACCCATAAAGTGCTGTGATTGGTCCATAATGGTGGGCCAGTCACAGCGCTGTATCTGCTTTGTGGGCTAATCAGGGCCCTCTATTCGTCTGGTGGGCGGGATGATGAAACAAATTCAATAAATCAACATCAGACCTTCCCCATCATGGGCCAAAATGGGTGAGTCCATGAATGTTAATTTGGCAATGTGAGGTGTCACAGGCTTTTCTAATCCAAGTGTTTCCTCGTCTATTTTCCATTGGCAACTAAAGCAGGAAATAAGGGTAGCAGACTGTGAAGGGGAAGAAGGCTGGAGAACTCAGGTGAAAGTAAAAATATTAATTGGCACAAATAATTGAACTAACAGTTCAATTTTGCTATCTTTGTCACTCTGATGAAGATAATAATAATAATGCATTGAACTTATATAGCGCTTTTCTAGACACCCAAAGACGCTTTCCACACACTCTCACACTGCTAGTGATGGTAAGCTACTTGTAGCCACAGCCACCCTGGGGAGGTCTGACAGAGGCAAGGCTGCCATTTGGCGCCGTCGGCCCCTCTGACCACCACTAACACAGGCAAGTTGGGTGAAGTGTCTTGCCCAAGGACACAATGGCAGGATACCCCTGGCGGGAGCTGGAATTGAACCCATGACACTCCGATCATGCTACCCGCTCTACCACCTGAGCTACTGCTGCCCCAGTGGGATAAAATATTTTTACTTTGACAAGAGCGCTCCAGTCTTCTTCCACTTCACAGCAGTTGGTTCTAAAGCACCAGTACTCAGTTGGATGAAGCGCAGGGTTCATATTAACTACTTAATTTCACCTGGAAGGGTTGAGGACCATTTTCATGTTCAACCAGCAAGTTGAACAGAGCAAAAAATGCTTTCTCAGTGAACTTAGCCTTTAAAGCCAATAAAAAGCAAGTTTTGGGGGTAGGGAGAAATGATCAGAAAATAAAATGAGCAAAGAACCAAGTTTCTTACCTCATCAGATCCAGATCTGAAGATGAGAAGGTCAAAAGGGATTGCTGCAAACAGATCAATAGGGAACCAGCCTTTGATGTAATGCTTGGCTATCCAGCTTGGCTGTGTGACCACCACGTCATTTTGGTCGACATACGTAGTACGAAAGTTGATGACTATGTCCACAATGAATAGCACATCCACCATGAGGTCTGCTACATTCAGAGGGTTACACGTATAGCCACATCTCCTCTGTCTCAAATCCCCATGTTCGTCCAAGAGGAAGGCAGCAGAGTAGGGAGTGAAAACGGCGGTGTAGAGGACCAGGAGGAGAATGATCCAGTCCCAAAATGCCTTGAACGGGCTGTAGTGAAGCATGATCCACCATGTTGTTTCTGGCACCTGGAGTTTATATTCAGGGAGTACATCAGGCTCTAAAGATAGTACCTAAGAAAAAAATGCATCAACGGTTCTCAAAAATGAATGTTTATTATTCGATTTTATTAACTCCCAAGAAAATGTTTTATTAGTTTTAAGCATTTTCTACTCTCAGAGATTACATGTAGACAAATGGTAAAGCAAAGAAAACCAAAAGGTATTTGTTCTACTCTTTTGTGGTGAATCCACATGTTAGGACTCTTAACAAATACACTCTTACACATATTCAGAAGATGGACTTGGTCCTGGTTAGGTGTTCAATGCACTAGTTCAGGGGTCACCAACCCGGTGCCCCCAGGATCCCTTTGAGTTGCCCTCGAGCCTGTTGTAAAAATAACCCAATTCACCACGTAAGTTTAAAATACTATTTTCTGCTGCTATTTTTTTTAATCACACTTTATGTGATTAAAAACATGACAGCAGAGATGGCATACAGAATTGTGGGAACTACAGAAGAACAAAGCTAATGAGTCATACAATGAAGCTCTGGGAAAGAGTGGTGGAAGCTAGGGTTAGGTCACAAGTGGGCATTTGTTAACAGCAGAATGGTTTGATGCTGAGAAAGAGTTCTACAAATGCTACTTCTGCTTTAAAGGGGTATTATGGAAGTTTGACAGCCAAAACATATTTAGAAATAATAAATTTCTTCTTCATACATTCTCCTGCAATGCCCTGGTCCTGTAGAATGAGCCCTGGCATTTTTACTGTGATTGCCTGTTTTTCTGTAAAATCACAGAAAAAGAGAGATGCTCGGGTCGAGCAGGCTGCTTCATGCGCGTTCACGCTCAGGCATAGCCCGTAGCATTTGCTATCAGTAGCTTTAGCAGCAGAGAGTGAGGTAGTGCCAACCCAGCGACTTTGTCGCTGTTCCTAACGCCTAGTGATGAACCTTGCTACATTTCTGAGGACCCTTAGCTACTTTCTTCTAGATATTTCCTACAAATTAGCAACAAAATAGCCATTTTCGCTCCAAATCGTTCTTTGAACGTTGTTTCAGCTATCATCAAGGATATAAAAGTTACAGATACGAAATACGTCACTGGCGCTATAGCTCATCTGGTTAGACGTCGGACTCTCGTCAGAAGACCCAGGTTCGAATCTGGATGTGAACTTAGTTCCTGTAGTTTCTTTTTTACATTAGTGGTATATATTTTTTACAGTAAGATGCCCAAATTTGTATTTGAGACTCGCTGAACGGCATTGAATTCACAAATAAAAAAGATGTGGGTTCAACTTTCATTTTGGAACAATTTTTCAAGCAAGGGAAGGGAATGATCTGAGCATGCATGAAGACTGATCCATCATAAACCTTTGTCGGCTGTGCTGAAGAGAAAGGTAAAGAACCAAATCATTTAATGAATTAGCTGCGTGTTCTCCTGTCCTCTGTCCTCTGGGCCACACACACACACACACACACACACACACACACACACACACACACACACACACACACACACACACACACACACACACACACACACACACACACACACACACACACGGAACTGTCTCAGCTGTTATTTTCGTTAAGGAGTGTGCACGTACAGCATGCGCGCCTCGTGCATGAGCCTACTATTGAAGCTGCCATTACGCTTTTGGCCTGAGGGGGCAATCGCGAGCATAAAAATTCAAAACTCCGTAAAGTCCCTTTAATAATGATAGAGAAGTACAGAGAAGGTCAGAAGAAGCTGTGTTGTGTCTTTGTAGATTCAGAGAAAGCATATGACAGGGTGCTGAGAGAGGAGCTGTGGTGCATGAGAAGGTCCGAAGTGGCAGAGAAGTGTTAGAGTGGTGCAGATTTGAACATGTATGAGAGCAGTGAGACAGCAGTGAGGTGTGCTGCAGAAGTGACAGGGGAGTTAAAGTTGGAGGTGGGACTGCATCATGGATAAGCTCCGAGCTTCTTATTGTTTGCCATAGTGATGGACAGGCTCAGCGTTAGACAGGAGACTCTATGGACTATGATGTTTGCCGATGACAAAGTGATTTGCAGGGTGCAGGTAGAGAAAAGGCTGATGGAGATGTGTACTGGAGAAGAAAGAAATGAAGCTTACTGGTAGTCACAACCACACAAAATGCATGTATGTAAATCAAAAGGACACAAGTGGAACAGAGTAGAAGTAAAAAAGCTAGAAGGAGCAGGTTGGATGGAGAATAGTGGCAGTTGTGATAAAAGGGTTTCAGCAAGAATGAATGGAAAACTACCCATAGGGGGATCCTGGAGGGTGCGTGGGAATTCGCCAAACCAATCTACATTTGTTTAGTGGATTTGGAGAAGGCGTTCGACAGTGTGCCCCGGGGGACCCTGTGGGGGGTGCTCCGGGAGTATGGGGTATCAGGCCCTTTAATACAGGCTGTTAGGTCCCAATGACAGGTGGCAGAGCTTGGTCCGCATTGCCGGCAGTAAGTCAGGCTCGTTTCCGGTGAGAGTTGAACTCTGCCAAGGCTGCCCTTTGTCACCAATTCTGTTCATAACTTTTATGGACAGGATTTCTAGGCACAGCCAAGGTGTTGAGGGGATCTGTTTTGGTGGCCTAAGAATTGAGCCTCTGCTTTTTGCAGATGATGTGGTCCTGTTGGCTTCATCAGAACATGATCTCCAGCTTTCTCTGGAGTGGTTCACAGCCGAGTGTGAAGCAGCTGGGATGAGAATCAGCTCCTCTAAATCCGAGACCATGGTCTTGAGTCGGAAAAGGGTAGAATGCCTCCTCTGAGTCAGAGATGAGGTCCTGCCTCAAGTGGAGGAGTTTAAGTATCTCGGGGTCTTGTTCACAAGTGAGGAAAAAATGGAGTGCGAAATTGATAGGTGTATCGGTGCTGAGTCTGCAGTGATGCGGGGGTTGTACCGGTCGGTCGTAGTGAAGAGAGAGCTGAACTGGAAGGCAAAGCTCACGATTTACTGGTTGATCTACATTCCTACCCTCACCTATGGTCACAAACTTTGGGTAATGACTGAAAGAATGAGATCACAAATACAAGCGGCAGAAATTAAGTTTTCTCTGCAGGGTGGCTGGGCTCTCCCTTAGAGATAGGGTGAGAAGCGCGGCCATCCGGGAGGGGCTCGGAGTAGACCCGCGAGAGGCCAGTTGAGGTGGCTCGGGCATCTGGTCAGGATGCCTCCTGGACGCCTCCCTGGTGAGGTTTTCCGGGCACGTCCAACTATAAGGAGACCCAAGGGAAGACTCAGGACAAGCTGGAGGGACTATGTCTCTCACCTGGCCAGGAAACACCTTGCAATTCCCCAGGAAGACCTGGCCCAAGTAGCTAAGGAGAGAGAAGTCTGGGCCTTCCGGCTTAAGCTGCTGCCCCTGCGACCCGACTCCGGATAAGCGGATGAAAATGGATGAATGGATCGATGAAATGAATGATGTAGAAAACAACTGTGAGAGCAGCCATGTTGTCTGGTTTAGAGACAGTATCCATGAAGACAAGACAGGAGACAACACTCAAGGTTCTGGCAAGGGTGGATAGAATCAGAAATGAGTCCATCAGAGGGACAGCTCATGTTAGAAGTTTTGGAGATAAAGTCAGAGAGGCCAGACTAAGACGGTTTGGACACGTCCAGAGGAGAGACAGTGATGGCATAGGTAGAAGGATGCTAAGGTTGGAGACACCAGGCAGGAGGCTGAGAGGGGGACCATAAAAGAGATTTATGGATGTGATGAAAGAGGACATGAAGTTAGTTGGAGTGAGGGTAGAGGACACAGAAGACAGAACTACATGGAGACAAATGATTGGCTGTGGCAACTCCTGAAGGGACAAGTACAAAGAGAACTTGAAATTGTATAGATTGGGAAATTATATTGTTTAAAAAAGCCTTAAAATATGTTTATTATACATGAAGTTAAAACTCAAACCTATAGTTTAATAGTCAGTATTAAGTGCATGACAAAACTTATGGTGAAGTAGCTGTTAGCCTTACAAAGGTTGGTGACCCCTGCTCTAGTTTTTATACCTTGAAGGTCCAATAATGAATCAATCAAATCTATCAAATTTTATTCATAAAGCACCTTTCATACTAAAAGTAGCTCAAAGTGCTGTACACAGAGTAAAACTATAGCCCCAATAAAACACTCACACACACTCACACACACACACACACACACACACACACACACACACACACACACACACACACACACACACACACACTTTAAAATACAATAATATAAAATGAAAGTAATGTTTCTATTAAAGCTGCAATGGCAAATTTGAAAACAAATTAGCTTAAACATTTTTTTTCTTGCCTCTTAACAACATTCTAACAAAAAATATCTAATTAAGAGGTTATCTCATTTGACGAAAGACCTCTACCAACAACACATTTCGGACCAAAAGCAACTATTGGATCATCGGTTATGGCCAAACTGCCGCACTTCCCTGGGTCCTCCACTCATTGCACACCCTCGTATTCAGCACCAGAACACAACTGGTGTGAGAGGCTCTCCGCTCAATAATATCAGAGAAGGAGAAACAGCCAGTTGCTACCACTTCTACTTTAGGACAAACTACCAGAGTCCCAAAATGAAAAACATCGTTTGAAGTCACGGACAACAAAAGACATTTGGAACTAGAAAATGGTGACTGGTGTTTAGCACTATCTCGTTTCCTCCTGAAATGCAGGTCTCCGGTTCCGGCAAAAGCATCTCAGGGAAGATACCCGAGCGGAGGGGAGGGGTGAGTGACCATGTTTGCATTCAAAACCTGGCTTGGTCTGTAAATTCGCTATAGCAGCTTTAACTCCATGGGCTGAGCACAGAGGAGCCAGGCCAGGAGATTGAACTAAAACGATGGGTCTTGTGCCTGCTCATAACATCAGCACTCTCCGTGGTCCTCATGAGCACAATTCCAGATGGGGTCCAGTACTGAAGAGAGGCCTCTTTGTAGGTCTGTGTTCTCATTCTGGGTATTATTAGTAAATACTTGATCATCCTGTCAATGGTAAATGTCAACAGATGTAAAACTTCAATAGGATTAAATACAGAAATTAAACAAAAGTACACTTGAATCTAAGGGTGCTGCAGCTAGAGTTCTGATGATAATTAAAAAGAGATATCATATCTCTCCTGTCTTATGGGCCATTCCCATCTGTACCGGGTCGGCCCGGGCCGGGTAGCCCCAGTCGGCCCCAGCCTGGCCCGGATGATTCCACACATCCTTGTCTTAAGCCCATGTGGGCTGATTCTACCCACCAATCAGAGGCTTGCTCTAATGGAAGGTGTGAATTTGCTGTCAGCAGTGGGTGTGTTGGCCTTGGTCGGCCTGAAGCAGATCCCCTCGAGAAGAGGGCTGAGAATGAGCCTTGGTTGGCCCGGAAAAATACCAGGCCACCCAGATATGTAAACAACCTACGCTACCCGGCCCGGGTCGACCCGGTAAAGATGGGAATGACCCATTAGCTTCCCTACATTGGCTACCTGTTAAATTCAGAATAGATTTTAAGATCCTCCTTCTCACATATAAAGCTCTTAATAATCAAGCTCCATCATACATCAGTGATCTGATTGTTCCATACGTTCCTAACCGAGCACTTCGCTCTCAGACTGCAGGTTTACTGGTGGTTCCCAGAATATCTAAAATTAGGATGGGAGGCAGATCTTTTAGTTATCAGGCTCCTCTCCTGTGGAACCAGCTCCCAGCCTTAGTCCGTGAGGCAGACACCTTGTCTACTTTTAAGACTAGGCTTAAAACATTTTTATTTGATAGGGCCTATGGTTAAAATCTGATGTAAGCCTAGATCTGGACAAGTGGGGGAGTAGAGGGAGGTGGAGTGTACAGTCTGTAATGACGGCTCTCCCTTGCCCTGCCTCCAACATGCCTCCATCTAAAAAGGCTAGGTTATCCAGAGTAATCTCTGTAGTTATGCTGCTATAGGCTTAGACTGCTGGAGGATACACTGACCACTTTTCACACTCTACTACTTTCTTCTACAATCTACTCTTTAACTGTATTATTTCCTGCTACTTCAGCTATTAACTTTATTTTTTCTCTAAGTGTTTTTCTCCCGAGAGGAAGCTACGGTGATGTTCTGCTGAGCTGTGGTGGCCTCATGGAGGGGGCCATCGTCTAGCACACTGCTGCTAACCACTTAAACATTCTCCCTCTCCTGATAATAACTTTTTGACTCCTTGACGTTGGATGTGCTACTGCTAGTTTACCCGTTTAACAATAGATTCACTAGGATAAATACAATAAAGTTTATCTCTCGCCAAATAGAATATTTACTAAGCAATCACGGTGTAACCATGGACACATTGCTTGGTGTGTGTGTCTGCTCTGTCTTCTCGATCCCCAGGGGATGGCTGCTTATACTGAGCCAGGATCCTCTGGAGGTTTCTTCCTGATAAAAGGGAGTTTTCCTCTCAACTGTCGCTATATGCTTGCTTGGTATGAGGATTGCTGTAAAGTGACTTGATGCAATTTGCTGGGTTCCTTATAGGAAACATTTTTTCTGATTGGCTTAATGAATTGACCTGAATTGGAATGTTTATTATGTGAAGTGCCTTGAGATGACTCTTGTCGTGATTTGGCGCTATATAAATAAAATTGAATTGAATTGAATTGAATTGAAAAGGGCAGAAACATTTTTTAATTGTTGAGAGTTGACTGAAGGCTGTAATGACGGGTTGGTTGAGTTTATTTTGTGCCACAGTCATTTTATTGTCTCTGTCCCAATTTCTAATAAATATTTGTCTTCTTGCAAAATGTCACTGACCTCACTAACAGATCCATCAGCTATATGGATGATCACATAGATCCTCATCAGACTTGGAAGGTCATGGGTTTTTGCATGCTCCTCTTTTATTTGTGTTACATTCGCTACACACCGTCCAGTGATGCAGAATGATGAGCCTAAGGGCCTCAGGGCTCTGGCAGTAACAACTGTAATGCCTGAAACAAAATGCCACTCAATGTGTCTTTGTTTGTCTCGTTCATGAGGAAAACATCCAGCAAACGAGCCGCCTACTGATTTTTCCATTAGCAGGTTAATTAACAGCAGTCCTCTATTGTTGATCACTGATCTGGTCGCAGTTTCCAGAACACAAATACCCCAAGCTCTAACGACGGACTGAAGCTGGCCTCAAATTTGATAGCAAATGAGTGAGTTTGAGAAGAACTGGTATTAAACAGAGGCCGTGTGAGGTTGCTGGCTTTAATACCTGCGTGACCTTCTCGGTGACCATCTGAGGACGATCCTTCCCTTTGGAGGGACTGAGCAGCTCCATCCTAAATGTTGGAAATGAACAGAAATTTGAGTTCATGATGGTTTCTTTGTTCTTCATCCTTCACACGGCCTGATTCAAAAAGCCTTTACCAGAAATGCACAACTATTAGTTATATAGAAGAAAGTAGTTAAAGAGCTTTTAATTTGAAAATAAATTTGGCTGATTCTTACATTGCTAAATTAGGGGAAAAAAACCTCTGTGACTTGCTTCTTCAGTATGGTTCTTGTTTTGAAGTTTGGTCAAATTTTTTATGAAAGTGAATGAAACAACCTACCTGATTCCAGTCAGATTGATCGTGATCTCTAAGCCATCTCTCGGATATTCATCCCTCTCAACAGTCATGGGTTACGGTTAATATTTCCACAAAACAAGCTCTCTTCTCATCGTCACTGACTGCAATTGCCGGTGTTGAACCCTCCACCCTGGCACAGACCACTGGACTGCTCTGCAGCGTGTCAACAGTGGAAGCCAATCAATGCCACGCTATAGCTGAGAGGAAGCGATGGGAAAATCGATGTCAGGAATTGATAACAAACCAAAATCAGAGTCACTGGGCTTCCCTGTTAGCATCAAATCAGCTTTTCAATGATCCGGGAGGCAGTTAGATTTGGGTGACCACGTTTAATTATCCGTTATATGAAGAGTTTGGTGTCATCTATAGAAGGTCGTTTGAGATAATAGTTGTATTTTTGTTGTTTAAGATGGGAGTTGTTGATAGACGTGGCGTTACCGACCCATGATGACTTTAGCTTAAAGCACCCTTCAGCTGTAACCTTCAGCGTCTGGGATTGGTTGTCTTTTTAAAATTTAAAACAACAAAGTAGGTTTTATCTGCGGATTAACAACACATATAATAAAAGAGGGAAAATGATGGGTCCACTCAGTAATTCATGGCGTGTCAGCTTTTTTCACTGTGGATTCAGACTAGGATCACTTTTCTTCGGGATCTTCCAGAGTTGTTATCTTTAGGGTCTGTTTTCAATCGTGTGTCATGGCTGATGGGATTTTTTCCACTATTATGGGTTTTGCTATGGCTTTGGTCTTGCTTTAGTTTAACTTTGTTCTGATGGGTAACGTTCATATTCTCTGAACTTCACCTGCTGTTATTCCACAGAAAGCCCTCTTTATCCTTCCAGTCCTGCCTTCTGCTGCCTCTGCACATCTTCTAACTTCCACATCTGCCTTCTATTAGTCTTTATCTCTCCCAGCGTGGAAAGAGCTGCCTTCGCTTGCTCCGAGCACATCTTCACTCAAGGTTAGTTTTGATTTAGCTGTGCTCGGCCATATGGTTTGGGATTATTGCGTTTTGCACATCAGCTTTGTATAAAACATTTTCATCTGCTTGTTAGCTGATTCAGAGCTTGCATTGGTGTGTGTCGTATGTGTGCTGCTGTTTCATGTCTAATTAAACAGTTTTCTTGGTGATCTTTTGGGTTTTTACTTAACTTTTCCTCTCCAATGACCAGCAGGATGAAGTAATCCAGGAAGAGGGTGATTTAGGGGCTTCCTTCTGAAGCAGATTAATGACATGCTAGGCTATGTGGTGAAAATACAGTTGTCTGTGTGTTGAACAGTGTGGTCAGACGATGTGAATCCTATTTTAAACACTAGATACTTGAACTTTATTGGCCAAGTCAGAGTTGTTTTTTTCTCTAAAACAGATTTAAATCCAGAGACTATTACAAAGTTATTACTGGGTCTTTATCCTTATTATCTTTTCTCAATAGTGTTTTGTTAGAGATATAACTAAAATGCTGAGATAAAAATATTTCCCCCCTTAGGGTTTGTTTTAACTTAAATATTTCAGAGCAGAAAAAATGTAAACAAACCAGACTAAAAAGAACTGACTTGTAAACATGATAACTGGTAATAAGACTCTCACAACACTGTGGAGGAATTCTGACCCTCTCGCCTTAAAGTGCATCTTTAATGTTTTTTAAAATGGCAAAACAACATAATCTAAAGTAAAACGTTACTTTGGTTATCCTCCCAGGTTTCCAGATAACTAGCAAGTGTTTAAAAGTACTCAATCAAGGGAAGAGAGCAAGTCCCCCCCCCAAAAAAAGTGCTGTTTTGGAGTCACGTGATGTGCCTGGAGGAAAACGTAGAGGACCACAAGCTTGAATCTGGTCGGTTATAACTGCTGAGGTAAAACTGATTCAGCTAGTTTGAATGTGGTAAATGTTTGTGTATGTGAGGGTTGTACAAACTACAGTTTGTCTGGACACCGTGTCCATCGATTTCCAAATCAGAATAACCCAGCTCACTTTTTTAATCAATACATTTGTAGTGGTCTAGTGGGAATGAATTCCTTGTAAGTCGTTCTCGGGGGGGGGGGGGGGGGGGGGATATATACCGGTGCACCATTTCTCTGACCTGAAAGTTGCTCACATTACAGCAGGCTTTGGAGTCTTATTTGGACACCTCGCCCCAGATTGTTTAACAGCAACGTGACTCTACAACTGACTTGCAACGTTGATGTTTTATCTCCACACATGCCACAGGCCTGGAGGAGTTTCTGCTGTGTGGTGGAGTTGCTCCTGCTAACGGTTAGCTTACACAAGCATAGGCGTTCTCGGCTGTTTCCTGGAGCAACAGCCCTCCCCGTCACGAGTCAAGATGGGTGAGTTCATGAATGTTGAAGGTATAGCGGAGGATTTCTTTCTTCTGGGTGGATCATCTACCATTGGTCCACGTAACTGTCAATCATTCTGGTGAAACATTCACGCAAGGCCGTCGTCTCACGTGCATGTTGCTGGGTAGTTTCCACTTCCTGCGCATGCGCAAAGCGAAGGCTGGCCTCCCCACTGACGCCTCTGTCACCAGTTTTCTGCTCGACGGGTAAGCTAACGTTCGGCATGCTATTTGGGGAAATTCTTTTATGATTACTGCTAGAAGAAATGCTGCAAGGTCGGCAGATACTTGTAAACAGAGCGTGCATGTGGATAACTGGGAATTCTCTCTCGTGCATTTTTTTCACGTGGAGAGGGTGGTTCTTTCCTGAAATTCAGAAGCATTCTCCGCGACATCTTTAATTCAGTGTGAAGTAGATCTGTCAGGATTTTCTAATCCCAGAGTTTCACCGTCTATTTTCTATCAGAAGCTAATGCAGCAGATAGGTGTAGACTATTTTCATGTTCAGCCTGCAAGTAAAGCTCAGAGTGACCAATTATAATCAGAAATAATCATTAAAAAAATGGTTCTTCAGGCAACCACACCTTTAATCAAATTGTTATAAATTAGTCATATTGGCGGTTTTTCTTTTTAGCAGAAATAGCCTGTTTGGGGTCAAAGGTCAGACATTCTCCTTCGATTTTTTTTGCTCAGTTACAGCAAGTGATCCAGGTCCTATAGCAGCAAAGCATCTCCAGACCATTACACTGGCTCTACTACTATCTCTGGTTGTTATCAGTTTGGGTGTGGCTGCTGAAACAAAGCTCATCTTTCTAAATAATGTCGTTTATCACTTTTTAAATCTTAGGGTGTTAATACGAAAGGCAGCTTTTAAACGATGACAAAAAAATATCCAACCCAATCTGGCCTATCTGTCTCTAATGTTTACTCTGCTGATCTATAAGGAAAAAATAGTTTTTCATATCACTCTACATATTATTTCTTAGAGGAAAGGTTTAGTCATTATTTCTCATGTAGACAAAAAACAATCAGGTTATAATCAGTGACTGTTTTTGTTTACTGATTAGCGTTGAAATGCCAAGTAGGAAACGGAAATAAAGAAAATAGAAAGGTTTGGTCTTTTGAAGTCGGCCTTTTCTAAATGTGAGTTATTTAAGGCCCAGGAGGGGTGTTTGTGATTTTGTGTCAGAGCTGTCGCCAAGACAACTGCTTTAAAATAAGCATGTTGTTTTGTTGTTTAACTCTGCGGCTGATAAATGTTAAGTCATAAATCAATACAAAGCAGAACCTGGTGTGATCTTTGGATTTTCACTGGAGCTTTTCTGGGAATTTCAGTGAAATAAATAACATTTATGAAATAAAACCTACATGTTTTGGAATGTGATAAAAAAAAACGTAAACATGTATCAGGAAACCCTATTTAGACTAATCTGTGTGTTTAGTTGGGCATTTTTATCTGAGCCAGGTTTATACATAAATCACTTCAACAAGTTTTAAATAGGACGATTTTTACAATCGTACTTCGTTAGTTGTGTTTTAAAAATCAGCAGCACAGAAATGCAGATGTTTTTCATTCTGCTTGATTCAGAAAAGTGTTTTTAAAACTTGCAGCTGTGACGGTTTAACCAGAAATCCATGAATCGCCTCGACCAGGATTTGTCATAGAGCTAGAATTTATTCTCCAAGCTTTCCCACACAAAGCATCCAAACCATCAAGTGAAAATGTCTGCCGTGACAACGGATCGGGCCACAAATCTTTGTTGCTGTGAAAGCAGATCCTCCACAGACCCAGTCAGTGTCCACAGAGAGTCCGAAAAGCTGCACTCAGCTGTCAGCCTGGATGTTGTCCCACACTCGAACAACATCTGGATAGTTATTGAGGGCTTCTATGAGGGAGGAAGCTTCTTCCAGCTGGGCCTCATCCAGAGAAGTGTTACTGCGGGGCACAAACTCCCATCCAGCAGACGATATCTGCATTCCCAGCCTCTCCAGTGAGCCTCGTACCTTGTTCAAGTCCACCACGGCACAAAAAAACTAAAGAGAGGCAAAAAGATCAAGCTTAAGTTGGATCTGCAGAATTACATCAAAACTGGAATTCTTACCTTCATTTGGGGCTTCTCTTCCTCATCCTCAGCTTCTTGAACATCTTCAGCTCCCGCTTCAATGGCTAACTCCAGAGCTCTCTCAGTGGTGATGTTCTGACCCGATCCCACTACGACTCCCCTCCGGACGAAGTTGTGACGAGCTCCTTCTGACGGCATCCCTCTGAGGACCAGTGGATGTTTACTGTTTATTTAACTCGTCACTAACAGAGTTACAAGCAGAAACCTTCACTTTCATCACATCACAGCGGTACAGAGAGAGGATTTGTTTCCAGTAACAAAAATTTAACCCATCAGAAAAGTTTAAAAAATGCATAAAAACTACTATTTATAGGCTTGAGTAATAAAGTAATAGTACAGTGAGAGGCTAGGAGGCTGGTCTGACCCATTCTTGATTAGCAGGCGTCTGACATGCTGTGTGGCGTGACAAGGGTTTTCAGTCAGGACTTCGACGAGCAGCAGACATCCTCCGGGCCCTCGCGCTTCGAACAGATGCTGAGATACCAGTTTAGCTTTCTCCTGTAGACGGGGTCAATGACAAACTTGTTTTAACTCTTAATCTGTAACTGAGAGAGATTAAAATTCAAAGTCCCACAGCTACCCGGCTATAGACTGGTATTTTATTATTCGGGGGGGGGGGGGGGGGGGGGGGGGGGGGGGGGGGGATTAGACCCACGGTACACATCAATAGGTGTGTGCATTCTTATTTTCCCAGTTATTTGGAATTAATACGGCCTTGGGCATCATAAATGTTGTTTCTAGTTATTTTAAAACAATTTAACTGAGTAAAAGTGAACAAAAGAAGCACAATTTGAAAGTGAGTCTTCCCAGGTAACATTGTTTCTTATACCTTATATTGTTGTAAAGCAGATTTGCCAGAGGTATGACTTTTGTGGACAGCGTGCATTGCAACATTCTCCTGTGGGTGTTGGGTGTTTACACTTAATATTTAAACATTAACATGTTTGAAGTAGGGCTGCACAATATATCGAAAAATTATCGTCATCGCGATAACAGGACGTGCGATAGGCCCATCGCAAAACACGGCAATAACAGCGATAAATGTTTGGTTCAAACATTTCCATCCGTGTCATACATCAGCTTTTTATAAACCAGCTCTGTTTTTTACGCGGAAGTATTATTTGACCAATCAAATGTAGCCCTTCTGATATGCGGCCAATCAGATGGTTCCATTCACGTCATACGCCCGCCCCCTACATAGACCCTTTTGGAAAGCAACACCCAAACAGAGTTTGCGGCGCCGTTCCCTTGTTCGCCATGCTGGCTCGGAGCAACGAACACACTTTGTGCTGATGTTTCTGGAATCAGCGCTGCTTTCAAACGTGAACGTGAGTCCGCTCGGTGTCGTTAATCATTTTTACCGGGCTGACTCCGACACGTGCCGGTGAACCAACCCACCTTCATGTCGCTAGTGTTCCACCGGGTGGTGATGTTAGCCCCAGGCTCCGGTTAGCTTCCAGCTAAAAGGCTACAGCACTCTCCTCCCAGTCCCACCCTGCTAAAGAGGGCCTAGAAAAGTTCCCCCACACATCAAAGTGATTTTTCCTTTATAACCTTGTAAATCAGGATAGTTAATTTGCTGCTGCACATAAACTGTCAGTCAGAAGCTCTGCTAGCCGGTTGTCTTAGAGGAGCTAGTTCAATTTGTTAGCTTGTTATCAGAATCATAGCTGCAGTTTCATCATCTGAGCTGCTTTTTAAGATCTAGGTAAACTTGTTCAATTTGGGATTAAAAACAAACGTTTTCACATATTTTCCATGTAGTTATCTTTTTTTTTGCCAGTTCCTCTTCTGAAAGGTAGACAATTGTTTTTCTCTTTCCCTCAGAAAATCTTAATATTCTCCTAGTTTGGCCCAGTACAGTTCACTTCCCAATTACAGCAACAGCCTTATATCATAACCACATAAGTGGAGAAAATGCTCAGTAGCAATGAGAGAATTTGCTGTTGAATTTAAGTGATGTTAACTATTATTTAACATTTAAACTTATTTACAGATTTTTTTTATTTATTCAAAAAACCCTGGTAAGGGATGTTTTTCTGTATTTGGAGCATCAGAAAGTTTTACGGTGGAGGTGATGTTATAAAGTCACTGAGAAACTGCATGCATGCAGTTTGTTGTTTTGCTGCTAATACAGTAGCAGGTGCAGCTGCATATGTTTGCAATAAAAATGTTATGTTGTAATGGAATTCATGCATTCGTTTTTGTTTGCTTTGAACCCAGAGCAGACGTCACACGCCAGACGACATCAACACTGCATACTTTAGTATTTGTTCATTTATCGTGAGTAATATCGATAACGCAATATTAAGCACTGTTATTGAATATCGTAGGTTTTCCTAATATCGTGCAGCCCTAGTTTGGAGTGTTCCTGTAGTGGAGGAGACGAGTATTTAGGCTTTTTACAGTCTGTTTGGTAAAGGTACTTGTTTAGTTACACCCTAGTAACACCTGATTATTACATGGAAATGAAATTATTTTAATGAGATGGGTGTATTATTTATGCACACGTGTGTGTGTGTGTGTGTGTGTGTGTGTGTGTGTGTGTGTGTGTGTGTGTGTGCTGACCACCCACCGCTCCCTTGATTGCAGCATCTATGGCTGCTTTCGGCATGTTCTTGCTCCTGCACTGCTCCAGTATGTTGGCCAGGTTTGTGTTCCTCTCTGGGTTGGATCCACCTTCTGATGATGACAAATAATAATCAGAAACGAGCTCCTTCTAAGAAGAAGACACCTTATTAAGGCAACTATTTACCCTTCACAGCGAACCGTATCAACATCCCAAACTTCATAAACATCCTCGCTCGCGCCTCATCTTTGGGTCCCTTTATGTGTTTCACTTTGGACCATTTGTTGTGTCCCGCGCACCAAGCCACGGACACCTGCAGCGTCCTGATGGGATATGTTGTCCTCCACAGCGGGGACAGGACACCTGAAGACGGCTGGAAGGGAGCTGGGTGCCCTCCCAAAGCCCCGGTTAGGGTGGGAGGGCGCAGGGTCCGAAGAGATCTCAGCAGCGTCGTCCCCACCACCATGACAGTGCCCTTCACACACGGCTACAGAAACACAGCTTATCAAACAGACACGTTTCCGTCCTCACACACCGTGTATTTATCTGTACTTCACATTTTTAATGTTTATTTACATAACTATCAGTAGAAACATCAAAAAAATCGCTAACTTACAGCTCTGGCAGGTCAGGAGAGCGAGCACACACTAGCCACCTCTCCTTCGGTGAAAACACTTCCTGTTTCAATGACGTCACATTTGGGGAGTTGCTCTTCACTAGATTGAAATATTTACTAAATACAGTTTTTCTCAGTCGCTTTGGTGCGTTTCTCAGATCAGAATTAAAATTCTCATAACTATTAGTTCAACCTCCACAACATTTAGTCATTTGTGCACATCATAATAGCAATTTCTCCTTTCTCTGAACAAACTGCAAATGATTTTGGACATGTATCAGTTGCTTTCATACATTTCTCTGCTGTTTTTTGACATTTCCATTTGCTTGTGTCATGTCAGGCAAAATTAATTAAACTTATGGATGCTGAATAGTCGTTCTCAATAAAACTAATAGTCTTACTTTCATTGCTTGAGTCATTACACACAAAATTGTTGAACTAGTTATCAAATGTCAAATATCAGTCATCTGTCAAGCAAATTCTATACCTTTCTTCATCATTTTATTCTGGAAATGTCTCCTAAATTGAGCAATTGATCACAGGTGAATTTCATCTGTCACTCATGAGGAGGTGTAATCCAACAGAGGAGTTTTTCTCTGCCTGGAGGTGGAAAGTTTACAGTACTGTATGACCAACATCCACATGAGCAAATGACCCTGCTTGCAGCCATGGATGCAGCATGTGACAACATCACAGCAGAGTCCTGCAGAGGATGGATTCGCCACTCCAGGAGATACTTCCTCGCTGCATTGCGAGGGATGACATCCATTGTGATGTAGATGAAAATATGTGGCCAGACAGACAGGAACGTCTGGATGTGCCAGAATGATTTACTGTACCTGTATGTTACAGTACTGTGCAATACTGTATGTACTGTTATACATGTACTGTATATTCACATTTGTGCACAGCTCTACCAAAAGGGTGATTTTTTGTTTACATGTATTCTACAGTAAACAAGTGACTGTAGCATATTTTCTTTTGCACAATGCTGTAGAATTACAAACACTTCTATACAGTAAAAATGTAAAACGTACGTATTCAGTGTCTCAGTTACTCCCAAAACTCCCAGAACATCTACAGTAACTTTACTGCACATTTCAAATGGCTGTACAAGTAGGGCATAGTGCTGTCTTGAGCATTTTCTGGTGTCACCAAATATTCTTGCAATGGAAAACACTGAAATTATAAACTGTCATAGTGAAAACATGACAAAGCCATTTGACTATCTTGTTCATAGAGATGGTGTCAAGACTTTTCATTTTGATGGCACCGACAGTTTCATTGACATGAATACTTGCTTTTGAGGAATGGATTATCAATTTTGAGCATGTGACGTGCTTTTGCAGGCTATCCACTAGGTTTTGCAGTTTGCACTAATTGTTTTGAGAAATGCACTAACTGCTGTGCAAATGTTAATAGTGTTTTGAGAAACGCACCAAAGCGACTGAGAAAAACTGTAATTATTTGTGGTACTTTTACTGTTTACAGTTAAATACTTGAAATTTGAAAAATTTGTAAGATAGATAGATAGATGATAGATAGATAGATAGATAGATAGATAGATAGATAGATGATAGATAGATAGATAGATAGATAGATAGATAGATAGATAGATAGATAGATAGATAGATAGATAGATAGATAGATAGATAGATAGATAGATAGATAGATAGATAGATAGATAAACTCTGTGTACATACATATATAAATATATTAAGTTCAAAGTTTACTTATACATATAATGACCTTGACATTTCTCAACACACTTATGCATGTTTATATTTATATTTATAGATTGCTTAATCAGTGTACCACAGTGTACTGCTTGTTGGGTATTGTTTTTACTCTGTTGTTATCATTCTATTGTTTTATAATTTTTTTTTTACTTTTGCTGCTTTTTACCTGTTCTCTCCACTTTCTGCCGTGACAATCCGAATTTCCCACTTGTGGGACTAATAAAGGATTATCTTATCTTATCCTGGATTGATAAAATGCATGAGGTAATTTAAAGTAATATTCACAAAATTGCATGACATTTGTGAATATTTGTTTCCAATTATTGGTTAAAAATAAATACAAAATTAAGACAGACAGGACATTTAAAAAAGTCTGAGCCAATTTTAATACATTTTAATATTTCCTGACACTTAAATTTTTCTCTTTGCTTTTATGGCAAAACATCTTGGACAAAAAAAAAAACTCTAAATCAACCAAAAATGCCTTTTGTTGTATTTGCCATATCTACCTCATAGACAAATACAAAAGGTCATAATGAAACTGTTATGAAAAGTTTCAGCCTGGGAACTGAATGAAAAATGTAATGTAACCTAAACCAGGCGGTTTTCATATAAGAAATAGTGACATATAAAAATAGACTAATGGCCACATACAGCTCCTTACATTCAGTGTGTACGGGACAGCTTCTTGAATATTACATGTGTGTGTATGTATATTATGTGTGTGTTGTTGGGTGAGTGAGTGAGACAGAGCGTGGGAGAGAGGAGGGAAAGGGCGGGGGTCACTTTATGGGTAATAATCAGCATGATAGTAAAACTGATTTTGTGTGTTGTAAAGGAGAGCACCATGAAAGGTACCAATAATAAAATAGACATATATCTCTGCTCTACTCAGCTGTGGGGTTGGGAAAAACTAGCCCAAAGCAGATAAGACCAAAGCAGGATAGTAAACAACGACAATGTGACCACAGCGGAGGAGTGCAAAGGGTTAAATCCATGGAAGCATGGCCAATGTAGGCAGACCCATTCACAGACCAAGAGGAGGTTTCATCCTCTCTGCTCCTTCACTCTCTCCACAGATTCATGGCTGCAAGTCCCTCTGACCTGACTGGGACCTGAGCTTTAAGGAAAACATGGAAAAGGAAATAAAATACAAAACACACAAGGATGTGAAGAAAATCTGTGCAGACTGCTCCTATTGATTGTGTTTTTTCTATTGGAGAACTAATGGGACTCTCAAGAAAGGCAGACCTCAACAAGTTACAGCAGAGCAACCTGTGGAGAGCAAGATTGCCTGAGACTGTGTGGAAAGTTTTGTGTTCTTTAAAGAATATATTTGAGAAGACAGTATGTTATCGACATGTGGAACTGGAGCTTTGGCTGTTTTCCACTGTGTGGTAGCAGTCACTGCACTGGTAAGTGTTCTCATGAACTTTAATTCATTTCTAATCAAACAACTTCTGATGGCTCTTGTTGGAAAGTAGTTAAATTATGCTTTACATTTATAATTATTTTAGGTTTAACATTTAGGTGATGTTTTATAATGCATCTACTAAAATAAACTAAGCTAATAAACTAAAAATAAAAATCTAAAACCCCAGCAGATGTTAAGAGTTCAACTGTATTACCTCATTTTATTGAACTCTTTTTTTTTCTTAAAAATAAAGATTTTTTTTTTTACCTCCACCTAAAATAGTTATGGTCATGCTGACAATTTTATTTAAACAATTTTTTAAACATCTGGGTTTCCAATTTGTACCAATTTATGCATCTTGATTTAAACAGAACATTACTATTTTGTAGTTCAGCTCAAATATACAGGAGTAAAATTGTGCGATCAATTTTCACCAAATGGATGTTTTATAAGCTCTAAAAATAAACTTTTCACACCGGAGCATCACATCTTGCACTTTTTCATGTTTGAGTCAGAAATATTGCCCCCGTTCTGCTGCACTTCAGCCCAAAGCTAGAAAGTTTCACACCTCTGTGGCTCTCGCTGATGGTTTTACGTGTGCCGAGCCTCTCCAGCAACACAAAGCGGCGTCTCCCCTTTTGTTTTAGTGCTAAATAAACATATTTCCTTTTCCAGCAGTGCTTGCTGAGGAAAGAAACCCTTCCAGTTCTGTCAGATATTTGACACAACACTCAGACTAAACCATGTCAGATTTTACAGAGAATTTTTAAACTAAAAGAGAGGCAACCTGAATAAACACAAGACACAATCTTGACATGATAACGGGTGTATACTGAAGGCGAGGAGTTATCTGAGACCTATAAGTGAAGAGGAGCAACAACTGCAGCCAGTTTGGACAAACGTGCTGGAATTATCAACAATTTCTCTTTCAGACTTTGTAGGTTTTCATGTATGAACTGCCGATACAAGAGACAATGTAAGGAAACAGAGATCTAAAAATAAAACAAAAACTCAGTTACATATGAGCAAACCAACGAAAACTGGGTCAAAAAGATAAAGAATTAAATCAACAATCACTTAGACAACCACTGAGAAATGCAAGTTGCATAAGAGGAACAGAATGTGTGCAAAAACAAGCAAAAATAACCACAAAGGACAAAAATAAAGCTGAAAAGAACCAAATAAAACCGAAATTAGATTAAATTGGAGCCTGAGGAGTAAAAGTGGCACAAAAATACAGATATCAAGATGTCACAGAAAACAGAATAACTACAGATAAACAAAAAAGAGAATAACAGTGATCATAAATATGTGAAACCAATCCAAAAAAAAAATCATGAGGAGAAGAAAGCTGGTCAGAGAAACACCTTGATAGTGGCCCACATGCGAATACCAAACCAACTGTTGTGGCAAAAAAATCACTAAACACATCTGGGGATTTATAGGCACTTTGGTTTCCTTTAAGATGAGCAGCAACGTACTTCACACCTATGTGCCCTGCAGCAGGTTGCTTCATGATCTCCTCAGAGGTTCAAATTCTGGAAAACAAAGTGAACTTATTTCTAATGTTCTTGTTGCAACAGCCTCAGCTCAATAGCCCGCCATAAATCCAGGATTATCTAGTCCTGGTTTAGTGTCTTCTCCAGCTTTTAAAAATGGTTCTCGATTTAACCGGTTTTATGTGTTCTCAGATGTCATCCTAAAAAGGTTAAACTGACTCCCTTGTTGTTGTTTAAACACTCAGATGCCTCTTTTACTTTACGTCTTTTTTAGATAGTGAATTCTGATTATTAGTGAAGTGGAAGAGGTCACGGCTTCTTTGATGCTCCCTTTGGATATTTTATGGCTTCTGGGATGAGCCATCACTGCACTATTGGAGGAATTTTTGGATGCTGATGCTTCTCTTATCTTCATCCTTTTCAGATAACATCTCAGTGTGGCTCTGTGGAGACTCAGAGACTGCATGGAGAAGTATGTTCCTTCAGCTTTCCCCATTGGGAATTACCTGTTATTTCCTACGTCACAAACCTCCGTCATCAAGCTTTTAGACTCTCACTCACTTAAACATTACCCTGAAGCCACTAATCCTGACAAGAGTCACCCCTGAGCCCCATCTCTTACTCAATCTTCTTCGGGTCGATCCCAAGTGTTGACCTCTGACAGACTTACAATCAGCCAGCCTGGAAATCACTTTGCTTGAAGATGAGGCCCGAGAGGGTTAATGCTCTTCCAGCACAAAAAAGGGGGAGTGGATGCAAAGACTAATTGTTTCGCAAAAATGCAATATCAGTCAACAGAAATCCCCTCTGTGAATGACCTCCTCGTACTCTGATGTTGATTGTTTGCACAGAAGCACAAAATCGATGCGGGCTGAAGTGTGATCGTGACCAAGGAGCAGACACACACAAGCTGTTAAATTAACAGGGTTAGACACTCCACGTGTCTAATCTGAGCCGTCCCACAACAATGCAAGGTTTGATCCCCAATGTTGGACTTCTGTATTGACTTTTCCCTCCAGAAGCAAATCACCGCAGAAAACGATATCTGCTCGGCGTCTTTGGCGCTGATTGAAAACACCGCTTCTCCACTGACAGTTTATTTTTTATGGCCGATGCCAGGAAGATCACTTAACACAGATCCAGTTTCATGAATGGCTCCAGCTGGAATTCTGTTTGACAAAAATTCTGTTTGTCTTCTGAGGGGGGCAGCTGTCGGAGGGATTACACATCAATTTCTTCAACCCAAGTCAGGTTGCACAATGTAAAAACACAGCAAGTAAAAAAAAACACACAAACATATTCCACTTTTTAGACGTTTCTTTAAAAAAGCAGTTCAGGTTGGAGGACACACTCGGGATAAGCAACAATCTCCGGCATGAATTGATTGACATCTCCGTAACCTCTCCTTCTCCGGATGGCCGCGTGTTTGTTTTGCTGCTGTGTTGTGAAACGGAGCCAACGGAACAAGAAGTAGCTTGTGCTGCTCCGCTCTCGCCAACGTGGCCATGGATCTGAGGACGAGACCCCCATGCAGCCACCGCCAGCTCCACCGCTGGGATAGGTCGGGGTTAGCAGGGGATCACTACATACCACACCCTCACACAACGACTTCACAACACCTGGAGGCAGCACATCAGATCCTGGATGACAAATTGTCTCATTCAGAAGGACACATCTGTCAGACTTTGATTGGAAAGGTTTCACAGCTTTGCCGCGGTTTACATGATACCGAAGGTTACTGACAACATCGTCCATCTGTTCATGAAACGAGTCACATCTATTTATTCTGTGAGATACCCTCTTGCTTGTTTTATTAATATTTTTTCCGATTCATCTTTTGCAGATTGACTCTGATGATGTCATCACCCGAGACGAGCAGATCTACGTCCTGATTGGTGCTCACGCCAGGTGTGAAAGGAACATCCGGGCACAAATGACTTTAATTAAAGGTTTGCCTTTGATCCTTTCAAAAAGCTTTACCAGGAGCAGTGAAGTCGGCAAGTGCACATCCAAACCTAAACCCACATTTAAAAACTATTTAGTATCTGGAATCAGATAAAACGTTCATCCAATATCCTGCTGAGCAACATCTGTTGAATTCAGCAGCCGATTTTTAATTTGGACTAGAAATTGTGATAGATAAGGGTGATTTATGGAGGAAGAAGGAGCCACATATTGATGTTAGAAGAGAAAGACAGGATTTAAGAGTGTTCAAATGTCCTAAACTGGTCTGTGCGGGAACAAAGGTCAGACAAAGTCTCCAGAGGAAACCCGTCACCAGAGTTACTGTTTATGTTTTTATCTGAAAAATGGCTGCACGATGAACCGATCTTTCTCTTTTTTCAAAGCCTGCAATTTAGAAATGACAGATTATCCAAATAAAAAGCTAATCAATAAGAAAATGCACCAGTAATGTAAGATTCCTCTTATAAATGAGCTTGTTTGCTTATTTAAAAAGCAGAAGCCTCTGTACAAACATCAGCAGGTTCTCCCTGCAGACTCGAGGTCATTAATTTAACAGATCCCCTCTTGTTTTCCTTTCCTCTTTCAAAAAAGTGAAATTATGAACGTGTGGTGAATCTTATGAGAACTGGGCGGTATAGGGATAAAAGGTCAACTGAACCTAAAACAAATCTTGTTTCATTTTAGTGTAATTTTCTCTAAATAGGGCTAAAATGTCCAGCGTGATCAAGACTTAAACTCGTTGATTAGGGCCCATGTTTTCAAACCCCTACCTCCCACTGCCCTGCATGTTTTAAACGTTTCCCTGCTTCAACACTACTGATTTAAATAATTGCACCAATAACAGGGTTCTGCTGAACCTGCTGACATGCAGAGACTTTAATGTGGTCATTTTAAACTGCAGGGACACATTTAGAGCATGCAGAATGTTGAATTCAAAGGATCTTAACTGGAAAACACTAACCATAAAGAAGCACAGATAACTGAAAGCCACATCTATCAGGGTGTTGGTGAGGGATGGCCAACACAAAAACAACAGTTAGCATTTAGAAGAAGAAACCCTGCAGCCGCTGCTTGTAATTTATGGCTTTACAGATAAAACACGAGTCAAAACGTATGCTGCAGCAGAAAAATAAACATCAATGTGTCTTCAACTCTCTTTGGAAACAACAAATGTAAAGCTAGCTAATGCAGAAACTGATGATGAATTTGAGAATAAAATTTGCAGATAGCAGACATGCTTGTTCCTAATGAACCAGTTAGGTCACTAATAGGGGTTTCACATCTGGTATCGCTCGGCTCAGCCCGTATTGCACATGTTGTTTTCATACCTGGGTGACCTGGTACATTTCCCTATCCTACCGGGCGGCATTTTGGCCCTTGTCCTCTGGTGGTCCACTCAGGGCTGGTCCGGGCCAACATGCCCACTACGACTGATTGGCCAGCTCAAATGCATGCCTAACATTAGGGGGAGACTCCGATTGGCTGATAGAACCAACCAGCATGGGTTTGCCGCATGCGTGATTCATCATCATTCTGGAGTCTGAGATGTAGACGACTGACTGAAGCTGTGGCAGCTCTCTGTCTCTTTGCCACTGTTGTGAGGAGCGCGCGCACACACACACACACACACACACACACACACACACACACACACACACACACACACACACACACACACACACACACACACACACACATTCTTGTACTTACTACATACTGAGGAACACACACACACACACTCTCTCTCACACACACACACACACACACACACACACACACACACACACACACACACACACACACACACACACACACGTGTCATGCATGCACATCCAATCAATGTAAATAAATTAATTTAGCTGATACGAAACATCAGTCTTCACAAGTTTGTCTTTTTTTCCCCCTTTTGAGTTAAAAGTTGTAAAATTTGTTAACAGTTTTATTGCTGATGGTAGATTGTTCCAAATCTGAGGTCCTCTAAATGAGAACAAGGACCAACCAAATGATGTTTTGTGTTTTGGTGGTTTACAGACTCCATTAGCTACTCTGGTTGTAGCTCCCGTGCTTCTATGATCACCAACTCTGGGATGAGACCATTTAGACATTTGAATGTCAGTTTTATAACAGAGAAGTTAAGAAAGTTAGGGGATCATACTTTGATTGATTGATTGATCAATCGATTGATCGATCGATTGCTATGTTTATTTGAACTTATTCTGTATTATACGTGATGCCACTTCATTGGTTTTAGTCTAGGACTTTTAGGGCTTGCTTGTACAGACACATGACAGGTTTAAAAGCCAACTGGGTTTCTTGGCTCCAAACAGTTAGACAGTAAGAGAGGTGAGGCAGAATCATGGTATGCATGTAAAGCTGAGCAGCTTTTACAGGTAAATCAGATGGAATCAGTTGAGGTTTCTCCTCACGGTTCTGGACACTTTTCTGATGTGGGACTCAAATTTAGGATGAGAGTCCAAAACAATGACCAGATATTTAAACCCCTCCACTTGTTGAATTTCTTACTGGTCAATGAAGACAGTGAAGTTGTCAGAAATCTTGCGTTTGATTGTAAAACACATGGAGACGGTTTTGCTGTGGTTCAGGGTCAGAATGTCATTCTTGAACCTTTAAGAACACTGGCGCAACGTAGCACAAAGTGGGCACATTCTGTTTTGTTTGACGTCTAAAACTCCAATCACTGAAGTCTGACAACATAAAAACGATCCTACATAAGCAGTATAGTTGACATCTGCATGTAAGATATGTTGCTAAATTAATTAATAATCTATTCTAGAGAGACTATATTGTGTGAACAGGGCTGGTCCAAATCAGAATGCCGAGGGACTCCATAACATGGCAGGACGTGAGGTACACCGAAACATTTGTCAAAATACTAACAGTACGAAGGATTCTGGCTAGAAAAATACACATTAACCTACCAAAATATTGATTTGATTCATTTGAATGATGTGATCAACTGAAAAAAGAACAAAATTCACCTAATTAGCATATGTAACCTCATCCTACTTTTAAAAACATGATCATGATTGTTATTTTTTTATAGAAGGGGACTGTGTCCCAGAGTGGGACGGGATCATCTGCTGGCCCCGAAGCAGAGCAGGTCAGCTGGTCTCAGTGCTGTGTCCACAGTACATCTATGACTTTAACCACAGAGGTAGGCCACTTCAGTAGAATTAACATCCAGAAATAATCCAGAGAACCCTGACAATGTCCTGCATCCCCATGATTCAGGGCGAGCCTACCGCCAGTGTGACGTGTCTGGAAACTGGGAGCTGGTTCCCAGTAACAACCGAACCTGGGCTAACTACACCGAGTGCACTCGTTACCTGATGTCCGACCATCGAAACCTGGAGGAGGTATGTACAGGGATGGATTTGGGTTTCCACTTGCTTAAACTTGTTTATCCATCCATCCATTTTCATCCAGGGTCAGGTCAAGGGAGCAGTAGCCTAAGCAGGGAGGCCCAGACTTCTCTCTCCCCAGCCAATTGGGCCAACTTCTCCCTGGCCAGCCGTGAGACATAGTCCCTTCAAAGTGTCCTGGGTCTTGCTTCAGGTCTCCTACCAGTTTGAAGTGCCCAGAAAACCTCAGGGAGGCATCTAGGAAGGATCATGACCAGATGCCCAAGCTCTTGATGTGGAGGGGCAGCGGATCTACTCCGAGCCCCTCCCGGATGACCGAGCTTCTCACCCTATCTCTAAGGGAGAGCCCAGACACCCTGCGGAGCTTGTATCCGCGACCTCATTCTTTCAGCCACTACCCAAAGTTCGTGACCATAAATGAGGTAGGAACGTTAATCGACCGGTAAATCGAGAGCATTGCATTCTGGCTCAGCTCTCTCTTCACCGCAACAGATCGGTGCAACGCCTGCATCACTGCAGATGCAGCATCAATCCGCCTGTCCATCTTGTGCTCCATCTTTCCTTCACTCATAAATAAGACTCTGAGATACTTGAACTCCTCCACTTGGGGCAGGACCTCACCCCTGACCTGGAGAAGGCATTCTACTCTTTTCCGACTCAAGACCATGGTCTTGGATTTATAGGAGCTGATTGTCATCCCAGCTGATTCAGACTCAGCTGCGAACCGCTCCAGCAAAAGCCGGAGATCTGATGGAGCCAACAGGACCGCATCATCCGCAAAAAGCAGAGACCCGATACTCAGGCCACTAAAACGGATCCCCTCAACATCTTGGCTATGCCTAGAAATCCTGTCCATAAAAGTTACGAACAGAATCGGTGACAAACGGCAGCCTTGTGGAGTCCGACTTACTGGTAGCAACGTGGATCAAGCTCTGACTCCGTTCATACAACCTGTATCATATATATAGTGCCTTTCAGAGTCAGAGGACACTGCAGTGAGTCATTTATCCATACTTTCACACGCTGAGGGCGATGAGCTTCATTGTAGCCACAGTGTCCCTGGGTCTCACTGACAGAGGGGAGGCTTCTGAGCACAGGCACCGCCAGTCCCTCCGACTACCACCAACAGGCAGGGAGGGTTAAGTGTCTTGCCCAAGGACACAACAGTAGAATTCTCTGCCGGAAGCCGGGATCGATTGTACAACCTTCCGATTACTGGATAAATCACTCACAGTTTGAGAAAATGCCAGAAAAGATTAGATATGACTTTTTCCAGAGATTAGTCAGTGATGTTTGTTTCTCTTGTGTAAATTTCTACTATATAAGATCTGTTGTCACATTTTCATAAACCACCATTTTGTTTGTAAATTGAGAAAAACTTGCAAGAAGTGTATGGATTTTTTTTTTATCTATGGGATGTTAATAATTTACAATAAACATAAATAGGTCTAAAAATATCACTAGTGTCATTCTGTTGTGGAAATGCAGTTAAATTATTCAATGAAAACTCTGAAAAGCTGCTTGAACCTGCATTCATTTTTGTGGACCTTTCTATGTTATTAAAAGAAGTTGGTGGTTAGCTAAAGTTATTCATAGCCACTGTAGAAGCTACGCTGTGGTAACTGGAGAGTGACTGTCTGACTATGGAAGCTTTAGCTGTTTACTTGTTCAGGTAGAATTCAAATAGACATGAAATGTACATGATAATGGTAATAATTGCATGTATAGTGATGTGAGCTAAAAGGCAAATTGGAAGATTATTTCATTTTGATTTATCTTGTTGCTTTGGAATTTCACGTTGTCCCACATTTGATGAGTTGGGTTTTGGTCACCCTACTGCTGATCCTAAGGGGCCTGATACCCCATACTCCTGGAGTACCCCCCACAGGGCCCCCTGTAGACTGGGTCACGGAGGGTGCATGGGAGTTCGCCCAACCAATCTAAATTTGTTTGTGAAAAAATAATTAAAACAACATAATTGTGGAAGGACAGAAGAAGATGAAATAGTAAATGTCCCATCACCTTCAGTCATTGCTCGTACATAAATTGTTTGTTTTGTATATAGAACATTGCCAATTCTAGCCTTATTTGTGTTGAATGTTGCAGTCTATGGGGTGGCTCAGGGTTACACTTCACTGCAAGATGTACTTGTATGTCAGAACATGTGACAAATAAACCTTTTGAATCATTGCACCACGTGCTCATGTTCATATGCATGCAATCACCTATATATTTGTAGTGTTGACTACTTGGTAATGTTTTAAGCATGTGCTGAGTCATGCTAATGAATGACCCATAATAAATTCTGTTTTAAAGTACTTTTGTTTTGTTCCAGAAGGTGTTTCAGCGACTCCATCTCATGTACACTGTGGGCTACTCCATGTCTCTCGCCTCCCTATTGGTGGCAGTCTTCATCCTGTGCTATTTCAAGTGAGGAAACTGGTTCCTAATGCCACTTTATATATATATATATACATATACACACACACACACACACACACACACACACACTCACCTAAAGGATTATTAGGAACACCATACCAATACAGTGTTTGACCCACTTTCCACTTCAGAACTGCCTTAATTCTACGTGGCATTGATTCAACAAGGTGCTGAAAGCATTCTTTAGAAATGTTGGCCCATATTGATAGGATAGCATCTTGCAGTTGATGGAGATTTGTGGGATGCACATCCAAGGAACGAAGCTCCCGTTCCACCATATCCCAAAGATGCTCTATCGGGTTGAGATCTGGTGACTGTGGGGGTCAGAGTAGTACAGTGAACTCATTGTCATGTTTAAGAAACCAGTTTGAAATGATTGGAGCTTTACGACATGGCGCATTAACCTGCTGGAAGTAGCCATCAGAGGATGGGTACATGGTGGTCATGAAGGGATGGACATAGTCAGAAACAATGCTCAGGTAGCCCGTGGCATTTAAACAATGCCCAATTGGCACTAAGGGGCCTAAAGTGTGCCAAGAAAACATCCCCCACACCATCACACCACCACCACCAGCCTGCACAGTGGTAACAAGGCATGATGGATCCATGTTCTCATTCTGTTTACGCCAAATTCTGACTCTACCATTTGAATGTCTCAACAGAAATCAAGACTCATCAGACCAGACAACATTTTTCTAGTCTTCAACTGTCCAATTTTGTTGAGCTCGTGCAAATTGTAACCTCTTTTTCCTATTTGTAGTGGAGATGAATGGTACCCGGTGGGGTCTTCTGCTATTTTAGTCCATTCGCCTCAGGGTTGTGTGTGTTGTGATTTCACAAACGCTTTGCTGCATTCCTCGGTTGTAACGAGTGGTTATTTCAGTCAAAGTTGCTCTTCTATCAGCTTGAATCAGTCGGCCCATTCTCCTCTGACCTCTAGCATCAACAAGGCATTTTCGCCCACAGGCATGCTGCATACTGAATGTTTTTTCCTTTTTACACCATTCTTTGTAAACCCTAGAAATGGTTGTGCGTGAAAATCCCAGTAACTGAGCAGATTGTGAAATATTCAGACCGGCCCATCTGGCACCAACAACCGTGCCACAGTCAAAATTACTTAAATCACCTTTCTTTCCCATTCTGCTGACATTCAGTTTGGAGTTCAGGAGATTGTCTTGACCAGGACCACACCCCTAAATGCATTGAAGCAACTGCCATGTGATCGATTGATTAGATAATTGCATTAAGGAGAAGTTGAACAGGTGTTCCTAATAATCCTTTAGGTGAGTGTATATATATATATATATATATATATATATATATACATATACATACATATACATATATATACATAAACACACACACACAGAGAACTCACTGGCCACTTTATTGAGTTCACCTTGTTAGTACCGGGCCTCTTTTGCCTTCAGAACTGCCTTAACCCTCCCACTGTCCTCATGAGTGACCCTGCCAGGAAAGTTGATTATTGAGCAGGGTTGATGGTTTATTTCTTGAGGTCCACGTGGCAGGGGTGAGGAGTGAGCACCACCTCAATAAAAAAACGTTTGTATACTTTGTGGAAGTAACTTAAATTTAGCTTTATACATTATTTGCATTATTTTATAGTAAACTGAATCATTACATTTCATAACGTGATTTTAAAATCAATGGATGTGTATGTGCCAAATGATCTGCCTTATTAATAATAAGTATTGCACGTTTTTGTAAGAGAACTACTGCACTAACGCTTGATTAGTCAGTCCCCAGACTTCCACACAGTATGAAATGTAAGGTAGTATGAGTGAACAATAAATTATATGTAACGCTGCATAATTCAACATATGTCTTGATTTGTACAGGATTGCTAAATCTTAGAAAGTTTTACTTTAATGTAATAAACATGCTGTCTCCATTTTGTTTTATGATCAATAACCACCCGCAAAAATTTAATTTCTGTCACCCTTTCAATTTCAACATTCCATATTTTTAAGTTAATTTCCCTGTCAAGTTCCTTTTGATTACCAAATATCATAAATTTTGTCTTTTTTTAATTGAGTGATAATTTATTAATATCAAACCAAGTCTTAAGGATTCCCAATTCTTTTTCTATTAAGGGCAAACATTTTTGTAAATTATTACCTGAACAACATAAATTTGTATCATCTGCAAAAATTACAAGTTTCAACAAATTAGTGACCTTACAAATATCATTAATGTAAAATAAAAAAAGTTTTGGTCCAAGAACAGATCCCTGGGGAACACCACAAGTGACCTTCCTAAATTTTGAGTTTGTATTATTGATTTCTACATATTGATTCCTATTGTCCAAATAACTCCTCAACCATTAATAAGCCACTCATCTTAATCCATACTTCTCCATTTTTTTAAATAATATACTATGATCAATAGTATCAAATGCTTTTTGCAAATCAATAAAAATCCCAACAAAATACTCATCATTTTCCCTGGCCTCTGTTTTTTTGTCTACCATTTCCATAGTTGCATGTAGTTGTTCTTTTGGCTCTAAACCCGTATTGGTGCTCACTAAGTAACCCATATTTTTCAATGAAAAGATCCAGCTGTTTTGCAAATAATTTCTCTAATATTTTTGAGAACTAAGGAAGTTGGGACACTGGCCTATAATTATCAACACAATGTTTGTCTCCATTTTTAAAAATTGGTTTTATTTTAGCTATTTTCATGCTGTTTGGAAAAACACCTTTTTGAAAGGATAGATTACAAGTAAAAGTCAGAGGTTTTACAATAAAATCAATGACCTCTTTAATTATGAATGTATCACTAAAATTAATATCAGTGGATTTCTTATTTTTAAGTTTTCTAACAGTTTCTATTATGTCACCATCGTTGATCCCTCCCAAAAAGAATTAATCTTTATTATCCTTAATAAGGTGATCAAACATGTTTAAGTTTTTATCACAATTCGGAATTTGCTTGGCCAGACTTTTACCGACATCAGCAAAATAATTGTTAAATTCTTCAGCGACATCTTGTTTATTGTCCACTATATCACCACATTTATTTACAAAATGTCTAGGAAATTCTGTTTTATTAATTTTTTTATTGATAAGATCATTTATAATATTCCACGTCATTTGAATATTATTTTTACTTCCTTCTAATAATGTATTATAGTGCTCCTTTTTTTGTCTTCTTATGATAGATGTTAACATATTCTTGTATTGTTTATATGATTTTTAACTTTCACTAGTTTTTAATAGTAAATATTTCTTATATAGTACATTTTTCTTTCTGCATGCCTTTTGTAAACTCTTAGTCTTCCATGGTTTTCTGTTACGATTTTTCTTCCCCTGACATTTTCTAATAGGACAATGTTTGTTATAGAGATCTAAAAATATAGACAAAAATGTGTCATATGCCAAATTCACATCCTCCACATACACATCATCCCAAACAAAATCTGCAAGGTCTTCCTTTAAAGCCTCAATTCTTTCTTGGGTCCTTATTCTCATTAGTTTATGCGGTGACTCATCCTTTGCCACTGAAATGTTATCTATTAAACTATGCAAAATTCCGAATATAGGGAGATGATCTGTAATGTCATTTAGGAATATACCACTTGTAGCTGAACCGTACACATTTGTAAAAATATTATATGTTAGTGTAGCGCTGTCCTTCGTAATTCTGGAGGGCTTGTATATTAATGGCCTTAATCCAAAACTAAACATAGTATTACAAAAGTCATTCTATTTCATCAAATAAATATTAAAATCCCCACACACAAAATAAGACTTTTTATCACGTATTTTTTCTAAGATGTTTGCTATAATGTTCAAATACAGTACAGCTCCATACAGGAGCCAGGTGTTCCATATACACAACTCAAAACTATACTCTGACACATTTTTGTCCTGATTTAAATTGTTAAACTTTCCGTAATTTCATCAACAGCTGTGGTGTCTATAATCTTACACTGAAAACTTTTCTGTACATGTATTGCCACTCCACCTCCCTTTTTTTTGTCCTACTAACCCAAAGAAATCTTATCCTTCTAATACAAAATTGGCATCTTTTTCCTTTGTAATCCATGTTTCACTTAAAGCAATAACATGAAACTTATGTTTTAATGAATCTAAATAATCTTTGATATGTACAAAATTGGTACACAAACTCCTACAGTTAAAGTGTATGATAGAGAAACCTTCCAAATTAACATTTCTCAAATGTTCTGAATAATAATCAGAATTGACTCGAAAATCATCGTACACGTTTTTTTCATGGTCAATACCATTTTAGAAATTAAATGGTCTATATTCATCCAAACTAGAAAAACATAATTCCTCAATATTATTCCTATCTAAAGAATCCTCACTATCAGAGGAGTCACTCTCACCTTCCATATAAAAATTTAAACTTGTCATTTAATAAAGAGAAGAGAGAGAGAGATTCTACCATTTCCATCAGTTATATTTCTCCAGTTCTTTCAGGTTTCTTATCACAACCACCTTTGCCTGCTCTGGTGAGCCATTTAATCGCACTAACACCTTCCCATTTCTTGACCATGCTGATTGAATTTTATTCTGTTTTCTGAGACATCGACAATTTCTAGCGATTTTGGCATTTTTCTTAGTCAAGTGCTCATTGATGCACACACCAGTATCTTAAAGTTTTTTAGTTTGTCTCAATATTTCAGCCTTCTGCTTTCGATTAGCCAATCTGACTACAATGACAGGTGGATGAATTTTGTCCTTGCAGAGGAGAATATGACAAGCTGAGATTTGGTGACTCTCTAAGTGAATGTTCTTACTGTAGATGAATTTGACCACTTGTTGCTCTAGAATGTGTTGCTCCTCAGGAGCTTTGTCCTCCCCTGGATGTTTGCTTGTTGTAGCAGTAACTCTAGCATTGTTGTGATGGGTGGTAGCCAGGCTGCTAATGATAATTTCATCTGCCTGGGAATGTTGCTCCAAATCATCAATCCTTTGTTTCAGCAGTTCAATCTTCTCATCAATCCTCTTATTGCTGTTAATAATAAAGGCTTTTAGCTCTGATATGTCATTCACTAGGCCCAAAAGGGTGGTTTGTTGAGACAGCACTTTGTTAATGTTTTCAGTCATAGCAGTAAGTTGCTTCTTAATTTCTTCCAGTTCTTGTCCAAGTTGCTTAACTGTTGACATATTTTCCAGAAACTGAAAAATAGAGTGATTTCAAATACAAATATGTTTGTTTGGGTAGACTTAATGGATACTGCTCTGTTCCAAAAACTCCATGTGGTCCCAGATCTCCAGCACCAAACTTTGTCAAAAACTGCACAAATGTTGTCAAATATTTCCAGCAGAGAACAAAAAAGTACCATAGCATCCACAGCACTTTGATTTTGTCAACATAATACCTTGTTCTCTAAAGGATTATTATGGATTCCATTGAGACTGCATACAGAGAAAGTGCAGCAGCAGCCATCTTGACTCATCATAAGTCATCATCATCTGCATAGAACATTACTTAAAAATATTTACATGATAGCATCTCGTAGTTGCTGCAGATCTGTCGGCAGTACATCCATGATGTGAATCTCCCATCCCTCCATATCCCAAAGGTGCTCTGTCGGATTGAGATCTGGTGACTGTGGAGGCCATGTGAGTACAGTGAACTCATTTCCATGTTCAAGAAACCAGTCTGAGATGATTCAAGCTTTATGACACGGTGCATTATCCTGCTAAAAGTGGCCATCAGAAGATGGGTACATTGTGGTCATAAAGGGATGGACATGGTCAGCTACAATACTCAGTCAGGTAGGCTGTGGTGTTGCAATGAGGATCAGTTAGTACTAAGTGGCCCAAAGTGTGCCAAGAAAATGTTCCCTACACCATTACACCACCAGCAGCTGCCTGAACCATTGATACAAGGCAGGATGGATCCATGCTTTCATGTTGTTGAAGATAAATTCTGAACTTACCGTCCGACTGTCACAGCAAAAACTGAGACTCATTAGATCAGGCAACCTTTTTCAATTATTCTATTGTCCAATTTTGGTCAGAATTTTAGCCTCAGTTGCCTGTTCTTAGCTGACAGACCCTCCAGGTTTGACATGTTGTGCGTTCAGAGATGCTCTTCTGCTTACCTTTGTTGTAACAAATGGTTATTTGAGTTGCTGTTCCCTTTCTATCAACTGGAACCATTCTGGCCATTCTCCTCTGACCTCTGGCATACACAAGGCATTTTCTCCCACAAAACTGGTACTCCCTGGAAGTTTCCCTTTTTCGGACCATTCTCTGTAAACCCTAGAGATAGTTGTGCATGACAATCCCAGAAGATCAGCAGGTTCTGAAATACTGAGACCAGCCCGTCTGGCACCAACAACCATGCCACGCTCAAAATCACTTAAATCACCTTTCTTCCCCATTCTGAAGTTCGGTTTGAACTGCAGTGGATCATCTTGACCATTTCAGCATACCTAAAGGCATTGAGTTGCCACCATGTGATTGGCTGATTAGTCAGTTGGACAGGTTCCATTGTTTAGTTCTTTTCTAAACACAGAGTATTGATTTGTTTTTGCCTTTTTTAGCTGACAAGTTTTGACTAACACTCTAGCCATCCTCAGAGCACGACTGCTATTGGTGGTTTCACTGCCTTCTTCGTTTATCTGCTGCCCTCCTCACCGATGACACAGTCCCATGCGTGATCCGATGTGTAGACTCCATCATCTCTGTTCATGGTTGAGTGTCCACATCTCCTTATTTCTATGGCTTCCTTAATCCATCTTTTGTATTTTTGTTGTTCAGTGTTTATGATCCTTGTACTGTCCCAGTCATTATACCCTTGTGCAGTGGTCTTACAGCTGATTTCTTTATTGTGTTTTCTGCTTCATGTTTTGCTGCTCTTGTGTGTCTTCGACTAGTTTCTTTCTCACACTCCTTTCCATGTTCTATTGTTTGTGTGTTGAGTTGCCGACCGGTTTCTCCTGTGCATGTGCTATTGCAGAGTTTGCATGGGATTTCGTAAATGACTCCACATTTTTTATCTGCTGATATCTGATAACTTGGGTTAGTGTCAGCTAAAAAAGGTAAAACAAATCAATACTCTGTGTTTATAAAAGAACCAAACAATGGAATTTGATGGACTGCACAGAACAAACGTGTGATGTTCAAAGAGAAGTTGGACAGTTGTACCCAGTAAAGTGGCCAGTGAATGTATATATATATATATATATATATATATATATATATATATATATATACATATATATATATATATATATATATATGTGTGTGTGTGTGTGTGTGTGTGTGTGTGTGTGTGTGTGTATGTATATGTGTATATATATGTATATATATATGGTTTTTTTGTTGTTGTAAGTTTTCACCTTTTTTTCTGATTGTCACACAATGTCTTTACAGGCGTCTCCACTGTACACGTAATTACATCCACATCCACCTCTTTGCCTCCTTCATTTGTCGAGCTGTCAGCATTTTCGTGAAAGATGCTGTGCTCTACTCCGTAACCGATGGCAACAAAACTGACTCTGGGTTTACAACAGTAAAACCTCACATGGTAACAAAATGGATACTTTTATAATGTTTTACAGTTTAACTTTGTTTAAACTTTTTATAGCTTACAAAAATATTTTGGCAAAAACAGTTTGTCTCTTAGAAAATGGACAGGTTCTAGAAGCAGACTAAAATAAAACATAAGGCTAAAGGTTTCCATATTTAAATTTTCATAAGGTTGCTAATGCTAAGCTTTAGCCTTCTGGGCGTTCATGCTAGCTTTCCCACTTATTCCAACTCTTTATGCTTAGCCAAGCTTACCAAATAGGTTTTAGGCATGGCAGTGGTGTGTCTAGATCTCAGCAGTAATTTGTGCACCAAAATGGCAGATTAATTACTGGACCGCAATGTTCAAACACAGCTCACGGTAATGGGTTGACTCCTTCCTCATAACTGCTGTTTTATGCCATCAGGCTGGTTGTAAAGTCGCCGTTACCCTCTTCCTGTACTTCCTGGCAACCAATCACTACTGGATCCTGGTGGAGGGATTGTACCTACATAGTCTCATCTTTATGGCTTTCCTGTCTGACAAGAACTACCTGTGGGCTCTCACTATCATGGGCTGGGGTAAGTAGCTCTGAAACAAGCTAAAGCATTAAGCCAATGCCCAGGTAATGTCTTTTTTGGCTCATCCAGGTGTTCCAGCTGTGTTTGTGTCCATCTGGGTCAGTGCCCGAGCTTCGCTGGCAGATACTCAGTGAGTCCAACGTTGTGTCTTATACATCTAAAACCTATTTGTTCAATGGGTGTTCACTTTGACTTCCTTTATTCCTGCTTATTTAGATGTTGGGACATCAGTGCTGGGAACCTGAAATGGATCTATCAAGTCCCCATTTTAGCTGCAATTGTTGTAAGGATATAATTTAATCCTAATTCAAAGATTTTCCGACAGTGAGAATAAGCTGACTTCATATTTCTATCCATGCAGGTGAATTTCCTCCTTTTCATTAACATAATCCGTGTACTGGCCTCTAAACTGTGGGAAACCAACACTGGCAAACTGGACCCTCGACAGCAGTACAGGTAACCAGGGTTTATTTGACCCTCAAAATAAATGGTTAAGTACAATTTCCTACTAAAGGGATCTTTAGGATTGTTTTTACTTGAGGTTTTGAGGAACTATCATCAGAAATCAGGTGTCTCACTGGCGGCACGATCTTAGTTTGGAAGAAGAGGTTAATTGATATTGGTTTTTCTATTGCCAGTACCAATATGTAGAGGTCGTGGTGAGCCGATGGTGGGTATGTTCTGCCGATTTTCAGGGCCGACATCTAGACATTTTCCATCCTTTTTTCATGCTATAACGTCACTAAGTGCTGTAAAGCACTTTGCAGTCCTCTGACTGTGAAAGGTGCTATACGAGTGCGAGGCATTGTAGTGGCTTTACATGCAAAGGAATTGTTTGTGCAGTTTATTCTGAGCAAATCTAAAGTCCATCTGGTTACGTAAACTGTTTATCAGAAAAGTTAACGACCAGTGGTCCAGACTTTTAATACAACTGCCAAGTTAACAAAGTCAAATCTGTTATCAGGTGGAAAAGTCCAACTTTATGTCAACGACTTGGCATGCTCGTTATGCTGTCTTGTTTGAGCCACAAACTGCCCTGTTTAAAATGTTATGTAAGGGCGAGCACGCCTTGTGCATGCCTTGTACGCATGACTGAACTGCATAAAAGCGAGCCTCGGTTCTGGTTCGAGGTCTTTGGTTCAAGGGCTGTGTGTATGTTCTTCCTGATTGGTTCATTAAAAAACCCAAGCTGTCTGATGGAAAAAGCCTGTCTCCGACTCTGCTTTTAAAACCACTTTACCCTCTACAGCATTATCACTAATAACAGTTGATGTGCAAAATTTCTGAAGGTGAATCAGTTTTTGAACACTGAATTGAAACAACTGTTAAAGTGACAATGTGTAGTTTTACCTTTAATCTCTGGAAATATCCGTCGAAATGTTGTTGAAAATGAATAAAATGATGCCCAGTTGTTGAAAATCATAGGTGGCTTTGTAACATATAACCATAAACATCGGGTTTAAAGTACATAGGGCATGCATCTAGCATCTTTGGGGGACACCATATTAGATGCCATGTTTCCTTCTGGCCAGCTCCGGGTCCTGCGCCCGTCTATGACATCACACTAGATGATTGTCAGGAAATACAACTTGCATAAGTAATGCTGCCACGTTTGAAAACATTTAGGTAGTAAGAAAAAATGAATTTGATAACAACCCTGCTGGACTCTTTCCAAAACATATGCGAAAGAACACAATAGAACAAGAGATGCGATATATTTTGGCCGAGCGGTATTACCGTAGTAAGATGACGTCATCGGCAGGCGCAGGACCTCGAGCAGATCTGGAAACTACAATCAGCATTGCATTCTCTCCATGGAGTTAACTGAAGGACCATCAAAGTCTGAGGAGTCACGCTGAGGTGGCATGTCTTCTGCTCCACAGGTAACATTTATTGTAATGTTTTTAGTGACAGTCAAGGCGATATGGTGTAAAACTACCCTGCTCAGTGTTAAAATCAGTCATCTAACTAAAGTTAATCAAAAAAATCACTTAACTGACCAAAAGTTAAATATTCAAAAGTGGTAAATAAAAAAACATTTTAGTTGAAAACAATTTTAGAGCCTTTATTATGCAGATATTAATCAGGAGCATAAATTTACATTTAAACTAAATTCTGCAGCAGCCCGAGGATGTGTCTGACTTAATATCAGCTTCACTAAGGAGGTATATTAGCTGATGCTGACATATAAAAATGGTGAATATCGGCCCAACACATCAGTTTATCCCTAGTTTGGAGAATTTGAGAAAATTCCTCATTGGGTTCAAGATAACAGTCAGACTCGGGTTGATATCAGAGCAGATTTGAACATATTATGTATATATATATATATATATATATATATATATATATATATATATATATATATATATATATATATATATATATATATATATATATATGTATCCATCCATCCATCTTCTGAACCCGCTTTGTCCACGTAGGGTCGCGGGGGGCGCTGGTGCCTATCTCTGGCAGTCAACGGGCAAGTAGGCGGGGTACACCCTGGACAGAGCCAGTCCATCGCAGGGCAACACAGAGGCACACAGGACAAACAACCATGCACACACACTCACACCTAAGGACAATTTAGACAGACCAGTTAACCTAACAGTCATGTTTTTTTGGACGGTGGGATGAGGCCAGAGTACCCGGAGAGAACCCACGCATGCACAGGGAGAACATGCAAACTCCATGCAGAAAGATCCCAGGCCGGGAATCGAACCCATGACCTTCTCGCTGCAAGGCAACATATATATACTGTATATATATATATATATATATATATATATATATATATATATATATATATATATATACTGTATATATATATATATATATATATATATATATATATATATATATATATATATATACATATATATATAAAACACAATGTGTTCAGCTGAGCCCTGTGATGGAGAGGACACGTGTCCAGGGTGTCCCCCGTCTCTCACCCGATGACTAGAGTTAGACACTAGCTCCCTGCGCCCCTACAGGATGAAGGTGTTCAGCTAATGAATGGATGAAAGAATAAAGGTTTAGTTGAACACCTTTGAGGTTTATTTTGTTTTAAGTGACTGAAATTCACACTTAAACAGACCTTTGTCTCAGTTTGACATTTCAAAGAGAATCCTTGTGCAATCCTTAAAACTGAGGCGTCTGTGACTGCTGTCTATGACAGATAAGACACTCAAGTATCTCGCTATGCTGAGAGCATCAATGTCTAGTTAGAGACCAAAACATATGAGAAGATGTCTAGATTTGTATTTTGGCATCAGACTGAAAAACACTTTTTTTTTAACATGACTTTCATGAAATTCAGTAATAAGTTTGTACAAACTTGTCGGGCGAGATGCCACGAGCATCCTAGGCCAGGGGCCGGTATCCAGTATGTTTTAGTGGTTTCTTTTCTCCAACACACTTGATTCAGTGGTTGAATCACACGGGCAGCAGCTCATCAGGCTCTGTAGAAACCTGCCTACTGGCTGATTGACATCAGGTGTGTTGAAGCAAAGTTAAAACTAAAACTTCCAGGCCCGGAATTGAATACCCCTGTTCTAGGCTTACATTTGCAGGTCATCTCATAAAACAAGGATTCATCATCCATCTTCATGGCAACTATGTTATGACCAACTAGGAATATTTCAGCATCACTGCACTGGGGCTGCTCGGTTGTTGGGAGTGCTGGACTGAGGAGAGGCCCTGTGGTTTTCCCACTTTCTGACTCAGAAGATAAACTGAAAAGGGTTCAAGATGACTTCATGATGCCTGTTTCTACTCTGTAAATATTTTGAAAGAACATTTGTCCTGTGAGTTTTACTTGTTTTAAAATCAGCCATCATAACAGACGCTGTGACCCCTGTGACTCATGGAAGAGAAATGTGAATTCTCGCAATTTTATAGACACTTTGGAAACTCTGTCATTTCTTCCCAACAGTGACAATCCAGTGAGACACTGAATTTACTCCAGGATAACCCTGCAGACCATCCTATTAGCACATTCACCTGTAGGCCTCCAAGCTAGCATGTGCTTGTTGTTTTTTGCAGGAAGCTGCTGAAGTCCACTTTGGTCCTGATGCCCCTCTTTGGAGTCCACTACATCGTGTTCATGGCTCTCCCCTACACGGAGGTCACTGGGCTGCTGTGGCAGGTTCAGATGCATTATGAGATGTTCTTCAACTCTTCCCAGGTCAAAACACAAATATAAATTAGAGATAACCACTGTAAAACAGTAATGACCTCATTGAATTCATTAATTACATTAAGTCTTTCTGACAAAATTCCAATATTTCAGGGCTTTTTTGTGGCGTTTATCTACTGCTTTTGCAACGGGGAGGTAATGAAGACGAAACATGGTTCTGCATATAAATCAGTTCAAAAACTGTTTGTTTTACTAAAAAGATTATGATTTATATTCTCTCAGGTGCAGGCGGAGGTAAAAAAGGCCTGGCTGCGACGCAGCCTGGTGTTGGACCTGAAACAGAAAGCCAGGATAACCAGCAGCGGCGGGGGAAGCTGTTACTATGGCGGCATGATGTCACACGCCACCACCCACAGCGTCTGCCCGTCTGCGGCTCATCCCAGAACACTTTCCTTCACAGGAGGAGTGGTGGGCTTAGGTGGATCTGTGCCAGGGGTCAGGTCACAACGTCACAACGCACCAACGTCCCTCCAGGCTCACAGCAGCCCCTGTGTCTACATTCCCAGCACCACTGAGACCTCAAGCCCTCAACGGGACCTGGGTGTGTGGAAAACAGCAGGGGCTGAGTCAGGCGTTTTTGCCAGACATACCAGAGCTCACAAAGGAAATGGTAACTGCACCAGTCGAGGAGCAGAGGACCCTAACAGCTCCTTATCTGTGAAGGAGACAGAGACCATCTTGTAATCGTGGCGGCTGGACAGCAGATCCCAGCCAGACCTTGAGGTGGTTTATATCAACAGCTGAGGTTTATGGTTCGCTGTGTTTCTTCTAGTGCATGGGCTAAACTGATAGCCACAGTGAAGGAAAACAAACGTATTAGCGATGCATGGTTTCTGCTTTATTGTTATTTAAGTTTTTCAAGTTCCTGACACAGTTTCTGTGCTGATGTCACGTCTGTGTGCACGGGTCGTATCATTGACTTTTAGCTGTGCTGGGTTCATCGGAGTGTAAAGCAGATCTGCGCATAGCTAAGCTAAATAGATGGTCAAAACGTGATGCTGTGAAGAATTTAGTGAAGCCTCGTGGACATGCTGGGTGTATAAACACAGATACTTTTTTCTCCATGCACTTATCTTCCCTGTGTTTGATTTTCCAATCCTCGCTTGTGGACCCTCAGGTCAAACTGTACATGTGATCATCCTTTTTCCCCCAGACAGCCACATGGAGCACATTTACAGTAACTCAGATTGTTAATTCAACAATCCTTCCATCAAACTTTTAGAGTTATTGGAGTCTAGACAGCATGTCTAGACAAATCTCCCTCTCTGTTGTTGTCCAAGGGTTCTGAACGGTCCTCTTTATCAATGTGACAGGTCCCCGAGGGCTGATGTATGCAGTTTTACCCTTAACTCCCTTCCATCGTGCAACCTCTGCCCCGAGTCTCTCACAACACTATCCAGAATTTCACACATTCCAGTCAGGACACGACGTGGAGCAACACACACCTGAGTTATTTTGGAGACATCGAGCATGAGTGAAAAATCTGCAACACAAACCACCAGCGTTCACAGGGTAAACGGACAAATAAAGCTTGTATCTGTAAATATTTTACAACAGTGTTGGTGTCCAGAAACAGAAAAACCTGCTCTGTGTGCCGTTGTAAAGTGTAAAAATGGTTGTGATAATTTAATAAATGTTTTGGTGTATAATGTTTTACCCTAAAGTAGAAGTTGTTTAATTTATTCATTTGTTGATTCTCATTCCAGCTTTAAACATTAGAGCAAATGGGGGGAGTTGCCTCATTTGTGTGCAGGAGATTATGGGAGATTTAGTCTGCCCTCTGTTGCAGAACAGGAAAAACTGCAGTTGCTGTCAGTCACTGTGTTGGTTTAATTGAGCAAAAAGGTTAACTCCACCTAAAGCATCAAATCCATTTCTGTTATTTAAACATGCATGCAAAGGTTTGGGTACCCCACTAGTGAACAGGTGGATAACAGTGATCTTCAAAAGCCAAAATATTAAATTTGAGATGATCCATTTTGTATTTGAAGCAAAAGTAATAGATTGATTTGATTCAGTCCTTATGTTTGGGTTAACTTCACCAGCTTAAATGCCCGACACTCCTGAAGGGAAGAGCCTCGTTTCACGGTAAAATTTTTAATAAAGGTTATTGTTTTTAAGGTATGAAACACTGAAAACCCGTTTTAAATATCTAATTTCTGATTATAATCATAACTCTGAGTTTTTCATGCGGGCTGAACATGAAAATAGTCTCCTACACATATCTCCTGCATTAGCTTCTGATGGAAAATAGACAGGTGAAACTCTAGGATTTGAAAATCCAGACAGATCTACGTCACATTGTCACTTAACATTCATGGACTCACCCATCTTGACACACGACAAAGAAGGCTTTTGTTGTTTTAGCATCCAGGAAACAGCAGAGAACATCTCAGCTAGTAGAAGCTAACATTAGCATTAGCAGTCCACCACACATCAGAAGCTCCTCCGGGGTTGAGTTATTTGTGGAGATGAAACACCAGTGTTACAAGCCAGTGGTAGAGTCGCGTTGCTGTTATCCAATCCAAGAGGAGATGTCAGAATATCAGGAAATAAGACTTCAAAACCATCTCATCTGAAGCTCAGCTGTGACGTGGGCAAATACTAGTTCCTGGAAATCGTGCAACTGTATATTTTTTCCCCAGAGTTCAACTTATGTGGCATGGTGTGGAAACAATCATCTGACCTTGAACGTGAACAAAACAAAGGAGATGATTTTAGACTTCAGAAGAAACAGGGTGGAGTCAAACACTGTTTCCACCATGGGAGAAGAAGTGGAGGTGGTTGAGGAATACAAATACCTTGGAGTTCACCTGGACAACAGACTGGACTGGAGGAAGAACAGCGAAGCCGTTTACAAGAAGGGACACAGCAGACTGCACTTCTTGAGGATGCTTAGGTCTTTCAATGTCTGTAGCAAGATGCTGCAGATCTTCTACAAGTCTGTTGTTTAGAGTGTAATCTCTACAGCCATCGTCTGTTGGGTTAGCAGTATCAGAAGCAGGGACCTGAAAAGGCTCAACAGCCTAATAAAAAAGGCTGGTTCTGTTCTGGGGACGACTGTGGAACCGCTGGAGGAGATAATGCAAAGAAGGATTCTCCAGAGAATCAAGAAAATTATGGACAACCCTGAGCATTCTCTTCACAAGACTGTCCGACAACGGAAGAGTGTCTTCAGTCAGAGGCTTCTTCAGGTTCGCTGCAACACTGACCGCTACTGGAGATCCTTCCTGCCAACAGCCATTGTAATATACAATAACTCTTTGATGACTTGATTATTATTATTATTCTGAGCTACTACAGCAATCAATTTCCCTCTGGTATTAATAAAGTATTTTTGAATTGAATTGAATTACAAGGCATTTATTCCTACTAGAGACCACTGCAGATATGTTGATTAAACGAGTGAACCACATTTTTAAAAGAAAAAATGGAGCTCTAGCCAATTTGATTAAATCTTAAAAAGTGACCGATTATTTTTATTGATTTATTGTTGATTAGTTTATTTCAATCATATGTAACTGAAAACCATTTCAAATCAAGATAATTTACACAATCTTAACAAGATAATGGCTGCACGGTGGTGCTAGTGGTAAAACTGTTGCCTCACAGCCAGAAGGTTCAAACCGCTACAGCCTTTCTGCATGGAGCCTGCATGTTCTCCCCATTCAGGTGTAGGTTTCCTTTTGAAGAATAAAACAAAGATATTTGGTTAAATTGAATGTCGTTTTGCACAAAAACATCTGCAAAACTCATAAATCAGTATTTACTTCACTAATCCTGTGCCTAATCTTTGATCACTCAAAACTATTTCTGTGTGTGCTGATATTAAGGCAGCCATCTTTAATCAGTTTGGGTCAGAGTGAACCAGTTAGATGGACGAGTGATGACGACTTTCTAAGAGTTTCACTCAAATGCATGCAGTGATTCGTGTTATCTTTTGCTAACAGGCAGACAAACATCAGGAGGAAGGACATGGCGATTGTAAATCTGAGAGCTTTATACCCGCTCTTGCTCCTCAAACTGTAAATGAATGTAAATAATTGATGCTCACAAAGCAGAAGGAGGAAGCATCACCGCAGTGAAGTGTTTCAAAATGGCGTTTATCAGGAAAGATGGAAGTGATGCTAAAAACCAGTGTCTTAAATCAAAAATCTCTATGTTTGATTTAAATTCAACATTTTCTCAGAAGAATGTTTAACAGCAGCCACATCTCCACCAGGACAACAACAAGCCTCCTGAGCCACGACACAGCCTCGGTGGCAACCAGCTGTTAGCTCACTAGAGAGGAAAAGGTTGGGAACAAAAAGCAACCACAATAATGTGAGGCACTGAGCCTCTTATAGGAACATTTCCTCCTGTTGAGTGAGGAGGAAGAAGATGAAGGAGGAGGAGAGTAAGGACGAGGCTGGGAAGAGGAAATGAGTCAGGACTGTGGGGGGTGATAATATCATTATACCTGTTTTGTACTGTAAACATGTTTTCAGACAAATGACTCATAAACATGTACAGCATAGCAGTGTTTAACGGGCAGGTCTTTTGTTTTCATTTGATCTATTTTCACCTTAAAAACAAACTTAATATTTAGCTAAAAATAAAACGACCTCACGACAAACATCATTGTTTATTCATTGCATTACAGGTCTCTGCTGGTGAGGATTACGTGTCGTGTAAATTTAGAACAACGCTTTAAATTTAAAACCTAACAAGCTGCTGCTGCAGCACAAAACAGAATTCTGCATGAATGTCCATCTCATGTGAAATATCTTCCTTATTCTGTAAACAAATTTTTTGGTTCTCTAATTCATAAAAAAACTGCTGTGGAAATTTGGAAACCTTAGGTGTTTTTAAGGCGACAAATTATTTGCAACTGGTTTCAATGAGACCAGCCGTGAGCTCTGGCCTAGTTGGGAAAGAACTAATCTCTGTTTCTCCAAACTGAGGCTGCTGGTTGTTCATCACTTTTCCACACAAAACCACTTCCCAAGACCTAAACTGACATTAGGTTTAAACAACACAGGTCTCCATGTCATACTTATTTATCCTAATTATTATGCAGTTTACTTATTGACTAGATAATTCCATGAAAGGGGCCTGCCACCTGGCATAAGATAGTGGCCATGTGTCATAAAGCCAATGTGCACCACCATGTCATCAGCACCTCAAACCCTCCTAGTGTCCTCTAAGCTTGCTGATAAATTGTGCATGTCACCAGTAGGTGGTGTAATAGTGATCCTTTATAAAACAGTCATCGCTCTGCTGAGTGCCTACTACTGGTTCCTACAATTGTGTGAAAAGCCAAACTTTTAAACAAATGATATAGCTGCTTTCTATTTTTTTTGGGGGGGGGGGGGGGGTGATGATGTACAGTTTCCAAACCGGTGTGTTAAACAGTGATGCGCAGCAAAGCACACACAATTCTGTGTGGATGTGATGTTGCATTGTGGAGCCATAGCTGGTTGGAAGAATCTAGGGGAGCAATTTTAAAAATGAAGTTTGGTGTGACTGTGAACTTGATTGTAGAATTTATTAAAAATTTAAATGGATGTAAGGGGTGCTGGGACAGAATTAGACCAAGTTCACCAAGAATTTGGAGACATTTCTTTCAGGGGCTGGATTCATATTCATCACGTTCAAATGGTTGCAGATCACAGAATGTAGGTCAAAATTGCAACCAAATGTAATGGGAGGGATATGTTTGCGTTGTTTTTTGTGGATCTACAGATCAAAACCACAATCTGGGGCTTTTGGAGGCCTCTGAAGGACCCAAGACCCCAGGTCCTGAATTTGGCCCAGGCCGGGTGTTCAGGGGTGGATCTACAGGTCAACACCACCATCCAGGGCTTTTGGAGGCCTCTGGAAGAACCCTAGACCCCAGGTCCTGATTTTAGTCAAACGTTGGTGTTTAGTGGTAGATCTACAAATCAGGACCACAACCTGGGGCTTTTGGAGGCCTCTGGAGGGCCCTCAGACCCCAGGGGCCTCATTTATCAGTTGTACTTATGCACAGATCTGTGTGTATTTTGTGCATTGGCACGAATTTACGTATTGTGTGGTATTTACCAATTTGTACTTGTGCATGAACATGTTCCTAAATATAAGAACAGCTCTGACCATGTAGGAACAGCATCTAGTGGTAGAACGGGGAAACAGCAGTACTGAAGGTCTCAGTCATCCATGCTTGTTCCTCATCTACAAATTATATTTACACAGTATGTAATTGTCGGCAGAAAAAACAGCTTTTGCGCATTATTGGTGCTAAAACCAATAAAAGACGTGTGACCAAAGGCATTCGGACATTTCATGACTAATCTGTGTTATTTGAAGAGTTAACAGAGTGTGTACACCATCTTTAAAGGGGTGGAGCTAGTTATTTCAACAAATGACCACATGAATGTGTTGGCAGCGTTTGTGTGATGACAAAAAGCAAGTTTGGTACGGTTGTGAACTTGACTGTTGATGTTACAGTTTTTCTCAAATGCTAAAACAATGGCTGAAGCAGGACTAAGAGTCCGTCCAAACCTGAGTAGGTTCACCGTGGCCACCATTATCAGGGCATTCAGATAACACAACAGGTATTGTACTCTATTGCTTTCTTTGTCACAATACAGTTTTACAAGCCTGTGAAATTGGTTTCAAATCAGTTGTTATTGTAAAACATGTCAATTGACAACACATGTTTCTTTCTTTAGAGTTGAAAGAATGCCACAGACGTGGGAGGATTGCCATATTTACAGTGGCACAAGAAACCATCATTGTGGATATGGTTCGTGAGAACAACCTCATCAGACTCCGGGAGATCAGAGACAAAGTCATTGCCGATAATGTCAACTTTGAGCGCATTGATGATCTCAGCTTGGCCACAATAGACCAAGTTCTCCGGCGCCAAAAGATGCGGATGAAACGGGTCTATAGGGTTCCCTATGAGTGCGACACAAAGGCCTACATTGCGAGTATGTGCAAGTAAGTATACATCCATGTTCACAGTACAGTTAGTGGATATACTGTGTTGCTCAGTGGCCTACATTAGTTTTGGACAATACTGTGCTACCTGATTGACTGTTCTGAACACCTGTGCACTTTCACATTTTCACAGAAAATATTACAGTTGGACGCGATGGTCAGACCTCATGAGTACCTCTTCCTGGATGAGGCTGGCTTCAACCTGCACAAACGAAGGCAAAGAGGCCGTAACACCATTGGCCAAAGAGCCATCACTGAGGTTCCTGGCCAACGGGGGGGGGGGGGGGGGGGGGGGGTAATTTTACTCTTTGTGCGGCCATGGGTTCGGAGAGGCTTGTCCACCAGCATGCTGTCCTTGGGTCTTTCAACACCCAACATCTCCTCACCTTCCTAGAGGAGCTAAAAGACATCCTCCTGGACCGCCAACAACACCATCCTCGGCCCGCACATCACATTTATGTGATCATTTGGGACAATGTCCGCTTCCACAGAACAAACCAAATCAGAGTGGTTCACCACCAACAGTAACCACTTTTCAAACGTCTGTCTGCCACCCTACTCCCCTTTCCTGAACCCTATAGGAGTTCTTCTCATCGTGGAGATGGAAGGTGTATGACAGACAACCATACACTAGAGAGAACCTCCTAAGGGCAATGGAGCTGGCCTGTGGTGACATCCCAGTGGAGGCCTTACAAGGATGGATTCGCCATTCCAGGGTGTTTTCCCCATGGTGCCTGGCAAGAGACAATATAGCCTGCGATGTGGATGAGGTGATGTGGCCCGATGCAGCTCAGCGACATGATGCCACACAGTGATTGTGGTGTGTGTGTGTTGTGAATAAAGTAAATAAAAAAATTTCACACCCTGCTCATGTTTTCAAGAGTACTGTTGTGTGCAATAGATTCTGTTTTTGCATTGAGTTGTGTTACAGTTGTGTACATGCAGAATTTTCTATAGATTTATACTCTTCATATGAAACTCACAAATCTAAATGCCTAATCCTCTGCAGAGATCTAAGAAGATCCGTAACTGTAAAGTTTCTAAAAAAATGGGCAAATTGGCAGTTATGAAACAAAGAATCTTCTCACAAATTGAGTATTGTGTTTTCAATTGTTTTGCTGTAGTGTGCAACGATGTGTATAGTGTTTACATTTTTGAAAGGTTCGAGCTGCTCTTTTGGTGTGAAAGTATGAGTTTTGAAGTGAGAAGGTGTGGTTGTGTTTATGTAGTTTTAGAAAAGGGTGTTGTGTTTAGACATTGGGGAACATAGAGGAAACGTTTGTGAAATGTGTTTTAGCATTTGATAAACTGTATTAAAGTAGCCTGGCAAGTCAGACTAAATAAATGTATTTAGTCTGGCAAAGCTCCATTGACAGCTCTCGGTTGTGGGGCGGGTTCTACCGTTGTCTTTCAAATGATCTCCGCATTCCACTGGACAAAATGAATGTGACATACTCTTGTTTCACTCTGTTGCATCATTTCACCCACCAGGCAAATATAGCGCCCTGATTGGCCCACAAAGCGGATAAAGCTCTGTGATTTGTTAACTAAGCAGAGCACTATCCACCATTATGGACCAATCACAGCTCTTTGTGTTTGAAACCCCTCTAGAGAGCTGTGATTGGCTAGCCAGAGTCCTGGTAGGAGCTGCAGAGGTTCCAATGGAGCATGCCCAAACTTTGCAAAGCAAGAATTTGGTCTAGTTCACTAGGCTAGTTATTAAAGAGCAAGTCACCTCCTACCAGAGTATTACTCGACTCCCACTTCCTGCTTGAAAAACGCAACAAATGCTGTTGCCTAACAGACCGAGAGGGCGGAACCGCTAACAAATACACACACACACACACACACACAGGATCACAACGACATTGTGACATCATATGGTACCAGCTAACATTCTAAGGTACCTCTTAGCCAATAGCGATGGCAGATTTAATTTCAAAGTGCAGTGCAGATTTTTTGTTTTAGGCAGAAAATTAAAATTTTAACTCAAATGCACTGAAGCGCAAAACTATTGACTACAGGTGTCTGCAGCACATTTAGACACGCATTTTTATAGTTTATCAGGAAAAAAAAGTTGATTTGGGGGTGACTTGCTCTTTAAAGTACAAGATCTGCTCGGGTGCAAGATCCGCTCGGGGTCCGTCGACTGCCCATGACGTCAAAGTAGTTGATTGGCTGAACATGAACCTTACGGAATTACGTAATCACGTTACGTTGTTATCACGTTACGTTGGTCCAGGCAAATCTTTCTGTTGGAAAGATGGACAACTTTTACAAAGAAATCCATCATTACCTCTTTGAAAATACACTTTTAGCATAGAGCTGCATGTATATTAGGGCTGAGCGATTAACTGCATGTGCAATTAAATTGCGATGTGAAAAGATTTTCTAATCGCAAAGGCTGCAATTATGCAGGGAGTGGTTAGCGCAATGCTAATATACGTGGAAAAACCCATACTGTAGGAATGCTAATGCTAATATCACCGATTACATTGTTACAAATTATGAATTAGAAAAGTGCCAAATAATTACATTTGTAATCTAATAGAAAGTAAAACTACCATCAATCAAATAAGTACAGACAGGTATTTTAGTAAAGCCAGAAAACTTTTAACTCCAGAGTTTTGGCTATAGCAGCTATGAGCGTACCTGATCTACGCATGGACAAGACGTCAAAAACTTAACACAAAACACTTCAATAAAAGGGACACACTTTTTTCCTGCAAATACAATTTCACAGGTGTTGCTAATACCTATGATCCTTCAAGGGATGTGCTCAAAGAGGAGTTCAACATTATGAATACAATATAGTGTTTTATTTTACAAATACCATTACAAACACAAATGTACGTCTTAATAAACATTATTCTAATAACGAAACTGCTAAATTCTTTCCAACAGTATAGATGTGTATTTTGTCCGAGTGGGTTTGCCTTACTTTGACGTCATCGGCAGTCGAAGGACCCCAAGCCGATCTTGCACCCGAGCAGATCTTGTACCGACACCGCCTGTGATCACCAGCATGTTATGACTAAGCTATAATATAAACACGGATGTGATAATAGTGTTATTTTACACCTTACTCTTATTCTAACAACAAACTCATTGTCCCAAATTTAAACTTTGAATGTTTCATATTTGAATTAGGCATTGCGTACAAGTCATAAATCTATTCAGTGCTCATTTTAGCTGCTTTTCAGTGATTGTTTTTACATGAAACTCACATTTGGTTCAGATCAGAATGTAAAAATAGTGCATTTGCGCCATCTAGTGGATAGTTGAGTGAGTTCACTTACTAAAACCCAACTTACACACGGGGTACAAAAACTATGATTTCATAGGACTGCCAAGGATTATAAAGTAATTTAGAACAACGCCAAACATTCAGTGCGTCCAATGTCTTCAACCTGCAACCCCGTCAGGCGCTTGAGGTTGTAAATGTATCTTCAAATGCATAAAAATAAATAAATACGAAAAATGGTCAACACACAAATATACAATGAGGTTTATTTAATCTGTGATAGTTTAAGATGGAGATTTCAGAATGACGTAACAGAAAAGTGTATCACCAAAGCACACCAAAAATACACAATAATCACACACCCACTCCCTCATGACATAATACAGATGAGGAAAAGAGAATAAGTGACAGCACAAAGCAAATATAGATCGTATTTGCACATTTACAAAATGCCTCTACATGTCCAATTAACCAGAAACTGAGATTAATTAGTAATTTAAAAATAAATCCAGGTCATTTCCAAAAGGTTCACCTCATTTTGGGGATAACAACATTTCCGCTCGTTGCAATGGGGATCAGGATTTTTCGCTGGTCCATTCGTAAATACTTTTCAATGAGCACCTCCACTGGCATGTTTTCATTCACGTGACCCTGTCTGCAGAATGCAGAAACAAAGAAGTTACGCTAATAGAAGGAATAATGCAAAAAGCGCACATTTAAAAATATATAATGCTGTTAAGATGAATTAGAAATTGAAGTTCCATCCATCCATTTTCGGCTGCTTATCCGGGGTTGGGTTGTGGGGCAGCAGCCTAAGCAGGGAGACCCAGACTTCCCTCTCCCCAGCCACTTGAGCCAGCTCATCCGGGGGGATCCTAAGGTGTTCCCTGGCCAGCCGTGAGACAGTCTCTCCAGCGTGTCCTGGGTCTTCCCTTGGGTCTCCTCCAAGTTGGATGAGCCTAGAAAACCTCACCAGGGAGGCATCAGGAGGCATCCAAACTGCCACCTCAACTGGCTCCTCTCAATGTGGAGGAGCAGCAGATCTACACCGAGCCCCTCCTGGATGACTGAGCTTCTCACCCGATTTTTAAGGCTCAGACATCCTGAGGAGAAAACTCCGCCGTTTGTATCCGCGATTTCATTCTTTGGTCACTATCCAAAGCTTGTGACCGTGAGGGTTGGAATATAGATCAACTGGTAAATTCACCCCCTGGCTCAGCCCTCTTCACTGCGACAGACCGGTACAACACCCCCATTACTGCAGATGCAGCACCAATACGCATGTCGCTCGTCAAAGAGAACCTAAGATACTCAAGCTCCTCCACTTGGAGCAGGACCTCATCCCTGACCTGGAGAAGGCATTCTACCCTTTTCTGACTCAAGACCATGGTCTCGGATTTAGGGGAGCTGACTCTCATCCCAGCTGCTTCACACTGGGCTGAGAACCACTCCTGTGAGGGCCAGAGATCACATTCTGATGAAGCCAACAGGACCACATCATCTGCAAAAAGCAGAGACTCAATCCTTAGGCCACCAAAACAGATCCCCTCAACAACTTGGCTGTGCCTAGAAATCCTGTCCATAGAAGTTATGAACAGAATCTGTGACAAAGAGCAGCCTTGGCGGAGTCCATCTCTCACTGGAAATGACCCCGACTTACTGCCGGCAATGCGGACCAAGCTCTGATAGTCATACAGGGACCTAACAGCCTGTATCAGAGGACCTGGTACCCCATACTCCCAACATATCCCCCACAGGGCCCCCCGAGGGATGCAGTCGAACACCTTCTCCAAAAACACATGTAGATTGGTTAGGCGAACTCCCACGCACCCTCCAGGACCCCCTGAGGATATAGAGCTGGTCCAGTGTTCCAGAGCCAGGACGACTACTACAGAAACTGAAGCTGAATAACAAAAAACACTTGTGGCGAGCTGTGTGAAGAGGTTTCTCAAAGGTGTTTTCATTCCTGGGCATTAGAAAAAAAGCATTGCACAGAATCATACAAACCTTTTCAACAGGAGCACAGCATCTTCAAACTCAATGGTTTTTCTATTAGCATGGGCAGCATACGTCTCCAGGTCCTCCGCCATCCGGTCAAAAAATTTATCCATTCTGTCAAATCATTAGTATAAATAAAGGTCAAATAAACTATCAACAGCACCGCTTTCAGAATCAAATCCATCCTAAATTAGTCACGTCTGTTACTCACATCTCATTCAGAATGGGGTAAACATCTGCTGAGACCTTGGTTTTGGCAAAGTGTCTGAAGGTGCTCAATAGGTAGGACTTAGGGAGGACTCCTTTCTTACTAGCTGTCCGCGTTTTCCTTGGTCTCACCTGCTTGGGTTTAGCTGCAGGTAAACCTGTACTTGTACCACTAGAGACATTAACAACCCGTCAGCCAATTAAATAAAAAACCTAGATAACTTTGTTCCATAATGCCTACACTTTAAATAAACAATTGGGTTGACGGGAAAATAAATGCTACTTGCCTTGTTGGAACATTCTTAAAAACAAAAGGGGACGCTGCAGGATCAGACAGAAAGATCTTTTTCTCTTTGACAAATGCCGGAGTCTTGCAGGGAAGGTCTGAAGGAGTCAGAAAATAATCATTTTGATGTTCTTGAATGTCAAAAGGAAGCAATATACTCAAACTAACCTTCTTCTTCATCTAGGTCATCATCACACTCGTCCTCCTGACCAGCATCCTCCTCAGACGAATCGTTACTCCGGTGCTCATCGACTTGAATATCCTGGGTTAACTCAAGACAAGGAAACGAGGCTTTAGTTCCAGATGCAGGAACGTTTTCTGTGTCAAACACGTCGCCTTCATCTTGCACTGATAGTTTAGATGAGGCCGAGCTCCCAGTTCTAGTCCGTCTGCGGGCGTGGTTTTCCACTTCTGCACTGGCATTAACACCAGTAGAAGTGTGTGCTTTGGACCAGCCTGAAGAAAAACAAAAGGAAATTGAAAGCAAAAAGCACATCTAACAAATGGACTAATAGTTGTTTTCTGTTTCAATGGCTGAAACTAATTTCACATTAACTCTGATCTACAAATAAACATTTCCCTTTGCTGGAGAAAACATCTTAATGTTTTACTTTAGGAGCGGTAGGAAGGGGTAGGAAGGGTCTGACTTTTACCTGCTTCAGAGGCTTCAGCAGCATCCTCCCTCACCTCTGGGACGGGGACAACGGGCACACCCTCAGATCGACGAGCCCTTCGACTGATGTGACTCGAGTCCTGTTCCATGTGTTCCAAAGCCTGATCTTCCTCCTCTCTTTGCTCATCATTGTCATCTTCTGTCTGAGACGTAGCCACATCTTCCTCATCTTCAGACTGAGCCTCATCTTCGTCATCACCTTGAAATGGGACACTTGCTACCGCATGTTCAGGTAGAGGGTCCTGTGCATCCTCCTCTTCCTCAGAGTGAAAACTTTCAATATCTTCAGATTGAGAGTCAGCAACATGCTCTTGTGTTTCAGCAACTCCTTGCTCTTCCTCAGTTTGAGAGTCGGGAGAAACCTCCTCTTCCTCAGTCAAATCATCACCAGACGCACCTTCCTCTCCAGTTTGGGCCTCCACTTCCTCAGCACCATCATCTGTCTTACCAGTCTCAGATTCAGCTGCAGCCTCCTCTTCCTCAGTCAAATCATCACCAGATGCACCTTCCTCTCCAGTTTGGGCCTCCACTTCCTCAGCACCATCATCTGTCTTACCAGTCTCAGATTCAGCTGCAGCCTCCTCTTCCTCAGTAAAATCATCATCAGACACACGTTTCTCTCCAGTTTGGGCCTCCACTTCCTCACACTCAGCACCATCATCTGTCTCAGATTCAGCTGCAGCCTCCTCTTCCTCAGTAAAATCATCATCAGACACACGTTTCTCTCCAGTTTGGGCCTCCACTTCCTCACACTCAGCACCATCATCTGTCTCAGATTCAGCTGCAGCCTCCTCTTCCTCAGTAAAATCATCATCAGACACACGTTTCTCTCCAGTTTGGGCCTCCACTTCCTCACACTCAGCACCATCATCTGTCTCAGATTCAGCTGCAGCCTCCTCTTCCTCAGTAAAATCATCATCAGACACACGTTTCTCTCCAGTTTGGGCCTCCACTTCCTCACACTCAGCACCATCATCTGTCTCAGATTCAGCTGCAGCCTCCTCTTCCTCAGTAAAATCATCATCAGACACACGTTTCTCTCCAGTTTGGGCTTCCACTTCCTCACACTCAGCACCATCATCTGTCTCAGATTCAGCTGCAGCCTCCTCTTCCTCAGGCGTTGACATCACTTCAGCATCATCAGCCACATTAGCTTTACTTTGCTCAGCCTGAAATTCAGCGACATCTTCTTGCATAAGAACATCAGAAGCATTTTCATCAACTTCAGATGAAGCTGCATCCTTTTCTTCACTCGGAAACATGTCCGCTGTATCTTTTGCCATCTCGCCGAGCTCCTCTTCCTGTTCTGCATCAACGACGTCCTGAAGCTGCGAGGACATGCCACTGTGTTTATCCTCAGTAGCGACGACGGAGAAGCCAGAGACCATCGCATCAGGCAGGTCATACAGCGCCGTGTTGCAGTTCATGATATCAGCCTCGCCGAGTTTGCTCGGACCCAGTGTGAACCCTTCAAAGTTGGTAACTTCACTGAGATTTCCCTCCATAAAACCATGGCTGCTCACATCTAGAGCGGGTGAGGGAAGAAAATCAGTCAGTTGTTGGTTATTTTTATTCATTTTAATTTGGAAACAAAAATGTTTTGAAAAACCTACACTTATGATTCACTTATGTTCAGAGCATCACTGGTTGCTTATTAGGATGCTGTGAGGTCTGCTAGAACTGCCTATTTTGCAGACATCATTGAAACAAACTCCAAGAATCCCAAGATTCTCTACAAAACATTGAACTTTGTATCAGAGAGCCCACCTGGAGCGAGTACTCCATGCTTTTGTCATTTCTAGGCTTGATTACTGCAACTCTCTATATGCAGGACTGGGTCAGTCATCACTGTGCCGCCCACAGGTTGTGCAGAACAGCACAACCAGGTTTCTGACTGGGACCAGGAAACGGGACCACATCAGTCCGGTTCTGGCCTCCCTGCACTGGCTTCCGGTCTGTTATGTTCAAAATTTAAACTCCTCGTCTTTGTTTACAATTTCTTCCAGGGTAGTGCTCCCCCCTATCTGGCCACGCTCCTGAACAAACATTCCCCATCACGCGCTCTGCGCTCCTCTGACCAAGGCCTGCTCACTGTCCCTCGTTCTAGGTGTCGTACTCACGGGGACCGGGCTTTCTCAGTCCTAGCCTCGTCACTCTGGAACCAGTTGCCACCCTCAGTCAGGCTATCCCCATCTCTGCCAGCCTTTAAGAGTCACCCCCTCCTCCGCTTGACATTCCCTGAATGTGTTCGGGTTCGGCCTTCATTTATGTTGATTTTAATTCCCTGCTTTCATTGGTCTCTTTATCTCTTGTTTTACCCATTTGTTTTCTACTTTAATATTTTTACCTGTTTTTCTCATGTACCGTGTTCAACGCCTTGGGCTTCCCAACAGGCAATTTATAAATAAAGCTTTGATTGATTGTGCAGCCCAAAACTCAGACAAACGTAAGGATTAATAAAACATTCAACAATTAAATGTGCACTTGTTTCCTGTAAGTCGCTGCTGCATAAAATCATTCTGTAACATTTTTACCTTTCTTTGATCTTCGTTTTACATAGAAAAGAAAAAAATTAGTAAAATGCACCAAAAGTTTTATGTATGTTGTCTTTAAATTAAACCACACACACAACATAAAAACTGCAAACATTTGCTAGAGTGAAGAGATGATCACCTCCCATCTGTCGCTTGCTCACAGCAGCACCAAAATCCTCCTCTGAGACTTTTCTACGGTTAGACACTTTCCTCTGGAGCCCCCTTTTCTCAGTCTCAACATCAGCAAACGGTGTTTTTAGAGTCAAAGAGGTGGAGCTGAAAATCAGATTGGACACGCAACATTAAAGACACGTGAAACTATTGAGCTGATGCAGGTTTGGTTTTATATATAAACAGCATAAAGTCAGAATAATAATTGTAAAAGGACGTTTTAGCTCTGTAGCCCAGCTACAGGTGCACGTTGCTTCCAGCTGCAATCATGGAAGCAGGAAGGGGCTTAAAGGTGCATGAAGCGAGGACATCCTGTGGTCAGATTTGGGTACTGCAATCAAAACAAACGTGTCGATACTTACTCCCATCCAATCAAAAACACAGACCCAGGCACGAGCGAAGACGAGTCATGCACATTAAGTTAATTATAGATCAATTCATGTCACTGCAAAATTGAGTTGTTGGTAATTGAAAAAGTAGCTTGAGATATTTTTAGAACTGACGATTAGTTTCAAATTCAGTGTTAGCTCAATGTTAGCCTGTAGCCTGCTTTACCCGATGTTAAAGTAAAAAAAAAAAGTATGTTGCAACTTTTTAGGGGTGCAAGAAATAACTTCTAGGTCACTCCTTTTGCTGGTTTCCCTTTACACAACATTGCTGATCTTTGTGTTTAAGACTTGGCAACATTGAGAGCTCACATCTGACTGGCTGTGGAGCCAGGAAGTCTGGCAGCAGAATGAAATTAAATCATTAAACCTCTACATTAAAAGGTTGTATCGAAGTTTACCTTGACAAAGAAAGGGACGAATGATCATATGATGCATCTTCAACTCCCTCTTCAACATCTGTAACACAGAGACACCATGACGCATGACAGCAGCCCTAATGTGTGCATCTATGATGACAAACTCTTAAGAGTTTATCCGATCTCTAGACCTAGAGTCATCCAATAGAAGTTTAACCTTTACCTTTTACCGCTTTCAGTCTCTTTTCAAAGGCGGTTACGTTAAGGCTCCGGCATGGTCTCTTTCTGCTCAGTCCCTTCGCCACGCTCCCAATGTTCCCAATGGTTATATCAGGGAGCTCCAGCTCTGACAGCTCAGTGCTGTGAATCAAGAAAATATTGACTTTTCACTGCATGTCATTCTTTTGACCTGAACAGCTGACATAAAAAGCTCATGAAAGAGGAAAATGGAGGATTATTCCTTACAGTGAACATTAATGCAACATCTAAAAAGGTAAATTGTTCACCTCGGATGTGTTCTGGTTGTCTCTTCAGCTGATTGGGGTTCAGGTTCTTTAGGGGGTTCAGTCTTATGAACAACAGGGGATTTCACAGGATCTGAAAAGTATGAGAAAGAGAAAGTAGGTTAAAAGACATTTTGCAATAGCAAACAAAACAGCTTGTAAATATGCATACCTGTCTGCAGGATGTTTCTGAGTAAATGTCTGGGAGTGGCTACATCACTCAAAAGCATTGAAGTTGAAGAAGGCACTCTTGAGAGCATGACTGAGACGGTCCTTCGGTCAGTGGGAGGCTGGGATTTTCTGGCTATACTCTGTAAGAAACGGGACAAGTTAAAAAAATAAATTACTAATAATAACAATAATAATAAACACACACATACACAGTGGGGCAAAAAGTATTTAGTCAGCCACCAATTGTGGAAGTTCTCCCATTTAAAATGAGTGACCTGTAATTTTCATCAAGAGAAAAAAATATCCAGAAAAATCACATCATCTGAAAATCACTCAGACAACGGCGAACTGAGGAAGAGATGCTGGACATACCATTGTGGGAGGACAAATGCTTACATGGGATGTACCACAGACAGATGACTGAAGTGGCAGATATCACAAAATTCTACCAATGGCTAGAAAGAACAGGGGTCTCATTTATCAAACATTGCATAGAATCCTTACTAAAACCGTACTTAAGCTCAACAAAAAAAAAAAAAGTACTTACGCCAAGTAGGTTTGTGATCTATCAAACATGGAGTACGCACAGCTGCATGCAATCTCTGCTTCATAAATCAGAAACTATCTAGAATGTTTCTCAGCTGCTGGACGATGGCGACTGTAGATCAAGGCAGATCAAGGAAGCACAATTTCACAGAAGCAGAAGTTGAGGTACTTGTGGGTGAGGTGGAGAAATGAAAGGAAGTACTTTTGCAAAACAAATAAGAGAAAATCCACGGAGTGGCACAGCGTTGCTGAAGCCATCAATGTTGTGAGTTCTTCAGAGAGATCTGTGACGGATATTAAAAAAAATGGTCCAATTGGGATTTGATCCCCAGACTCCCAGGTGAAAGTCACATGCGCTAACCAGTCAGCCAAACCGAGATCTCCCCTGTACAAGTAGGCAGGGTGTATGATCGATCAGGTCACAGTGACAGGACACGCACTGTCACAGACGCATGACATTCTGTCTCAATCTGTCCCCCTGCTGATATTCTGCATTCCATATTCTGTGCTTCAGGCTATGTGTGTGTGTGTGCACGCACGTGTGTGTGTGCGTGTGGGGGGGGGGTCTTGTTCTTTGTGAAAACAAAGCAGTACAAGTGATAATGCTGCAGGATTTCATAATTTTATCCTTCTCAGCAGCAGCACTGCAGGTGCTCTCCATGTCCAAAATGTGCGTAGGCCAGGTCCTTAGTCAGCTTAAAGTTGTGCACATTTTTCTGCTAAGTCTTCTATCATAAATCCCAAAGTCTGCGTGGAAAGTTATTTACACAGTTTTCCAACATCGTTTGTGCGTAAGCACGCTTGATATAAATGAGACCCCTGGTGTGAAGGACAGCACAGAGGCACTCATCATGGCTGCACAGGAACAGGCCCTGAACACCAGAGCAATAGAGGTCAAGATCTACCACACCAGACAAGGTGTAGACTATGTAAAGAGGCCATAACAGCAGGGTGTAAAATGCTGGCAGGTAAAGCATACATGGAACGCCACAACCAAGAGGCTGGCATTGTGTACAGAGACATCTGTACAGAGTATGGACTGGAAGCCCCAAGGTCAAAGTGGGAAACACCCCCTAAGGTGGTTGAGAACGAGAGAGCCAAGCTACTGTGGGACTTCCAGATCCAGACCGACAAAATGGTGATGGCGAACCAACCAGATATTTTGGTGGTGGACAAACAACAGAGGACAGCTGTTGTGGTTGATGTGGCAATACCAAGTGATGCAACATCAGGAAAAATGAACACGAGAAACTAGAGAAGCACCAGGGCCTCAAAGAACAACTTGCGAAAGCCTGGAGAGTGAAGACATCGGTGGGCATCGGAGCAGTAACCCCCAAACTGAAGGAGTGGCTGAAGCAGATCCCAGGAAGAACATCAGACATCTCATTCCAGGAAAGTGCAGTTCTAGGAACAGCTAAGATACTACAGAACCCTCAAGCTCCCAGACCTCTGGTAGAGAACCTGAGCTTAGAAGGATGAGACCACCAAACAAACCAAACATGTGTTGATCGCCACGTCCTCACCTCACGGATGTTCTGTCTCAGACTGCGCCTCAGGATGTCCTGTGGGGTTTTGGTTTCAGCATCTCTCCTCCTGCTTTGTCTGCTGCTTCTCCGGAGCCCACTGGTACTCACTTCCTGGGACTGACTGAGAACGAGACAGCGCACAAACTCATAATTGCATACTAAATGTAAAAAACACGCATTTGTTCGTTAAAAATATAAAGTAGTTCGTGATTTTGGTTTTAAAGCGAAGCATCTTCAGGCTGTTGAAAGTTAATACTTCCATCGCAACCTGAGGCGCTGTCAGTATTGTGATTTCAGTTTCAGCAACAATCACCTTAGAAATAAAAACAATACCTGCGAGTAACAGGAGTTTGAGGGGACTGGGTGCTGAGGATGCGTTTCAGCAGCACCCGAGCAGATAAATCCTCCGTGGGGTCCATTGGTCACCGACACAAAGAAAGAGAAAACTCTACATTCACTGAGTCCAGCTGAGAGGACACAGACAACTAAACAGCGTCGTTTAATTTAGTTTTTTTCCCCGACAAACGCATCGTACTCTTAACCGTTCTCTGCTTGTTTTTTCTCACAGTCCCGCGTTATTTTTGAGTGAAACCTCGCGAGAATAAAACGGGTTCTTTCTTCTTCTACGATCTTAAAAAGTCACTACAGATGAGTCAACGGCGTTATACTGCCCCCTACCTGGCTGGTTTGTCTGGTTTCACAAACCTTATTGCACTCTAGAAGCTGAATAAACAAGGGCATGATAATATATAATAATAATTAATATAATAATAAATTACTTGTGTCAATTTATAGCGGTTTTTATCAGCTTTTGCATCTGTTGAGAATATTTCCTGAAGAACCATTTTAAACTACATCAAATATAGTAAACAAGCTACTGACTTTTGTTAGTTTTCTCTGGCTCCACCCCAGGTTAGTCATTTGCCTGTTTTGGTGTTTCCTTTCTAAACTATCTTCTACAGCTGAGGTGAAACATGTTGCTGACTGAAAACATTTGAAAAGAACACCCTCTTTTAAAAGAGGCTGTCTTATCTGCTGTTTTGATGTATGATCTGAGGACCCGCTCGAAAATGAGATGATACATCTCAAGCGGTTTCTATCCTCATAAAATCTAAGTTAAATAAATAAAAGAATAGAAATCCGAATCAGGATATCTCTGTAGGAAAAGCTAACAGAAGCTTTATGGAAGTGTAAATATAAATCTGAAATGTAAATATTAGGATAAAGACACAATCAGGTTACTAAGAGCTTCAAGAGCCAATTGTGTTCAAGCCTAAACCAAACCGTTTCCCTATAAGGGATAAATACATTTGACCTTTGACCTTTTGTTTTCATCATGTGAGATACAAGTCGCTAATTTCAGGACAAATAGGAGATTTACAGTTTTAACGAACGCAGAAAGCCTAACACTTTGCTGTGATCAGACTTCACATACACCCTGAATTCAAGTTTACTACTTTTTTATATAACTAAGAAAGCACTAGTAATTCACTTTCACTTTTTATAATTTCTGTCACTTTTTATAATCTCTAGCATATTGGTCTGAATATTTGAGCTGTAAATTTTTGAAGCATTCAAAAAAATTGCGGTTATGAAATTAAAATAAATAAATAAACCAACAAGACTCACAGCTGTAATAATTTTAATTATTGATAATAAATCAAACACAAAGATAGTATTTC